TCAGAAACGTACATCAAAACAAAGACGGCCACGTTACTTACTGAGCATGTATTGTTGTTAATTATAGCCATGAATTTCAGTCATAGGATAATACTTCCGTGATAGGCTTTGAAAAATTGAAGTATTTTTGAATTAAGTTTATGAGCACCGATGTCTTTACAACGGTTGCCATGGTAATGATAAGCACACTACAGAAGTGTATTGGGTGCCACAAAATTTCATGTTGATCAGGCAAATAACAATTTGGAGGACACTTCCACTAAAAAAATACTTCAGACCCTAACTACATGTATATAGCCAAGTCAATTCAGAGTGAAATTCATGCAATCAAATTGATGCTGTGTTCTCGCGGAGCATTCACTGGAGTGATCGTTGTTTTAAAGTACATGCATTTCAATATAAACAAATAAGAGTTAGTTGCTCTCTAAATCTTTTCCGTTTTCAAAATAATAAGATTAACGTCATTTTGTTCACCACACCTTTTACTGTAATTCCAAATTAACTTGCAATATAAACAAATGTGTACAGCGTACATGCGCGTGTCCAGATCACCCTTCCCACCCCCACCCACCCTGCGACATACACACCCCTTCTCCTCCTCACTTCGGGATATTTCAAGCTGCCCCGTGTTGTAAAACAGCCAGCTTACATAATTAAGACATTCCCCAAGGCAATATGCATGTATGTAATCTCAACAAAATTGTACTTGTTGACTTGTTGGGGAGGGCGTGGTTCTCTTTTGAGCTTTGGGAGTGGGGGTGGCAGGGGAAGGGCTATCTGTGAGACGGCTGTTGGTGTAGATCGTAAAAGGTTCACTTTCAAATTGATATCTAGTATTTACAATTTAATTTAGGCAAATACATGCAGAAATCAAAATCTGAATTTGGTGGCAAAGGAAGGGGCGGGGCCTAGCTGGGAGGGGAGGACTGGACATCATTTGAATAGTGGTGCACTTCAATCAGAGGACAATGGATATGGCCATTATTATTCATTGCGGCTTGCAAACACATGAGTTTTGCCCATGTGACAATGATTGTACCGACAATGCTAAGTTATTGGTGGGTGGTCACACCCCACAATCAACCCCAAGCAATGCCCTGGGGGTGGGGGAAGGGGAGGCTGTGAAAAGGAACTCTATGTTATTTCTAAAGTGTTCACTTGCATATTATTTATTTACATTTGTTACGTTATGCAACATACACGTTCAAAATTAGGTGGCACAGGGGAGTGGGCGGGGCCTAGCCAGGTGTGGGGGGAAGTACACTACCTAGTACCTACTATTCATCCATTGGTCTAAAAATGATAAACAGTCTGATTCTGTTTGTGCAAATGTGCTAGATTAATTAACAATACCAATTATACAAGTTTATTACCCAAAACAAAGGAAAACACTGAAAATACACTTTTTAAGGTTTGTGTGAAACTTACCATTTTTGGAGCGCTACTGCACAAAGGCTATACAATAACCCAAAAATTTCTCACCAGATATGAAAAGAGCAATGTCTGAACTAACCATAGCCGACGGGAAATAATTCTGAGTGCCCTGTCAAGTGCCATTCTGGAGGGATGAAAATGGGGTAAAAAAATGCACTTTTGCTAGTTGTAAAAACATGCTGTATTATAGGGCCTAAAAATAATATAAAGGAGATTTTCCAGAAGTGTTTTTATTTTTTTCTTGTTAGGGTAAGGATGATACTTTGTCGTGATATAGTTACTTTGCAGTTTGGGTTGATGACCTTTGAAAATAACGCAAAAAATGAATTTTTGCAGCCTCAAAATTGCCCCAAAATGGCCAAAACACATAATGGCCCGTAACCATGGCAACGGGCAAAATATCGGATAAAAAAGTCTATTTTGGTTACTTGCTCCCAAAGTCCTGTCATCCCACAAAGTATACAAAAAAAAATTGAGCGTGGACACTTATATGAAGTATTTACACGAAATGACTCTTAAGTATTCCATCCCAATGACACACCACTCAAATGAAAGATCTTGTTGTCTCCTTTAATTTGATACCACATTTGTCGTTGTGATGCATGTACTTCTGAAGATTATCAACAATTTATATTTTTTTCATGTAATAATTAGCTGATGACGTCATAATGACGTCATACATGCCCTTCCCATCATCCATTTTTTTTGCGTCCGTATTTTTTTCGTAAAGGTAAACCATGGAGATGCTTTGGTGAAAAAATTGTGCTTTTGTCCACCGTGTAACGATCCTTAGCATTTTTGTTACTAATGTACCTCACTACCAAGGGCCGATACAAGGTCGCGCTCCACAATTGAGGGTATTTCCCAAGTTTCCCCTTTTTTCCTTTTTTTTGCAAGTGTTTCCCAATACTGTCTAAGCCACTCTGCTATTGAAAGTGTAATCGATTTTTTTTTTTTTTGGGGGGGCCATGTATTTATATAAATACAAACGTTCCTCTTCTGCTGGAGAACAAAATTACAATGCACAACTTTATACTGCAGGTCCATATTTTTCTTAAAAAGAATAAATTGGTCCGTCTTAACTTCGGGAAAATTACATTTATTTTCAAAGACGAACATAAGTAAATTATAACTATGATTACCTTGTAGATGATGCTATCATTGCAGTGTTGGCTGGGATAAAAGAACCCCATGGATGCTCTAAGAAAAAACCTAAGATACTTCAAGATAATGTTCTGTGATTCTCTGAGAGAACCCGAATACTTAGAAAAGTATAATTGTGGATAACTTAACAAGCCTTGCATGCAGTTAAAAACAAATCTTGCGATGTTGATTTCCTGTTATTTCGATCCTGGATTTATATTGGGGGTTTTGGTTGTTTTTTTTTTGTTTTTTTTCGTTGTTAGTTCGTTCAGCTTCTTCTTCTTTATATCCGTGCAACATACCGCGCAGTCTTGCACACAGTGCACACTGTGTGGGTCGGCTATCATAAGCACACGTACGAAACCTACACACTGGCAGCGAAGTGCAGCAATCGGGTCACGCCTTGGGTCACACGGGTTCTGCGAGAGAGATTTGGAAGAAGGAAATACATGTACATGAATTGATCTGCAGAACGCATCAATTGTAAAATACCCATAGGCGGACCTCGTGAGGGCCATGAAAGCTCGTCGCGTGACTTGTTTACTTTCAGTTTCAGTTTTGTAACCTTGGGCATAGCGGTATTAAAGAGTGAACGTTTAAAATGTTTTGGCTTTTGAAATCTTAAGCGAAAAAATGACAGTAAACGATCGAAACTCAGAGTCTTTTTGCCCCTTAGAAACCACTTTATAAGGAAAAGTAACTACGTGAAATTTTCCCCACAATGAATTTGTAAATATTTCTCTAAATTAAGCGCTTAAAAAAAGTTAAACTTGGCATCTTAAAAGAGGAAGTGCCTGATTGCCACGGCCGATTTCGTATGGTTTCTCTGGGCGCAGTCAAGTTCCCTGTAGATAACTTATAAATATCGCACATTCTATGTGACTGAAAAGTACGTGGTACACCTTCATCCCAATCGCATGACCGATGATTGATCTGCCATCTCGTTTCCTGCTGCCAACATCTGCAGAGGTGAAATATTCCATGTTGGCTGCCTCCATGAAACGTGCAAGTTGCTTTTCATGTCAAGGCCGAGCGGTTATACATGTATAGTTGTTTCGGAATCCGTCCAGACAGAACTTGCTCACACGTATAGAGGGCCTTTAAGTAATCAATGCCTCGTAGGTTGTCATGTATAAGTTGCAATTTTACCTTAACCTACATTCTTGAATTCTACTTTACGCGAAACGGAGGTCAGATGTGCGAAACATATTGTGCTCCACAAACGAAGGCATGGTACGGTCAAATTAGAACATGCGGGGAAGATTCCGTTTCCCACCCTTGTTTCTTTTCGGGTTTTTTTTTCTCGGAGATAATAATTTAGTTCTTTTAGTGGCCTTAGCTCTTCTGTATCTTTATAATTTATGAAAAGAATTAAACTGTTACAAACTGCTCATTGACTGGATTGACCTGCATTATGCAGATCAAAAAATTAAAATGGCCATTATGTTTTTTAAATCTGTATATTTTATTAAAAGAAGATTACAATGTAGCCAACCTACACGAAACGTTTAGGCTACAGCCTGTGTACATGTTTTATTTGTTATTTATTTCTATTTATACCGTCGTGTCTTAAGATACAGCTACTTAAGGTAAACAAAAACAAACTCCCCATTCCCCCCCCCAAGAAAATAAACAATTTCTTTGAATTTCCTTTAGATTTTGCATTTCATTTCTTAAAATTTTTCTTTTCCTCAGAATGTGTAGTGTTTTTTTTCAGAAAAATTCAGAAGATTCTACAAGCCAGCCAACTCAGTATGCATAAAAATATATAGAAAGGCATAAAAAAATATGTCTAGACCGCAAAGGCCCAGATATATTTTCCCCAGATATTTCTTTAAAAAAAAATCCTGTTTTGTATTGTTTGTTTGGGTTTTTGGGGGAGGGGTGTTGGGGGATTTCTAAGCCTACTATGCGGGGCTTCGGCTCGTTCACATTGGCTGGCCATGTTCAATGAGGTGGTCCTCAAGCCCAATTTAAAAGCTGCGGCAGTTTAATATTGGGTTTTGAAAAGCATTTGATCATCGTGAAACATGTTAGGTTTTAACATTTTCATTAGGTGATTGAAAAACACTCGAATTGTTAAAAAAAAAAAGTGTTAGGTATTTAGATGTTCATTCGGATTTTGAAAGCATTGGGATCGTAAATTTTTTTTTTTACAATTTTCATTCGGTTTGAAAAAAAATACGTTCCGTTTTACAAAAAAAAGTGTTCCAATCTTTTTTATTCTAATTCTGCTTCGTATTTGACCTGTCTTTAGTCCAGTAGCATAGGCTCATGCCTGATGTAGCCCACATAAAACTGTTCAGATATTGTCAATTAAATGGGTTTCTTTGCTATACCGTTTTGTACTTTTTTCCCCCAGATACTTGAAGTAGGCCTATTTTATACCGTGTTCCCGTGAATGAAGCGGGCCATCCATCAAGATGGTATCGCTGGCACGAGGAATCAACCTCCGGCTCAGTGTCACCATGATGAAACTCGCTCTGGTCCTGTTCATTAGCACCAGCTTGATAAGTCCAGTCCAGTCCAGTTTCATCCGGTTTAAACCAGACACCGAGTACATCTATACTTTCCACTCTTCCACGGATCTGAAGAAGGTCCGAACACTGCACGCCGAGTCTCAGGTATCGGCTAATTGTGTAAACTCATGACTTCACATGGGCATTACATCCCGAAAAGCGTATTTGAATACTAAACGCGTTTAAACGAAATTATTTTGAAAGAACATTTGAAAGTAGATTCATAAATGCCTGAGAAAGTTTACCATTTCCTATTGGTCGAGAGCCGCAGCGCGTCACTGGGCTGGTCTTAAATTGATGATAAAGATCTGGTCTTAAAACACTTTTCCAGTGATGACTCCTATAAAGTCTGCTAAATTTTACGCTTTTAGTGGTTGAACGTTCAAGATCTTCACTTAGACTGCGCATTATTACTAATGAGTCTGTATTTCGAGAGTTCTAAATTTAAACTACACCGCCGCCGCTGCGTTCCAGGCCACTTTGTATACACGGGAATCACTGAACCCCGACACGGGAATCAATGAAACGGCTATATTTATTGTGTAAAGTTGCCAGATCGAGTGCAAAGAGCAACTATTTAATGGGAGACTAGGGGAGGTTCTTATGGTCAATTTTTAGGGCCAGCCTTAGCGCAGCTTGATTTTTGCGAGGGATGCCGCGGCCCACGCTCGCACATTTTGTATGCACAATCTCCGGTCAAAGTTCTGGACTTTCATGCAACATAGACAGAGCTAATTGTGCACTTGCACTTGTTAATTTGCGGCGTACGTAGGAGTCCCCGAATGTGGATAAGCTGTAAAAGAAGGTTTTCAGTGATATTATAATATAAATTGATAAAATAAATAATGAACAATAAAAGTCAGCACAAATTACTTGAAGAACATCTTTAGCAATATTCTCTTGGAATCTTCAACGATTCATAAAATGGTTACTATTGAGAATGCTGCATTCGGCCTCCTTCGTACGTTTCTACTATCAAACCCATATTGCCCTCTTTCAAGCACTGCAAAAAGGTTTTAAAAAGTTAGCAATATTTTTTGTTCATGTTTAGGCAAAAAAAAAATAAGTTGGTCTCTGGTCAGCGCACGCGTCGATTTTAATCATGCGCGTCAATCTTTTTTTTTTTCCAAAATGTTCCGCGGTAGCTCAAACAGCGCGCTCTATTGCCGCACTTCTTCATTTTTCCCCCAAAGAGCACTAAGGAATGGGAAATTGCACCAAGGCAAATGATCGAGAGCACCAAGGCAAATTATGGAGGACACCAATGTACATGAGGACACCAAAATAAGCAAAATATTTCCCCACCTTGTCTGTACAATCCAAGCTTGAAGAAAAGAAAAAAAAGCAAAAAAAAAAAAAAGCTGCGTCCCCGCGTCAATTCCGAAACTTTGGTCTGACCAGAGACCGAATATTTTTTTTTGGCCTTATATATCGGATCTTCCCATGCATTCAGCCTTGCCTGTTGCACTCACCCTTTATGTGGTTTTTTTTTACTGTATGAAAAGATTGGCTTTGTATTGGTGAGGGGATTTGGCAAGAGCAACGAGCTCCAGGAGATTTATCTGCGGGTGCATTCGGCGTCCGTTACTAGCCAGGATGAACGAGGTATAGCAAGTTCTCGATAAAAATAAACTATAAGAGCAAAATAGGAGTTAACTATATATGTTCAGCCATAATTGTATCTGTCCTCAGTTGCCAACACGACCTTTGCTCGGCAACACTACCCTATCCGCTCCGTTCACAAGTACCCCCTCACCGCCGGGCAAAGAAAGTACAGTCGGGGCTGACCGAACGACGCCATCTTGCCTGACTGAAATATTTTGCCGCGAAGCGCGGCCACTGCGTGTACGTGTGTACGTAGTATAAATCCCCTGGTTTACGTGCGTCACACACAATGAACGGTGCACGCGTCAACCAGCGAAATGTATGTGTCCCTCCCATGGGACGTCATTACTAAGTAAAAGGGCGCCCTCTTGGTTGGCGCACGGAGCCTTCAGCCCTTATTTGAAACTGACCGACTGACAAACTTCCGTTTAAATAAACACTTAGTAACAGTGACTTAGTTATTTTTGAAGAAGCTTCCTCATTTATTTTGTTTTTCAGTTCTTTTGAGTGAAGAGAGAGACTTTAGCGATTGGTAAGTTTTGTTTTTGACCTGTGTGTATATCTTTCATTCCATAGCAATATACCATTTTGATGTCAGTTTATTCTTTGATATTGTTGTACGATTGTAGTTGATGTACAAATTACACTTGGACGCCCCACGAGTGTCATGTGAATGTACCGATGAAGACAAAGTAAATATATTATTGAAATTAACTGGAAGAATTTTATGTTTAAATATAAACATAAAGTTATGCAGGTCGTTGAAATTCAGTATTTGTAATTCTGCAAAATAAGGGAGATGTATGTTCTGATTAAGAGGATTTTGTAATTATTCTGACAGCTTTCTTCTGCAATAAAAACAGTTTATTACATTTTGAAGTTGCGCCACCCTATATGAGAATACCATTATTAAATATGAAAGAACAAAGGAATTATAAAGTGCTAAAAGAATAGAAGTATAGTAGTTCAATAAATGCTTTGAAAAAATCCAATTCGCCGAACTAGCCTTTTAATAAGCTACAGTTAGGAGCTTTTCTCATTTTACTCACGCTGTGAAAGCTCTTGCAACCCAATTTTTTTCTCTGTTTCCCTTTCGTGTTTCTCTTCATTTTGCCACTGATAAACTAAACCCAAAAATCCCCGTAAAACTGTTTGCCACAGAGGGGGAAACATTGTTTGGACTTGCACAAGTCCACACAACGGCGCTGCTACCTGGTTTATGTGTATACTGGCCTCAGAGTGCGCAAGCGCGCCCCCTATCCAGTTAGCTAACCACGCGGCAGGAAGTAAACGTGGAGACCGTAGAGTTGAAAGTTGTACTCTTGTCTTTATTCCAATAACTACTTCGCTCTTGCCCTGACCTTAAAACTGTAAAACAGAGATTATAAAAAACGTATGTCAGTCCTCCATGTTTATGAGGTAAAATGATAAAAACCAGCATTAAGTACTTCAACTTCTTGTCAATAAATTTAAAAGGCCCTTAACATTAAACAGTCTCATCCCTAGAGATTATAAACACACACATGTGAAAATGGTTCATTCATGGAAACCTAATGTAGCACAGTTCACAGAAAAATGAAAGTTATGTTAAACAAAATCCTAATACACGTACATGTACAGTATAGTCCCAAGCCGTTTCATAAAATGAAGTGATTACATGTTTACCATGTCCAGCCATCTACATTATGTAAATCCAGTAAACCTACAGACTTGTGATTTCCAGGCTTCCTGGCATAATCAGAACGTCATCTAAAGAACTCTGTCACACATGTGTTCCTAAACTGTGAAAATAATCCATACATGTAGGCTCATAAAGAATGTGAGGGTAAATTGTGAGGGTGATTGGGTAATAAAACTTCTTTTAATCAAAGGTCGTAAATAAGAGCTCAAGTTATTTGTTCCAGCATTAACAGACTTCAAAGTTAACACTTACAAGGCTTAAGAAACATAACACTCATCCCGCAAGATGTCTCTTGACACTGCAAATGTGCGACTTCCTATAACAGATAAACAATGAACGGGACGACTTCAATTACAAAATGTCCGACTCTATACGTTATACATGAAAACTAACATGTCATTTGACTTAATTTATACACAACAAAAATGAGACAGATCCAGAAAACAAACCCAAAATCACAAGTAAATGCCACGCTTTAAATCTAGATAACAACAAAGTATTGATTCTCTACTTACATATAAACATGTGGATGTCGAACCCCAAAGGATGAAGCCTCTAAAAACACTTATTTTAGAGCTTTCTGACACATGACTGTGCAGACCGTTAATCCAAAAAAAAACGGTCTAGTCTCGAAACAAGAAAATACGCGATGCGCATGCGCAACGCGCGCTTTCGTTTGGGTTTGGCACGCCTGGACATAAATGAACAAATAAAAAATCGCGTACAGCACAATGTCGACCTATTTTGTTCGAATGTCCGCACAGTGAATGTAATGCTTGTACACTCACACACGTTTGCTTATGGTGTAAATTGAGGATTTTCTTTTGTTCCTCTTCCCTTTTCCTTTGTTTGTACTCTTTTTGCAACAGCTCTTATTGGTTTTGTACACGTTTTCCAAACGAGGAGTCTTCGATTCGGTTTCTGTCCTCGATTTTTCGATGGTGTTGCAAGTGTGTGTCCCCGATTTAACCAGTTACACGCGCAAGTGTGTATTTGCCTGCAATCGGGGGCCTCCTATTGTCCCTTCTTTTGTTTTTTCATTAACTTTTAAGAAAGACCTCCCATAATTTTTTGTACAAGAATCCAAATTGGGGACCCTATTGCCCTTTATTGTTCAACGTCGCCTATTCAATGCAGAAACAAACTCACACGCACACAGGATTTCTAACTGCAAAGGAAGCTCTTATTTATTTCGCCAAAAGGACTCTGCGGTCAACTCGCAGCACCGCTATCAGAACTGCAACTGCTGATTCCAAGCATAGAAAAACACAGCTACACACAATGTATTACACTGTAACAACTTTAGCCCTCCCTAGAGTAGCCACACCTTTTAGTGATCTATTTATAGGGCCTATTTCCGAAGCGCACGCCATTAACCAGAAAATAGAACAAAAGAATAAGGCTTTTAAAAGCACAGAGAGCTCTTTGGCGCAGTGTGGGAGATTACAATAAACTGAACGCATTGGATTTTGTTTATTCATTTAAATCGATGGGCATTGCCTGGACGATCAGTCTTCCTCTTACTAATTATGGGGAGTGTGTGAAAAATCCAGTTAATAAAAGTGTTGAAGCTGTTGAAATTCTTTATAACCCAAACTGTCTTCTGTTATTTCTTTTGGGGCATAGGTTTTCCTTTGATATCAGTGAAAACGGAGCGATCGGTCAAGTATACTACCCACGTGATGAAGACGATCACGTGATATGGGCCAAGAAAGGTCTGGCTAGTCTCTTAGCTGGTAACCTGCAACATCCTCCAACAGACAAGGTACAGACAACTTTAGTTCTAAGATTATACATAGTACGTAAATTCAGATCACTTTCAAATTTAATATCATTGGGGTTTCCCTTCACCATAGGGTCTATTGTAGTTTGGGTTTATACCCAACTTCCCACTTTCCCGTTTTGTAATCATGCTCTGCTTTGAGACAAGCGTATTTCAGTCAATGTGAGTGTATTTCACAGATATCTGATTCCTACGGGTTACACCTATATTTTCTGACACCCCTATGCTCCGACTGCACATGTTCCTATTCCTAACCCTAACCCCAACCCTAAGCGGGTTGTCGGAACATAGGGGTGTCGGAACATGCATGTAGGGGTGTCGGAACAAAGAGTCGTCACCATCCCCACGTTCACTGAAAACGTTTCCCTTGTCAGATTTGCCTCGGAATCCGTGTATTGTTTGGCCTAATATTATGACAAAACTAATTTTGTTTGTGTAAAAATGAAACCTTTTCTGAGATGTCCGGGTCAAAACTGAACCGAAATTGAATCGGAGAAGTGTCAATTTTACTCAGAAACTTAGTGTATTTTTTACCATGAAAAGTGTAGGCCAAATGTAACACTGATTCTAGGTCATATCTGTCCAGCGAGTTTTGCAATATTTCCTGCAACTGATCTGCATCAAATAACTTCGGTTTGTACCTGATAAGAAGCTCAATGCTCGCTAGTGCAATTACTCATGAAATATTAAGTTGACATGAATGACTTAAATATAAACACCGCAAAAGAATTCCACACTCACAAGAGGGGTTATACTTGATGACGTCATTTTTATAGACCTTTGGGGAATTTTGCTAGCTACATTTGAATACCCCGTTTGATAACAAAGACTGTAGTTGGAAAAGTTGCAAATTGAAAAGATTACGCGAGTGGAAATGGCGAGGTGACAATGTTACACTTCCCGAAACGAACGCCAAGGAATATTGAATGACCTGTGCTTTGTTCGGGCACTGTGCAATCGATACGGGCCAATTACCGGCATGTGTGGTTACGCTTAGCAATCTCTCCTGATAACCTGATTTCATAAAGGTATCAAAATGTGGCTTACAAAATTCTCAAAACGTCTATGACGTCACCATCAGATCCAAAATTATGACCCCTCCAATGAGTGTTGACCAAATTAAAGTAATTATTCGAAAATAGTGTTCTAAAAGAACTGGATTAGGTTTTGTGCCTAATCTCAAAATGATCGTTGTTACACAATTGTATTGATAAATCGATTCTCTTTCACCTCCCATTTGGACAGATGAAGGGAAGCGGCTGGAGCTACGACTGCAATGAGACAGGTCACGAGGGTCACCACGAGTCGTCCTACACGGCTCAGATGGCACCGGGCAATGATGGCATTATTGTCTTCACTAAGACTAGACGCACACACCCAATACCTTACGGCAAATCCAAACACCAAAAGGTAAGCATATGAGTGGGGCATTTTGGGACCAGGACAAAGTGTTCAACTAAAGATATCTTCTGCACCTTTTTCCCTCAATTGAAATAGAAAGGCTGCATTGTCCATTAACATTAATCAAAATTCGAGTTGTACCCAGTAGCGCGCGCCGGAACCTAGGATGGATGATTTCATTTTCTTGCGAGTACTCTAGCTGCGAGTGCTTGCAGAAATTGCCAAGTTTTGAACATGTCCAAAATCCCGCGAGCAACTGCGAGCTTTCACTGCCAGCTGCAAGTACCTGCAAGTGGCTGCGAGTAACCCCCTCACACGGGACAAGTTCCTGTGGGAGACTGCCTTAAATAACTGTTACGTTCCGCTCGTGTCGCCCTTGATACGGAGATTTTACTCGCTTATTGAAAAACAGCGACGACAACAGAACTCGAATAACATATCGGTCTTAAATGTTACACTATAACACCGCATAATTGTTATGACACTCTAACACCACGTTACAATATGTCATGTTCAGGAGAAACTTTCAAAGAAAATCTTCCAATGACAGGAACAAAACGGTCGCGAACTTCAAAAACAAAACACACAGACGGTGTAGCTGGATACAATTTACCTTTAATTTAGATTCCACAAGCTTTTCCAGTAATGTTTTATGGCAACCCGGTCAGTTTTGCTAATCCGATGGTTCAAGTGCTGCAGCTAGGATGCGAGCGAGTTCGTATTTCCGAAACTTTAAATGTTTATTTCCCCCCCCCCAAAAAAAGAAAATCCTACTAACCGATGAAATAAAATTTATATAGGATATTTTTTCATTCCCCCCCCTGTGTCATTGCCGATGACCATAATAACCCAGTTTACATGAGAGATAAGACGCAAGATATGTTACCAAATATGTACTTTGGATTTATTTTTTGTTTAAAACCTTTGTAAACGTTTGTTTTAATTAACTATTTATCGAAACGATTCTGTTCAAGTTGCTTGCTTTTTGAAAAATATTTCCAATATTACAGCTTCGTGATACGAATATGCAAAATGTTATTTCGTCGACTCTTTTGATCCAGAGGACATATGCCTTTTCAGTTTACAATATCCAGATTAAATTATTATTGTCTGTCCTTTACCTCTTACATACCAACATAGAATTTCTTTTTTAAGGTTTGCATCAAAGTCAGTTCTGAAATTCATATAGATTTTTTTTTTAAGTCACATATTCTATTTGAGACACAACTATGAACACCAGGTATTATTATATCTGTTTGTTCCTAACCAAACGGTTTCAAAGTCTTAACTTAAAGGATTTCTGTTGGAAACTATGGCACAGTAAAAGATCATCGCTGCATTGTTTCGTGTTCTGAAGCAGCTATTAAGGTTTGCATTTGTACAAGAATTTGGAATAGAATACATCGTTGTTGAATGGACAAGAAGGTTATTTGAAAGGGTCCTTGTCAAAATTTAATGCAATTATAGTTGGCACATCGGTCGAATTATCCATCCTAATTAGTTGGCATATCGGACGATAAGTCATTTTACATTAGTACTGATCGATAATTCCAACCATTACATTGAGACCAATTTCTTCAGAAGGAGCCTTCGTAAAGTGTTATCATTTATTGGTCGAATAGGAAATCCACTATCATCCTGCCATGAAGCTCCCATTAATGGTCAAGATACTGGATCACTTTGATGCCCCAAGAGAATCGGCACCAGGGTACGGGTATGAGTTTTATATTCCCCATGTTTACCATGATTTTTAAACAATGAAAAGTAGGGGTGTTCTTAAAGATGGAGCATACTAGCGAATTGCAAAAACTAGTTGCAACTTTGCATCTACCTGACAGTTCGGACCAGTTTGGTGCAATTTTAATTTTTTCTTGTCAATTTGAATAAAGTGTACTACAGAGAGTGCTTTAAAAAAAGTGTGCCTTGTACTTGTACTCTGGCAAGTACTCGTATTCGTACTTGTGAAAAAAAGTACTCGACTTCAACACTGCAATAAGGCGTTGCACTTGAGGTCAACATTTTTTTGTCAATTTCTTTTTTTTTTAATACAAATCAGTACAAATGAAGTTGAAAGCCCAAATGCATTACACTCTTTCATTTCCCCCAAAAAGTACCCCCAAACTGACAATTTTGTCAAAATAGGGAAAGAAATTAAAGAATGGCTTTTTGCACCAACGGCTATTTGGCTTCACGTCATAAATTACATTAAGGTGCAATTAATTTTGGTCTAAATTGCACGCTTGACACAAAGGTTTGCCCAAGAAAACATGCTCTTGACCCTCAATAAAACCTTTAAAAAAAGGCAGCAATGTTAATGCTTGTCTGTCAAAGCCTACCAGAGCTATTATTCATAATATGCCTCCAATCTTCCGCTGTCCTAAAAATTATGTTTTAACGAATACGTTTTAGCTGCTCCATAAACTTATTTTCAGATGAACTGTTATAGTGACTTAAAAAAGGTCTGGCATTCGATTTTTAAATAGTGAAAACACGTTTTATTTTCAGATTTCGTCATCAACATCAAGGGGATGAGCAAACAGAAGAAGAATTTGGTAATTAACCATTGTAGTGTATCGATGCCTTAGTGATCGTTGTTTTCAAGAGAAAATTCGTGAACCTGACAATGGTCCAGTCCAGTCCGGTTCGGTCCAGTCCAGTCCGGTCCAGTCGGTCCGTTGCGGTCCGGTCAAGTCTGGTCCAGTCCGGTCCGATCTGGTGCGGTTCGGTTCTGTCAGATCCGGACTGCATGGTTTGGTGTGGTCTGGTCTGGTGCGGTTCGGTCCGGTCAAATATGTTGAGATGTAATGACATGTATGGGAAAGTAACAATACGCAGGTATAATGAGATTGAAAACATTGAAACATAAATTCGTTCCCCCGGTTTTGGCATTGATTGTAATATGTTTGAAATAATTTGTTTGTCGCACATCATTGTTAGCTGTTACATATATACATGAACCAAACTAATAAGGTTTTAATGCATTGGTTTCTATCGTTTGGATGTTCTTCAGAGTTTCCTGAGATGCAGACCTCCTCTGAAGGGCAGCTGACCTTTGAACGAGAGACATACTATTCATCACCAAGTGGGCCACCTGATGATGAGGATATAGTCACAGACTCAATACACTTGAAGAAGGTAAAAAGGATATATATGTATTCGAGGTCACATGTAAGTGTTCTACATGGGTCATTTTATAAACTAAGGGGCAAAACTCTAATATAATAGCCCGACTTCATCAAGTGAACGGGAAGGTAAAATGCGGCCCAAAGTAAATGGAATAGCCCAGTGAATTGATGGCGTATGTCTTGTATCCCTTTATGTGTTATTTGCAATAATTTAATTCAGCATTAAGATTCCCATAGGAAGCACATACTGGGATGTCTCGATGTGTATCACTGGTGGAGACAGAAATAGTAATGCTATGGGGTTTCATAAAAAAAGTGTTTTGTTTTTCAGTGTGCTAATACAATTACGAATCGACCCATAAATACATCTTCGTATAATATTGAGTGTTTTTTTTATGTTCATTCACGCATCATATACGATTTTTAGCCCCTGCGTAGTCATGTGAACACCGATATGGCGTCATTGAAGGAACAGATTTCTGGCAACCTGACATGCATGAGGAAATCTGCGCTGAAAGGTAAAAAGACCGATACAGCTGATAAAGTTAGCTCTCTACAGCTTGAAGTGTATGGCACACATAAGCACTTTTGAAAACCAGAAGTGCACAGTACAGCTGCGTTCCTCAATTATACAAAGGTTCGCAAATCAGGTAAATGTGGAGAAAAGCCCCTCGCATGAGATTTTCGTATGGATACATTTTCGAAATTTAATATTAATTTCGAAATCATCAATGACGTAAAGTTTGAAACAATGTATACCCAGTACCTATTTCGAGACATTGTGAAAATACTTTACAAAGCTAGCTTAGGTTGGAGTACAATCCCGACCTATACGGAAGGAGACTGTGGATTAAACCAGACCAATGAGAAAATAGGAGGCTGCAATAATCAGGACTATTCTCAGCAAAAAGTACATCTATGTCAATTGATTTTTGCGACACACAGAATCCAAGCAACAGAGCCAATGTTTCCAGGATCTAGTTCAGACCTTGCACTCCGTGCCTGATGGTCAGAAACTGGCAGAGATAGTGGCTCCAATGTACAAGCCGCCCATGTCAAGGTATGCAATAGATGGGGGCCTATTATTTAAAGCACATTAACTTCAACCATGTACTAGAATAAAGAATGTTGTTCATATGCTTTTCTAATATCATAATTTGTTTTATATGTATGGAAACCTATCCAAGTGCTAAAATCATCGCGCCAAAGATGCTATATGTGACACACTAACCTTATTACTTTTACATCCGCCCTACGATTGTCTCTTCTCAGACGGGTTCGTGACAAGCAGGACAGGCTGAACATGTTGGATGCGGTTGCCGCGATGCACACTGATACTTCTCAGTCACTCCTCACTGATGCCATCCTCTTGTCGCCGAAACCAAACAAGGAGCTGGTAGAGAGACTACTCATTGCCAGTGCTGGCTTCATACATGCTATTTCAGAGGTAGTACATATAGATTCTTTCAAGTTGTACACTCGAACAAAGTCTATAAGGGCGACATTCTACATTTGTTTTTACCAATTTTCAATAAATTTTGTTTTTCAGCATTACCTGGAGAATGTGGAGAATATCGTCTTCAAGTCACACACATTCCCTAGTGAGTATTTTGTTAGTTCTTGAACAAAGAATCATGTAGTTGCCTCCATGGTTCAAAAAGTAGAATATGTTTGTTCTCCGTGCAACCGGTTTTTTTTTTCATTTTGTACATGCCCCTAATTCCCACTGGTCTGTTCGAAAAGGGGGAGGGGACCTGTATTGCTGACCTCAGGAGAGAAAAAACAGTACACCTACTTTACTGTAATACTATTTTGTAGAGGATCGGGGCACACAATTGCAGAGTAATTAAGGACCAAAATGGGTACTGCTACTTGTACATTTTGTTAAAGCCGATAGTTGATGGATGAATTTAGCTGACGGTTTGAGGTCCCATGGGTTCTCTTTGAATAATAATTCGAATGATTTTTCAATTCGCTTTTGATACAGAACCTCTAAGGGACCCCGAGATACAGAGAGTTGCTGTGCTGGTACTCGGTGCCCTCGCTGGTCACCGATGGAAGGCCGGATACAGAGCTCAAGCAGAGTCCATTGTCATCAAGATTGAGAATAAACTCGGCGTACATGGTAAGGGAGAACAATCCTCTGTTGTTTGAAAAAAGAGTCTACTTTACTAACGCTATCAGTTTAAGCGAAAAATGAAAATCCCATTTTTAAGATGTGGCTATTTCCAACATGATCTGAGACTAGAACTCATTGTTAGAAACGCGATTTCTGTAGACTTTTGAGACTAACTTAGAGTTAAGCGACAGTTTTACACAGGTGGAGCAATAGTTTCCATTTACTGAATATAGTTTAAATTGATAGTTCTGTTAAATAGTCATATTTTTGGTATAATTTTCAATGTTCAGACCCCTGGGTGTACGAGAAGACCTTGACATCTCTGACCGAGGATGAGCGAGATGATTTTCACCACGACATGGTGGCTTTGATTGAATCCCTGGGCAATGCTGGGCTCCATCGTTCCTTCCCTCACATCCAGAGCTATACCAACCACAGCGCTACTCATCCACTGCTGAAAAGGGCTGGCTTACACTCCATGAGAGACTACCATCATGACATGGTAACATAAAGTTCAGTTAACCTGGGTTATTTTGAACATCTCACAGCCGCCCCCCCCCCTCCCCAACCCTTATATCTCGGCCATCAAGTGGCAAAAAATTATGAAACTTTGTACATGCATGGAACAAACAAACATAAACATACACATAGGTTTAACAGTTTTGGAATTATTGGCTAGTAATTATTCATATGCACCAGTACTAATTCTGCTTTGTAAACACTACATTATCGGGGAAGTTAGATTTCACGGCGCGCAGCGCCGACCAATATTTCGCTGAGCGAACAACCATGGCAAGACTTGAGGCTTAAAAGTCTGGAAAGTTCGGATCTGGAAATCAGTTTTTTTGCAAGGGTATTGCGGAAATTTGAGAAGGGGGAATTATTCCCCCCGGGCCTTGCTAGGGTTAATCCTAAGAAAAAAAATATAATGACACAGGGGCGGCTCCAGGAATTTTCGCAGGGGGGGGGGGGGGGTTTATCAGCAAAAAAGTCAGAAAATGTACACAGGTTTTTTTCTCCGGACACTTCGCCTCCGTAAAATCAAAAACTGGTGGGAGGGGGGGGGGGGGGGGCTGGTACCATATTTCAATAGGAGGCGCTGTTCAAATTCGACGATTGTTAACACTAGATTACAGAATGGTGTACCGTATTTTGAACAGGCGGACATTATACCAGTATAATTTTTTGGTCGGTGTCAGGAGGGGGGGTCGACTTATTTTTTTAGGATTTTGTATGATAATTTTTTTTTGGACTAAGCGGGGGGGGGGGGGGGTTCTGACCCCCAAAGCGCCCCCCCCCCCCTCAGGAGCCGCGCCTGAGACAGCCTGTCAAAGATACAGATAATTGAGAAGAAATAAAGACTTTCCTTAACTTATAAATAATTAAATAATTGTATTGTATAATTGCCTATTAAACAATGTTTGTTTGTCTCTCTCTTATTCTCCTTTTTTTCAATCAAATAATGTTCGTTTCAGGTGTTTGCAACCCTCGGTAAAACAAGGACGATTTCTTTTTCGGTCGACGTCTTTCAAGAAAACTTGCAGAAAAAAAAAAAAACTTTAGTTTTCGGGTAGGCAGTAAACGAACTTAACTTGAGGAAGTAACGTTTAATGTTAGAAAAAGTTGGGGTTTTCCCCATTCTTTTCACACTGTTTCGCTGCACGTATCTAAATGACAAGCTTTACGTCACGATACGTCTGCTTTTGTTCGTCGCATGTAGGCAGCTGGGATTCTTCTCAAGTCAGCCCTGGATGAAGATGAGGACGAGCATGTCAGATACGAGGCTTCACTCTTCTACAAGAATCATCCAATGGGTGGTCACCAAAATATCTCCAAGTTTGTCACCCCAGAGGAGTGAGTATGAAATCTCGTACAGGCCTACATTTTTTTAAAGAAAAAAACCAATAGACGTCAGACATAATGACGTCACGTTTTGTTTACATGTCCGCTTTCCTATTAGAGCTAGGTGAGACGTTTTTGAGGTCTTGTCATGATCATAAATGGAAATTGTCTTACCCATCGTTATTTCTAAATGTTTGGTTAATTTTCCTAAAATCGGCTGAAATGTTAGCTGGCTTTTGTTTGATTGCTCAATATCCAACACAAGAGGGCGCGTTTTTTGTGTACCCAATCATGCCCATTTCTAATCCAGAAAAAGTTTGTATTAAAAATGCTCTCAAGTTTAGCACATGATTATTTTCTCTAAATTAGTAAAAGAACATTCGGCACTCAGAAGCGATGCTAGTGGACGATTTTTCACATTGTATTAGAAATTATAATAATGCTATTTGCATTTGCCTCCCAAATTCGACGCGTTCCGGAGATACAGCTCAAAAAAAAGATAGTTTCGTAGAGAACAGACACAACCCTCGCTCTTCGAACGGTTACAATTACTTCAAACAATTATACGGCTAAAAAGTATTGCTCTGTTAGGCATACGGTTATCATAAGCTTAACTTTGTCCATTAGTAAAGTCCAAAATGAATGCCATTATCATTCCTGATCAGATATTCTGCAGACAATTTCTCCCAAGATGTAGCTTCCGCTGCTATAAGCCTGCCCTCCAGGCGTCGCTTGAGACGGGGATTCTGGGACAGATTCTCCTTTACGTTGCCCAGTCCGTCCATTTCCTGGAAGAAACTCCTTGGCAGCCGATTGGTTGGAGCAGAGTTTGGAGTGACCATCAGGAATGAACTTAAAATGGAAATTGGTATGTATAAGATAGAACACTATTATGTGCTCGACCTCTGTTTATTGGTAAAAAACAGAGGTGGATTATTTTTCGCAGAACCTGTCATCAGTAGTTGTTGAGATTTGCCCATTGGATAACGCACAATTACTCGAAATGGAGAAAACCGTACCTGGAGAAAAGATTTTCCAACAGATCAGATGCACTTATTTAATTCATTTTTTTGAACTCTTACAGCTCCCCTGAGTGGTCATGTCGGCGTGGATATTTTAGACGAGGCCTATGCAACAGTCTTGGTAGGACTTGTCGGTTTTTCAATGGATATCGCCCGGGCTCGTTTTTGCTTCAATGGTTACGCTGATTATAACCTCAACATACTACAGGTATATGTTACTTCCCTTCTTATGTGCTATATCTTCTGTCGATAAATACACGTGAAAAAAAGTTGGCGTTAAATAACATTGCTCTGTTTGTCATGATACCAAAGCAGTTCCTCTGATCAAAGTTATAAAATAAAAAGGTACTTATTTGTCACAATCAGGAATTTGGTGTGGAGCGCATCACTGACTTTGCAAAAGCGTACGATCTCATCATTGGGCAAGTAGTTGGGAACATCAGGAGGGCAGTGGACGTTGTTGTTAAACTCTTCAACGGCGAGATAAGCATTGCTCAGCTATTTGACGACTTTGTTCAATCACTAGAGAATATCCCTACCTCCGTAACCGTAAGTATATTTTGACCGTAGCATAATGGTACTAGTGGTATTTGGCTGTAATAATTATAGGTTTTATTGTGCTAACTTTTGCGCTAATCATACTAGTGTGGTACTGATTAGAAGCTGATCAAAGTCAATTATTCTCTAAAACTCGATACTTAACAACGCGAATAAATTATTTTCTGAGGCGCCTGCGCACGCGCACCTGAAAAGGAATTTGTTAATAAATTACAACAATAATCCATGTGATTAGGAAATTCGCTTTACCGCAGCAGCACAGGGCCGATATAACTCAGCGTGCAGATGACTCGATGGGGCGCTTCCATTACCAACGATAACCCCCCCATACTCACCTCATAACTTCAGGTTGTAGTTACTTACAATGTCTCATCTGAGTGACTGGTTTCTTCTTAATAAATACTTTTCTTAGCGGTTAGTGCAAGGAAGATAAAGATCTTTGGAAGTATCTTCTGTATAAAACTACAAATGAAAAGCGTTTTCTCATACAATTTTGTTTTATAAAATTAGCCTACCAGGATTGTTTCGTAGCATGTCTGATTGGATTTTAATGGATTTGGTGCTAAATGTATTTTATTAGTCAAATTAGGTTTTGCCCTTCACCGATGTATAAACACTGTATACTCAGTGTGTTACCTCCCGAGTGAAAGTCGGAAAAAAAATCACTCTGGTGGAACTCGAACCCACGACCTCCTACTTTCTAGTGCGGATGTCTTACCACTCGACCACCGAGCTAACGGGATCGGCTAGCTGGTTCGAATCTAATGTACATAGCATACAGTGTTTATATGTCGGTGAAGGACACAACCTAATTTGATTTACATCACCCGGCGCAAAATTCAATCTTATTTTATTAGTAATATATTTTATAATTGTTCATGTCCGTTATGCAGAATTTGAGATCAGTGGCCATGCAGGCTGTGTTCAGATTGTCTCAGTTTGACCCAGATCAGATGCCAGCTTCCTTCAAAGGTGTGATCAGTGTCGTCAACAAGGCTACTCAGCTCTTCAGTGATATCAAAACAGATGTCATGGAATTCTACCAGGTATAGCTATTTGTTTTCCTCTGCAGTTGGGTATAGTCAGTATAGTCCATTATACGTATGCGTACAGAAGACAGATAATGCCACTTGATAAGTTTGAATATATTTTTGTGTACGTGTGAAAATATTTTATTTGTACAACAGCCGCCACTTATTATGTGGTGGCCGCCACACGATTCCCAGCATACGTCCACGATTGGGGTCGTGTATAAAACCTATGGGAGTCTTCCTAAAAAGTTAAGGGTACAAACAAAAGAGGGACAATGGGACGTCAACGATCGACGGTGTGAACACGTTTGCGTGCGTGTACAAGTTTACATTCACTGAGTGGACCTACGAACAAAAGATGTCAACATAAACCAGGTAGCATCGACGTTGTGTGGACTTGCCCACAACTTCATATTTGTTCTGCTAAGGTTGAAGAAATTGTGTGTGGTCATGATTATATGGTATGCTGTAACCGATCGGGGGTTAGAAGAAAATAAGGATCAAGGAAACAGGGATGCAGAGGCACAAGGATAAAGTTCCGAGTTCCAGGCAATTTTCTTTAGGTACAAAAGTTCAGCCTGTGTAATTGTAGGTTGATGTTTGTTACAACAATGTCCCCCAAAAAACGACATGCAGTCAATTGAATAATGGCTCTGTAATGATTAAACAAAACAAAAATATATAAATTAAACAAAAATACATAAATTAATATATACAGTGATTCACATTTGATCATTAATTTAATATTTTAAGTTCATTAACAATTATATTTTTCTAGAGAGTGGAAGAGGCTTTCCTAGTCACATCCAAAAAGTTCAATGTAACCATATTCACTATTCACTCTATGTACATATAGTACCGGTATGTGTTCTCCAAGTACATGTTTACATTGCTAAAACAGTTATTTGTCATGGAATCTATATTATTTTAATTTGTTCCATGAAAGTTTCAAATATCATGAAATCTACCTTAATTTGTTCCATGGAAGTTTAAAATATCATGAAACAAGTGCAAAATTGATAAGTTTACACCCTAGATAAAGATGAACCACATTATTAATCAAAACACCTACCAACTTTATAAATGAGCAGGGATTGACAAATACGCCTGGGCTAAGCCGGCTGTTCACGATGTAAAGGCACTGTCAAGATGTATACATGCGGCGTCCCCCGACCTGTGCCAACCGAAGAGATGTGCTAACAAACACGGGCAATTCTAATTTACAATGGCTGCCAGTGCTTACGTATCGCAGAAAACGTATGATATTAGAACAAGTATCTCAGCAGAGACACGATGTTCACTCATGAAATCTCCAGAAGAGAGTGACAGAAAATTTAAACTAGGCCAACCACACCTAAATTTTTCACATCTAAGCAAGGCATAGTAGCACAACAATAAAGACTATCATGCTACTCGCATAGCTACAAATCTACAGCATCCCACAATGCAGAGTAAAGGCATGTAAATCAGTGCATCTCTATAGGGCGCTTTGTATGCGCACAGCATAGCTGCATAACATTATAACAGGGGAATGCAAGTGAACTACAATACAATAGAGGGCGCGCTACATGGCATCGCTGCACATTTGTAGTTCCAGATCATGACACTATAGAGAAAGGAATGCGAGAAAGAATTGAAGAGAAAAAAAGAATGTGTCATTAGAACCGTGGAGGGACCAGATGACATAAGTCCGATCGGTCACACTCAACACTAGATACAGTAGAAGTAAGAATTTCAATCTGTGTTAGACAGTGGAGGGACCAGGTGACTAACCGGGTCGACTGGTCACAATACATTTTCCCTGTACATAGTTTGGATGAACCTTGATTTGTTCCAATTTCCTGCAGGCCGTCAGTGAAGCAATCACTGTCACTTTGCCCTGGGCAGCCGAGCAGATCTGGAAGTCTATCGTTTCAGTTTCAGATTCTATTGGAGGCCTACTAAAGTCACCCCTGGAAGCAATCGGAGCCATCTTCAAAGGTGTCCTCAAGTAAGTGTAGACAGTGATGTACGCGCTGAAGTATTGAGCCTGGATGTTTGCCCTTGAAAAGGAAATTAATATGCAAACATCCTAAAATTTGCAATTATTTTTAGTAAATTTTTGATAAATTGCATGACTTGAAAGAGAAATATCGTGCCAAATATTGACCTCTCACTTCCGATAAGTACATGCGGACCAGTGAAACTTGTTGCACTCGTACATCGGATAAAAATTATGAAATCATTTTGTGACGGTCAATTGATAACTTAAATTAATAACGAAAAGCAAAGTATCTTTTTGTGTTTACTATGTTTTTAAAATAAACTTGAAGGGCTCGTTAGCATTTACAAAATAAAATCTAAATGTGCGCTGATAATGACTGCAATCAAGCCGTCCTGACTAAATCTAGAACCCTTGAGTTAAAGATTTCCATATACGAAGTTCACTCAACACCCTGTGTACAAACCCGATGAGATTGGACTGAAAAATTCTAAGTGTTTTCTAAGAAAATATTTGTATTTTCTCACTGCTCAAATTGACTTTGATGACATTAAATTGCTATCTGGGGGCTTGTTAGTCATTACAGAGGAAAATTAGTGAACTTTGTATATGGAAATATTTCCCCCTTGAGTTGTAGGTAGGTTCATCTTAAAGTCGTTGTATATTCTCGTACACACGCAAGTAAGCGATGTGAAAAACAAACGTTAACGAACAAGGAACACCTAGGAACCAAAATGCCCGATGTGTAAGGTTGTACATGAAATTCGTTTTAACTATTTCCAAGTGATTTTTCATCACTTTCTTTTTAAAGAATTCCAAAATAAAATTCCAACATGAATGCTTCTCGGGGTGGTATTCGATTAGAAATTATTCTGCAAAAATATTAGTAAGAGAAGGACAACCCAGTGTAAAATGTCCATGCCCAAGCTGAGCCGCGTGGCATTTCACTCGTACGCTCTTTCCAGATTTAGAATACAAAGCAATAGAAATATAATTATTACCGTGTCCATTCTCTTCCAGCCTCTAGACCTTTCAAATCAGCAGATATGTAAAAGTTACTACACAGAGTGCATCAGGTGTTACTACGAACCCAACATAAGTAACTTCTTTTCTATGCCATAATTATCATCGTTATGCTTTTTTATCAGCATTAAGACTTCTGTTACTGAAATCCTGAATGCCAAGAAGGAGATAGAAGAAGCCAACTTTTTCAAAGAAGGTGAGGAACAGTTACATGTTTTCCTCTACCAATTGATCCGGCCGGTATATTTGAGGGTTTGAGGTATTGAGAGGTGCCTTGAATAATTTCAGCAAGTTCTGTCTTGCCAAACAGGTCAGAGGCCGTACTGGTTTGATCTACCCAAGGTCCTCGGTGGTATTCTCAGAGAGTTACTGGAACACCTCCGCAACATCAGAAGAGATCTTAGCGTTTGGGTGTCCGAGATTGACAGCTCATCAGATCCCGTCAAGAAGTTGACAGGGGGTGCTTTTGACTCGGTAAGACACATCAAAGCACTTTTTTAATTTAAATTAAATTATTAAATTAAATTATTAAGTTATTACATTTTTTAGAATGAAAATAAACAATCTGCTGCAAAACAATTGCAAACTGGATTGACCTGAAATATACAAATCAAACACAAATAAAACGACCTAATGTTGGCATCCTAGCAGTATCTTTGTCAAAGACAAACTGGCAGGGATTACAGAAATAGACAAATGAGGGACACACAACCTATGTGTGGTTGTGCCTCATTTATGTGTCTGTTTCCTGTTAGGCCATCTTATTTTGTTTTGATTTTAATTACATTTTTGATATTGTACAGATTCCCATTTCTTACTGAAAATAAAAGCAATATTGCTTCATCAGAGAACAGAAATCGATCTATTTTCATTGTTTGATAGACTGCTAATTTAACACGGCTGAATTAAATCAACATGCAATAAGTTTTGCTAATATCTATTTATTGCTCTAGGTTAAAAGGGATATACAACATTTGCTTTTGCTGTAATTTTCAGAAATGGACGGATTTGGGGGTAATTATTTTGTAGCATTGTAACAATGATCTGTTTAAATTAAAGTTCTGTGTTCCTAGATAATGGAGAAACTAAGAAAAACAATGCTGTTCTTGTAGTGTGATTCCCTGACCCTTCTTCAGACGAAACGAAGCAATTTTATTGACGTCGGTGAATTATTAGGTCAGGGAACCATACTAGATGGCTTGCAGCCGTTCACGAACTTGTAATACAATTTGGTAAATTTGGGGTAGTTTAAGAAAAACAGACATTTTTTCCAACGATGGTCAGCCTACCATCGTTTGAAATTGGTACAAACATCTTCCACTTTTTAGTCAAGTAAGGTATTTCATGAAAATTTCGTAGTTTAGTTTTTGGATGTTTGCAAATGTTGCATATAGCCTTTAAGACAAACCTCACAAGCAGCAATTACAATGTTACTTTCAGATCAGGGACAGCTGTTTTCTCCTGAGTGCAAAGATGCTGTTTTAGTGAAGTTTCCCTTTATGTGACCAAGCCTTGTGGTCAAACGAATTATTTCAAATCGCTAATATTTAGACAAAGATCTTGCCTCAACACTACCATTCCAATGTTTTTGTCCCCTTTGTGGTTCATCGTGTCATTTGTCGCTTATTATAGCACACATTGAGAGGACGAGTGCGAGATGAGATTGAGTCAATCTTTGAAGATCTGATGGATCCGATACAACCCCTTCAGAATCTCCTAGGCCCATTTTTTGAGCTGCATAACCTTGTCTTTGGTAGTGTTGATGCACTCAAGGAAGCGTATCAGACACTAAAGGAAGGGTGAGTAGTCCGACATTGACAAAATACATAATGTGCCCGTACTTAGGTTCGCTGTTCTCATGCACACGAAACAATTTTGTACGCGTTTTGTTGACAGAATGTGCCCCCCCCCCCCCCCGCATGTCATTGGTCCAGGTATTTTCCAGGAAGCGCTATCATTTGGCTCTTGGGTGCAAGCTCTCTAAACAAATGACACAATGATTAACGTAAAGTTTATGTCCACCTGGATGTTGGTTTTCAGATACCAAAAGTCCCAAGCCCTTGTCATGAAACTGTTTGGGCCCAAGGCTCACGAGAGATTCCCAAGGAAATTCCGTGAACCGGGATCCGGGGCGTGCGCATCAGGAGGTTTCTACCCAACGGACTCAGCTGGACACTATGAGAATCAAGGTGTGGATCTGGAAATACCACCTGGAGCAAAGGTTAGTATGTCATTCTCTGCCCGTTTATTGTAGCTTATGTGTGGGCTTTGTACTAATACCGCGAAGAAGTAAATTGCCATATTAAAAATAATTGCCATATTTAAGACAGTGTCAGCAGTAGCGTAAACTCGTGTCGTCGAGTGGAAGAATGGTCATACCCCCAAAGCCGGGGGGTGCACACCACGTTGTAATGCAAACTTTCCGTTGGGAGGGAGATGTACACCAAATGACATTAGTTCATGAAACAAATGTGCATTTATATAAACTTGCTCACTTAAGGTTATATAAGACGGGTGCATTCAGTCTCCTGGGTTGATTTTTTTTCAGAACTATTTCATTAATATATTTTCCTATAGGTTTTCCCGGCTATTTATGAACCTTTATCATTCGAATTCACCGATTCTAATATTCAAATTCGTCCATCATCATCAATTTAGTGCACTTCAATTTTTAACTGCGTCTTTTGTCAGACAAAATCCCCACGCGGGATTTACGCCCTTGTAAGTGAATCAATCTCCTTAGCCAGTGAAATAATGGCATGTTTGCCCACGTTTGCTCAGGCGGCAAGGTCTCAGATGCACTACCAGGAGCACATGGCACCTGCCCTCTTCACAATCTATCTCACTGCAGACCTCACCAACATCTCGCTGATTTTGTCATTATCAGCACCAGAATAAAGAAACAATTAACCTCGTCTGGCTCAAGGCCAAAACCAGATTCCATATTCCCTTTGTCCGTGAGCTGCTGTATACTGACGACACAGTTTTTGTTTCCCACATCCACGCTTACCTGCAGAAGATCATTGACATCTTCGCCCGTATAGCCAGTGACCTGGGTCTCTCTATTAATGCAAAAAAAAAGCTCATATAGTTTTCACCTCTTCCCCCACTCAACACCATACCTCAAGTCCTGCTCAACGGAACGCCTCTAGCCAAGGTTGACAGCTGTGCTTTATCTCGGAAGCAGAGAGCGACGCTCGACTAAATCCACCAAGTGTAAAGTTTACCGAGTAGTTGATTTGCCAGCCTTCCCTGCACCGTAGAGACTTGTACTCTCTCGTACTCAGTCAGGCTTAGATCCGGCATCTTTGTTTTATCCTTAGCATGAGCTGGTGATCAGGATCCCTTATTCCATGGTTTTGCAACTGGCTGGCATGCTTATGTCACCAAAATGCTTGAGGAGTGTCATTTCAGATGAACCGCGGCCATGTTGTAACGATGGACGATTCCAGACTCCCCAAAGCCGTATTTTACTCAGAGCTCCTAATGGGTGATAGACCTTGTGGCCCGCCCAAGCTTCGCTTCAAGGACACACTGATAACGCAACTTAAAACATGCCTCATCGACATCGACATCCAGGGCACCAAGGGGGAACAGTTCTTAGAGTAACTGATGGGGCTACCCTGGTAAAATAAAACGATAAATTAAAAAGATAATTAACAAATATTAATTAAAAATAAACGTCACCACCTGGGAGGACGCTCCCAGTGGAAAAAGAACATCCTCACTGGCACAGCTGTCTCCCAGGCTTCACTCTTCACTGCGGTTGCAGACACTCGCAGCCGACGTAATGCTTTTTCCAAAGCTGTCGACGATGCTAACCTGGTGTGCGGAATATCCGGTCAGGTTTATCGCGCTCACATATGTCTTTTTCCCCTTCAGGAAGCCTGTTCAAGAAGCTTGGGATGACCGTATCGACATCGACCGGCTGCCACGACGACACCGACAGAGGGCGGGTGCCCGGAAAAGGAACCCTGTCTTACCTTTTAGCACGAATTGACTGTCGGGAAATATGTCATTCCCCCCAAAACAAAAGTAGTCTTGCACATTCCTAATACATCATTGATCCTACATTATTTATAACCGGAGCATTTGTTCCTTTTTTGTCAAGTTGGTGGCACCATATTCAGGCGTCCTTTACAAGAGTGCTGGTAAGCCCAACCAGGTTACTCTGCAGGCTGGTGGTGGGGCCTTCCGCGACATCAAGATCATCATTGACAACGTTGAGCCCAATAGGACCATCTCCGAAACTAAAGGAGTTCATGTAAGTGGAAATCAGCTTAACTGGGTTTTGCTTAAACTGCATTTTGATTTCATGATTATCAAGTTCATTTCTTTTCATTTTGTATGATTCATCTGATGAGTCAAAATTGAAACAGGCATATTATCTATAGCCATACTTTGTAAAGATTAATCAGATGCGGTGTGTTTGCTAAACATCTTATTATACATACATGTATGATACCGCATTGATAATTCAAAAAGCATTTTCAAGGGGAAAATCTAACGTTGAAAATGCTTAACAGGCACTCCGATAATAAAATCTAGATTAAAGAGGTAATTAGTTCGAGTCATCCATATCGCCGGGCTTTTGGAGCCATTTGTGTTTGGCGAAGTAATGAGTTTATGTCCTTTGCATAATTTAAACGTTGTCTTCATATTGAAAGAACAGTTTGCATTAAAGAAATCATTAATTAGCATGTTATTTCAACATATTGTATGCATTGACCTTTTGGTACCATAATGGGAGTATAATACGTGCCATACCTGCGTTTTCTGATCCCACTTTGCCAGTACAATACCTCAGGCAGGGTTTAATGGTGCGCAGTGCAATCTTGAAGGTGAAGTCTCCGGTTTCTGGTATGGAGCTTGCCCAAAAAGTGGTGCGGCGACGCGCCTTTTTTTTTTTTAACTGATTTTTTTGCTTCAAATGTCGGCTGGTGACTGCAAATGGTGCCCGACTAAACTTAGTGCAAATATATGGGAGTCCAGAGAGGCCACATAAAGCTTATTCTCGACCATAAACCAATCTAAAAACACGTTAAAATTGTGCGGCAGCAGGATTCCAGTCAAACCAGTGAGTTTGGCGGTTTTGAGATATCATCTTTCATTGAAAAAAAACTTTTTCATTTTGCCGACGCGCATAGCTACGGCGACGCGCGCGCATACCAGAAACCGGAGACTTTTTTTTTGGCCTAAGGTAAGCATTTTGAGGGATCCACACCAGGGGCTAATCCAAGTTTGAATCGAGAGAGAGATGTAGGTGCGAATCATGCAATATTTCATGAGCCATTTGGTTCTTCTCATCAAAGGTAATAGCTGGAACTGTTATTGGCACAGTCGGTTTTTCCGCAACATGTAGATCTTCAAACTACATCCATCTTTCAATGACGAAATCCAAACCCAACCGCCTGGCGTCCCTTCTAGACGGCGCCCTGGATGACGATGTTTCAGTTGCTGACCTAGCTGCCAAGGAGGGATACGTGGATCCTGGCAACTACCTTGGGAAGAGACCTCTGAAAACACCCAAGTGGACACAAGTCTGTGACGATTTCAAAATTGTTTGGTTGGTAGGTCTGAAAAACTGTTCGAGCACAGATCACTGCACATTACGGAGGCATTGCCCTGGTTAGTGAACGAAGCAAAACAATGTCCGGTAAAACGCATTCACCATCGAAAAGGGCCTCCGTACAGGCATGGCGTTACGAACGCCACACTTGTATAATATGCTGCAGTAAATTCAAGGCTGTGTCTCCTCAGTGTGCATTCAATCAGTGTGTATTCAACTCCATGTGCATTCAAACACTGCTAACCGCAGCGTCTGTCGCAGACATTATTACCAAAGACTGATACTAGGACATACGAAGTTAGTGGATTCGAGACCTATGAAACCTTTCAAAATCCTACAAAAAAAATGGTTTCTTTTTTAAAAGGTAAAGCATTGAGAGTCTTTGCTCGTATCTGATCATGGACTTCACTGAAATGGACTACCCTTGAAACAAATGACAGTCAATAAAAAAGGGGATAAAACCTGATGTTCCGTTCTAGACTGTACGTATTTTTTGTAGGTCTTTTTAGAGGCATGAAAAGGATCTCGACCACATCACTGATTTTTTACCACTGTACATAGGGAATGGTAGTGAAGGAAGGTACCGTGCTTGGAAATGATAAAGACGGAGAGACGAAGGACACCAGCCCTGAGCGCGAACCTCCCCCTGACACCACTACCGATAGACCAGACCCTACCAAACTACCACCAAAGCGAACGCCCTCTTTTGGTCTAGTAATGTCACCAGGTAATTGAAACATTTTCCTCATGTGTACGTACACGAAGAAGGGTTTTCAAATATTGCCTCCGTATAAATAACACTATCAGAGGCGTAGCCAGCAGGGGGGGGGGGTGTTGGTAAGGGGGGTATTTAAACAAGCCCCAATATCTTGTGAACGTTGCCTTCTTTTCAACAAATGCCACTTTTTAACGAGCACCCTTTTTTAAAGAGTGCCCTTTGGAATGTTGTGCTAACGTCGGCAACTGTGTTTCCATGAAAAGTGCCACATATTTGTCCCTTAGTGGCCATGATTGTCCAGTTAGAACAGCGTCCCCATAGGAAGATGGTGTGCCCCCCCCCCCCCCCTCGCTGATGATTGGTGAAAAACTGTCTATCTCTCATGACGGATGGGCGAGTGCCCTTTTTCAAGTCTACTCCCTAGTAAAATGATCTTGTTACGCATTGGAATATTGGTAATGCTTTGTAAAGATTTTAAAAAGGTAAGTTTTATCGAACTAGCTCATTTGCATAGGCCATTTTGCCCCGTTGCATAAAGATCGCTGTGTAAACGCGAAAGTAACAGGGCGGTTAATAATGTATCAGCTTGAATTAATTGTTGTCATTCATAAACACTTTTTCACTTTTGACGAAGACAACACACAACAAACCAGAGAAGCACTGGGCTTTCCCGAGCCAAAACTTGCCTCGGGGTCTCCGTTTAAGAACTTCACTCTGAGGAACCTGAAGATTGGATCCATCCTGGCATTTGCCCGTAAGCTTGGACTGGAGGAAACAGCAGACGCCTTGTTGACTCTTGTCAAGACCATTGTTGTAAGTTCGATGACACAAATTTGTCAAACTGGCCCCTAACCCCCTCCCACTCCTAAAAAGGGGAAAGTAAACCGTTACTGCACCCGTTCATTCAATTCTCTCCTGGGGTGTATTTTTTACTACAAATATTATCAAAATGTATTGATTTGTGCATAATTAAGTCAGTGTTTCAGATAATTGCACATCACAATGAGCTGTCAAATTAAAAATGTAACCTTACAACCATACTATTATTATTTTTTAGCAATACCTTTAGCATACAAAGCTGTATTATATAAGTCATAAACACGTTCTGAAATTTAGATTTTGACTTGTCTTTTTGAACTGCAGAAACTTGTTGGTGACAGGCCGTGCGTTCTACCCGAGTCTTTATCCAATGATATGTTGCGAATTGAGCTGCAACAGCGTCGTCTGAGCTCACAAGGAGACAGAGAGACCTTACTCAAGCGATACAGGCAACCTGAGGATCGTAAGTGTGGATTGATCCGGTGGTGGTCTGTGTCTAAATCTTTGTTTGATGGTTATGTTTGTTGTTCCTGAGTTATTACTCTTTGATTGTTGATTTTGAAATTAAACCCAAAAAAATATTGCAGACGGGGTTGGAATCTGCATCCTGCTTGAGGTTCATATGTATTTGGGGTGTTTTTTGTGTGTACTTTTACCTGTACCGGTATTTATTTGCTCTATTTTGGTAGCGTTGCGATTTGTCAGCGTGTGATTTCCCAAAAAATACACCAACGTAGTCATCAAAATAATTTCTACATTTACAGTGGCTTTACTTATAGGAGCCCGTTCAAAAAATGCTCGCCAATAAGCCAGTTCGGTATTCCAAGCATGTGCACATCAAGATTGGACGATTTTTCTTTGGGGATAAACATTTCATCTTGTGCGTGCAAAAGCATAGCAGGGTACCAGCAAAATGGAAGAGATCGTTGTGTTCTGAAGTAACAGTTTGCAGAAGAAAGAAAACATTTGGACACCAAAGTGTTTTAGGTGTTTGTGTGTCCAATTCCATCTCTTTTCGATTGCACGAAAAATTACACAGAATGCAGATTCGGTTACCACGTCCCCCATAGCCTTGTGTGCATTTATCTGACGCGTTTATCCCGAGATTGTCGAATCTTGTTGTGCACCACTATTTTGGAATACAGAACTGACTTATTAAATACCAAAAATAGGTTTGGTTTTTCCTTTGTTAAGGCTGCCCCCTGCTTCAAGTTTCCCTGCCCAAGAATGTGTACTGTAAGATAGACAACAGTTGCCTGGGTGTGGAGTGTTGTATGAACGTCAAACTCTTCATGGTGTCCTTTGCCTTCAAGGCATTCATGCGCTTTGACCCTTGCGAGTTTCAGTTTGTACTCGGTGTCAATTCTTGGAACTACACCTTGCACATTCTAGATGCCAAATTTGGTAAGTTGAGTTGTCACTGTTTCATGTTCACATCAATTAAGACATTGTAGAGAAGGAGAAAAGGGGGAATATGACAAATTAGGAAAAAGAAAATTAAAATGAATTTTATATTTTTAAATGTATATATTACACGTTTTCTATGTAAGTTTTAGACTGTTCTTTGGTTCTATTGTTAATTCAGAGTTAAAATTTGCAGCTAAAAATATATTCACGTTTAGTGCAGTGTTAATTTATGATAATTTTCTCTAGGCAAGGAATTGAATTTTCCAGTGCCCTTTGACATTCCGTTTGCTGATGACATGGAGCTGTCTCTGAGGTATACATTCTTTTTTATTTTTAATTTATGATGTACAGTGTCATTAAAAAATATTCCCATCTTTTGGAAAATATTAATACATAATCAAAGAAAACGAATATCTTTTTAGTGTCGTTATTTGACTTTTTTTCTCAAACTAGGATACCAACTGAAAAGTCCCTGGTCACATCCTGGTTTCACTTGGCCCGATCTTTTGCAGGGTCAAGACAGTGACACTTACGTTGGTTAAATGACCCTTTTGCCAAGGTTATAAAGTGATGTCGTGATGTGTTTTTTTTTCCAGAGAAGTGGCTTTTTTACCTGAAAGTCTCAAGCCAAAAAGAACAATGAATTCCGGGTGAATCTGACAAACCGTGCACGAAGGGTATCTACAGTGTCCCTGTAACCCCAGACACACTCCAGACTATTGTTACCTAACGCATCGCCCTATACGAAGATATCTCAAAAGATCCTGTGAACACAATGACCAACACAAAAGCAGCGGTCCCCTCCGTTGCATGCCTTGCTTCAAATAGGGACATTTTAGAGTGTGCGTTTATCTAGAGTTCGGCTGGATTGTTTGAATATGATTATGACGACCATTTTTTTCGAATCAAATGTGTTTCTAGAAGGTTGTCACCAAAGAGTGCCTTCGTTTTAAGGTTAATAATGTATTACGAACAATAGATGTACAGGAAGTGGAATTGCCTCCTTCTTTATCCTTATTGTACTTATGTTGTCACTCAGATTCACCATTGAAAAGAGCAGGACTCAATTACTAGTCAGCATGTCTGTTGCCATCTGCCCAAAGACTGGAGATGCGGCCTGTTTGCCATCTATCCACGTGTTGAAAGATTCTGCTGTCCCTGTGCCCTTTTGCCATCCGAATGGAACCATCACGTGGCCAGACAGTAAGCAGGACACAACCAAATGAAATCCTAATAAATTGTAAACTTTGCGCAGGCCCACCGTTATCGAATGATTACAGCTTTATTTCTATAAAATGAACATTAATTAGTCGTCTTCAAGTCATATTGATTTTAATTTAATGCACCTTTAACAACATGGGCGTCCGCAGGGGAGTCAATGGGGTGGGGTGGGAAAATGCCCCCCCCCCGCCCACCCTCGAAAAAAGGGATAAATTGAGAATACCTAGAGAAAGTATAGGGATTGTTTTGGAAATAATGTGCTTTGCCCCCCTCTAAAAAAAATTTGAAAATGGGCCACGACAAAGGCATTCGTTATCATTGTTCATCTCCTTTTATTTGTGACCTGACTTCTGATTTTACTTGTGATTGACTCGTGACTAGATAACAACTCTGAATAAATGTTCTCAGTTTACCAAAGAAAACCACAATTGCTATGAAATACAAACAACGCCATCTTGGACAATGTTGAATTGCAGTTGACATTGAGGAGTATTTTAATCGTGCAACTATGAGGAAGCTACTCAAAGATACTGGAGAGGAGTTACTGCAAGCAGGTACTGAGGTTGCGTTGAACTACGTCCTGAATGAGCTTGGCATTCCAAAGGTAGGTCACATGGTGTTGGAGGGTCATAATCAAATCAAGCATCGGATTGATAACCGATTGACAAACTAATTAAGACTTTTGTCCACAAAATGTCTTAATGTGTCTCAAAAATGTAGAAGTTAAACAACTTGTTTTTTTCTGAGGAAACTAAATCTTTTTTTTAGTAGACTAGTTACCATAACATGACAATGTTTTTTATGCTTGACGACATGATTTTTATTCTGTGTGATTTGTATCTTTTGTTTAAAAGTTTAATACGACAAGGCTTGTAAAGACTGTCAAAATCTGTTTGGGCCACTTTCTTATTGTTCACAACACCTTCTTGGTTTGTGAATGCCTTAATATATTATGGTGTCACTGAGCTTACAGTGCTCTAAAAGTTCCGGAATCAAAAGAAGCTGCAATAAGCTTAATTACAATGGTGTTTTGCTTTTACCCTGCGCAGCGTTTACAAAAAAATTTACAACTCGTCAACTGCTGCCCTCTGGGCAGCAGATACTTTCCCGCACTAAGCAAGACCCTATTCATAGCAATACAACAAAAAGCCACGTGCCAGACAGTGTCCAGACAGTTGCCAGATAGTTGCCAGACAGTGCGCTGGAAAGATAATTGACTGGCGGCTGTGGTATGCAGTTATGAAAGGAGATGACTGTGTCAAGTTACAGGTCTTTGTTGATTTTCAATGAGACTTGGCAGGAGCCTGGTCGAAAGTTTGTTGACACGGCCTGGGTGTAGCCCTGGCTGTAAAGTTCATTGAACCGGCCCAAAGGGTAGCAGGTCACTCTGCGCAGGGTAAATGTTAGATTTTAAGATACATTAATATAACACACTTTATCGTTTCAAACTTCAAGACAAGCTACAGGCCTAAATAATTGTAGTACCCAATTTGCAGGAATTTCTTAGTGACAAGAAACCCTGCCTAGCGCCAACCAGCATGAGTCATCTACAGTTGATTGCTGCTCTGGAGGGGAGGCAACTTGCCATCACGGGAACTAGAATGGAGTTGGAAGCCAGGCTGTCTCAGGATGATAGAAGTGAGTAGAAAAGAAATACAACATGTACTGCCATTTTTTGGAAATGTTGACCCTTTTGGTTGGCAGAATGTGCTCCTAATTAAACTAATTGGAATAGCTCCGTAGCGCTTTGGCCGATCGCCATGAAATTCGATGACTTGTCGTAACTTTCACAGGGGCTCTATATAGTACCAAAACACGATGTCTACGGTATGCATTGTTATCATAACAACCGACTAAAAAGCATAGTAATCGTAAAATGTTATTTTTTTTTTATAAAAACATGGAAATATTCATGTTTTTGAGTCAAAACAATGTTTTCTGTGCCCGAACCTATCAAGTAATCTACTTGGACTCAAATTCGTAGTCAAGTGACCTACTTCAATGCATACTGGGAATCCAGCGTGGCCACTATTCGCGGGAAAAGCCTTAACAGTTTTTGTGGTTTGGGGTTATTTTTTATAAATTTGTTGTATTAAAATTTACGAACGTTTATAATATTCCCATAATAGTGCCAATTCAGGTTTGAACCAATTCAGGTTTGTGGGTCAAAATCACATAAAAAATGATGATTTTGCCCATTTCCAGTCTAGCCGGGCAGAGCGAGTAATATGGTGGAAGTACATGTTCTGTACATGTACAAGTAAATTGGATTTAGTTGTAGAAAAAACGGGAACCTCGCTTAATTCGAACTATGGATAACTTCATCCATTACCTTAGGTTTGAGTTATTGGGATTTTACTACATTTGAAAAACGAAAAAAAAGAATAAAGTGTTCTGTTAAAATTTTTAACGAATAAAAACAAAATCATAACTGTTTTTAAACTCGTTTTTCATTTCATTGTATTTTTAAATTGTGTTTGAAAATATAACAACCGTTTAAATTAACATTAAGCAGTCAGAAGAGAGCCGGGTTCTCAAAGATAACAAAATGGCGTTTATTGCGAAATAGATATAAAATGTTAACTGAATTAATTCAGAAGCCCCTAAAAATACCCCTCAATCACCAAAGACCCTAAAACGTATCCTTTTTTTTTACAACGTCTTGTTGTTGATTTGCGCAGGTTGTCAGTTCTCTACATTGCCAGTTTTTCCCCCGGAGCTGGCCAAGGTGGCCTACTGCTCCCTGAGTGAGAACTGCCTCCGTCTAGACTGCTGTCTGGAGCTCAACATTGAGGAACTGAAATTCCGCCGCTCCTTCAAAACCTTCGTTGAAGTTGACGCCTGTGATTTCACATTCTACATCGCGTTTCAGCATTTGCAGTACAAAAAATTGCTGTTGAGCTACGAATGGGGTGAGTCAAGGTCGTTTTGACGAAAAACACATGTATACACGGATGCACCCAAGTGTGTATTTTCCTGCAATCGGGGACCCCTACAGTGTCCCTCTTTTGTTTGTACTCAAACTTTTTGGGAAGACCTCCCATATGATTTTTACACGATCGTCAATTGGGTACCTTCGGGAATTTGGGACCCTATTGTCCTCTATTGTACAACGTCTCCTTTTATTAGCAAAAGAACTCACGTACATACACCCACACGCACACGGTGTTTTATTGCATCCAAGCTACACGGCAATATGATTATATTAGGTCGCTGTTCGTATTGGGCGCAACAGGGACTAATACATCCTGCAACTCTGTGCGTCCTACGAACTGCTAAAACCGGGTAATCGCCTAGTTAGTTTCAAAGTCGCATACACACTGTTGGTTAAGTGGCCTACGAGCTTCAAAATGCTACAGGTGTCTGACACGGCTTAAACCAGATTCAGATTAACTTAGTGTTACCGAGAGTACACATGAAAAATAAGAAATTAATTAATTAATTAATTATACCCCGTCTATGGAAACAGGGAAATCGCAGCAGCAAAGCATCGGTCCTATCACCCTTAAGTACTCCATCAACAAGCTGGAATCGGAGAAGACGTTTGAGATTGACTTTGGGGCATCTATCTGTCAAGGCGCTGATGATTGCATCTTTGATGTGGACATCATCCAGGACTACAGAGTTCCTATTCCAGTCTGCAACTCTAACTTCTCATTCTCCCTTCCTGGTAAACTGATTCAAATAATAAGGATTCGACATGTCCATCCGATTTTCAAATAGGTTGAATGTGTTGAACCATGGAATGCTATATAAATACGGGTTTTTATTTATTTATTTTTTCGGCAAAATGGATGATTTTAAGTTGAAGTGTTAAAAAATGTTGTTAAGGTTTTGATAAATATTGGGTTGTTTAAATAATTCTTAGAGTAAGTGGAGATTGCGGCTCATTGTAGTTGCAACACCAGGCAAGACTTGATGGGGCTAGGAAGTTCCCGTTGTACGTCGCGAATAAAGGCCTGAATTTGACTGGTTTCGTTGTAACAATTGGTTTGTATTATTTGCTGCTTTACGAGTTTCATTTCCACGATCCTGTTGTTTCTATCTTTTTGTCTGTGTAGGAGGGAATAACTTGAAGGACTTTCTTGATCAAGTAGGCCCTAATGCTGGACAGGAAGCCGTCAATGTTTTTCTGGAGTTCATTGGTCTTCGAGATAAGATTAACGATGGACAGTGTGACACAGGCGCACTTGCTTTACAGGATGAGGAAGGTAATTTATGTTTGTAATGTTTTGGTTTTGTTTATCATACTTTTCCTTTTTTGGCAGAAGAAATTAGAACTTACTTGACGCTAGTTGTCTAGTGGCAAGTTGGTTTTATTTTGATCAGTTTCATCAATTTAACGCTTTATAATAAAGGGGGTATTATAGAGTCGACTAGGGAGGTTTGCGAGTACACACTGGCTTTGTGACAAACAGTCCCTGTCTGTCATGCTGGAAATGCGTGAACTGTATGTACAGGAATCTTAAATAAGCATTTTACCCATTAAGAGCGCAACAACGTTTAAATTACATGTACATTTTGTTTGAAGTAGATATAGCCATAGTCAGTTGATTTGGCTGATTGAATCTGCCCTTTCCTTGATTTTTGCGATTTTTCATGCTCTTTAGTATGCACTGAAGTAAGCCTGCAGTCGCTGCCTAGTGGAGTGACGTGTGAGCTTTCACCTCGATGCCTGGGAGTTCGATGCTGTGCCGAACTCGATCTGAAAATCACTGTATTATCAGTCAACATGTGGCTGATTCTCGATCCGTGTGAGTTCACGCTGTCCATGGGATTTGGAAAATGGTCTTTGACGTCCACCATATTTGACTACCACTGGGGTAAGTGCGACATAGAAAGTGCTTGATGTCGATGTCGGTATCAAATATGTTAAAGGGAATATACAACATTTGCTTTTGCTGTAATTTTCAGAAATGAATGGATTGGGGGGGGGGGGGTAGTATGTCATAGGAACTAGTGTTACACTGATCTGTTTGAAGTTTTGTGTTCGTAGGTGCTGGAAAAACCAAGAAAAATAACCATGTTCCTTGAGGCTGGTTCCCTGACCCACTTAAGATGAAACAGATCAATTTATAGTCGTCAGGGAATTGTAAGGTTGGGGAAACAGTCTAGCTGGCTTGTACCCGTTCATAGGTGTGTAATCAATTGCAAACAAATGCAATCTAACTAAAGAATGGTAATTTGGTGGAAGTATTTGATAAAAGCCAGTTTTGTCCAACGCTTTAGACTGTCAATCACTAAAAGTCCAGTAAGGTATTTCACATTAATTTGGAAGTTTTGTTTTTGATGTTTTCAAATGTTGTGTATTCCCTTTAATTGCTCTGAATGTGAATAATTTGAAAATAGTCTCTTTACTTACAGTGTTTCAATTCATTAAAAAATGGTATTCCACAATTCAAGGCGAGAAACAATCCCTTTTCCTTGTCTGCGATTGATCACTTGACGAAAAATGTATTTTCAAATGTGACGAAAGGCTTTTACGTTCACTTAATTTGATCCTTTGTAATTTCCTTGTAATGCGGTACTTTTACCAGGTACCCAGGAAGAGCTGAAGATTGGCAAAGCCGTGACACTGATCTACACCATTGACAAGCTGACTGAGGACAAGGTGTTTGTACTGGACCTAGCACTGTCCCTGTGCCTGCCAGACTCAGACTGCGACTCCCCCTCTATTGACATACTAAAGAGGACCCGAGTGCCAATACCACTCTGCAACCAGAATGCCACATTACCAGGTATTCTTTCAAAATGCCTTTGAGTCCAAATCTATGGGATTACCTGTTAAAACTGGAGCATACAATAAACGACAGGCAAATGGCAATTGGTATCTTTTAACGAAAATTGCCCTTTCTAGTGGTTGAATCTTTCTTAAATAGGGCCTATGGATGTTATATTTAAGGGAAAGATCCTTCAGACAAGGTTATCTTTCTCAAAACGCCCTTGTTTTGAAAACGAATTTAGGGTTTGCCATGGGACTTTCGCTGCATGGACAATTGTGGTACATACATTTTGGTCTGTCCTTGTTGAAATTGCATCGAGAATAATTTGTATCCATCTACAGGAAATGGAACTGTTAGAGGCTTCTTGCAGATGGTCGGTCGGAATGCGGCAGACTCGGCCGTGGATGCCATTCTGGAACATCTAGGATTATCTGTGAGTCATTTCTGTCAAAAGTTACCACAAATTTGAGATTTAAGATCAATTGCGATTTGACGAATGGTTTTATTTAGAGTAATGTGGGATTGTCATTTCAAAAATTGTCTTGTTATGTGGTTTACCTGTTCCAGGAATACATCAGTCGAGTGCCATGCGTCCGTCCACAAGTAACACAAGATGGTTGGAACAGAAGTAAGTAGAATATAAAATAGAAAATATATATGTATTGTACACATATTTTTACCTTATTGCTGGTCTCGCAGATGATAAATTCTACTTAATTGGCAGTCTCCTGAATAAAAAGAAGAAAGATTTCTAGCTATTTGTGGCATTATTTGTACTGTTGGTAATAATAAAAAGGTCCCGGAACTCTTAAACCTGGCTTGTCATGCGCTGGGTCTTGGTTCCAGTCGTTGTTTTGCTTTAAATTCTCTAAACGTGTTCTAAAAGTAATTTATCTGTGTCTAGTTTGTCCAAGAGATGTCAGACTACCCCGCCTTCCGAGGAACCTGATCTGCACACTACCGGAGAAGTGTCTAGGGTTCGATTGCTGTCTGGAGCTTCCCATTCCCGGGATCACTCCCGTCAGTACCCAAGTCGCGTTCATCTTCGATCCTTGTAACTATCGGCTGTCGATGAGTCTGGGCAGCTGGAGCCGGGATCTGAATATCTTCTCCTATCATTGGGGTCAGCGGGAAGTGGTCACCATAGGGAAGTCGGTCACCTTAAGGTATGCTAAAGGGAGTAACTTCAAGCTGGTCACGCTTTTATACACGTCATCATGTGTTGGTTGATACAGAAATGGAATCACAATACCATTAAAGTTACAACCAGAAACGTATGCTCAAAACGTACTCAGGAGAATTATGTTTTGCTCGTTGGGCAGCCTTGGCATCATATTTTGGACATAAGATGTCAGGGACAGGGGTTTACTTTTTAAGGGGACACACAAAACATATGGTAAAAAATTATTTCTTTTCGTGTTAATCCTTTACAGCATGGTCATTGACAAATCTGATGCAGAGGAATCCTTCTTGATCGATTTGGACATCTCCATCTGCATCGACAGTGACTGTACAACCACACCAGTCCTTCAGGATTTCTTGGTCCCTATCCCATTCTGTAACCTCAATGCTTCCTTTGAGTTGCCTGGGGACGGCAGCTTTGCAGGTCTAGCCAGAAATCTTGCCGGGAACGTTGGGGAGTTGGCCATCCAGGCTGGTCTCCAAAAACTTGGAATACAGGTACTACTTCGATCATAAGTAGGCCTCTACATCTTGCTTGCATTAGACAATTTTGTTCGGTTTTGCGGTACTTTGGCGTCTTGTTGTGGGAAACAAAGAGTGCTATTTGTTTGATAATCTGTTTGTTATAGCCTCTGTGCAACATGCATACTGTCTGAAAGACAAAACGACGGTATAATGGTAACATAGGGTCACATTTTTCGAAGATGGTTTGCATTTTTGTGCATGTTAGCATTGGCAAGCAATGGTAAGTGGCAGAGAGAGCCCTGAAAGTTTTCGTCATTGTAGGCTGCGATTGTGCTCACTTTGAACTTATTGTTGGCTTGTAACAGTATTGGCCTTTCACAGTCTTCAACCGTATCACACCCTTTTTATGTCGACATCAATTTCGGCTATTAATTACACATCTTTGTATACAAGCGCCCAAATCTTAAGTCTTACAGGCTAGTGCCATTCCTGAGCACATCAACATTACGTTCATAAGCACATCAAATTGAAACTGTTGGACTAACCAATAGCACATAATAAAGAAAATCCTGCTTTAACAGTTTCTTCCATAATTGAGAATGTCTTATCAAATTTATTTGCTGCAGCAATTTGTTAGCAACCAGCAATGTGACATGGAGATTATTGTCCCTATTGAAAACAGTAAGTTGCTTTTCTTTAAACATGTTAACTAAATAGGTTGTTACCCTACAATTCTGCTTTTCGGAATCGAAAAAAACCTCAAATCGTCGGTTTCCTTGATTTTGATCTAGGACTGTATAGACCTTATTCATCTCAGGTGTCTTGGAGGCTGTTCTTAGTTATTTAAATCTAGTAACAATGATTGCACCAAAGGTTTACCTATTCGTATCCACGTGATACAAAACCATTTCCCTCTGACTCCACCTTAACGCATAAGGTATATTATTATTACCTATCAAAAAGTCACAGGAATTATATTCTTATTTGTTCCTAGTTTATCCTAATTATATATCCTTTTACAAAGAATGTTCCAGGCAGCACATAAATGATTTTTTTTTTACAAAATATGAGATTTTTATAACATACTCAAATATAATTTTACAAAAAAGCTTTATTTGCAAAGAAGAATTTTACAGACGCTACCTCTGGCCGCACTGAATATTTCAGAAATATTGCAATAAGTGGAAAAGTTCGACGCAAGTGATAAGTCAGTTGTTAGTTTGAGGTATCACTGTCAGAAGAAAACATTTGATTTAATTTGCGGCTTTTAAACTAGTTTGGCTTCCACTGACTCATGTCTTCCTCAGGATGTCCACTCTTAGGGCTACCGTCTCCATCCAGCCTTTTGACCTGTTCAGTGGATGACCGCTGCCTGGGCCTGACATGCTGTGCCTCCCTTGACCTGGTCTTCACTCAGCTGTCTACCACCGCTTACGCCCTCCTAGACCCCTGTGAATTCCAGCTGTCCGTCGGGCTGGGGTCCTGGTCCAAGAATCTGAAGCTCTTTGAATACGACTGCGGAGTGGATAAAGTGCTGGATATCAGTGAATCTGTCTACATCTCGTAAGTATTTATTTGAATTAGGTAAAAATACTTTTAATTGGAAGTTATCTCAGTGGAGGAAGCTTGGATTAATGAAGAGTGTGAATAGATGTTGACTCTGTGTTTTTAACCCACTATAATCAGGTATAATGTTGACAAGCTCACAGAGGAGTTCCTGATTGACCTGTCAGTAACCCTGTGCATAGACGGCACCTGTCGACCCATTCACCTGCTGCAGGCATCTCATGTACCCATACCAATCTGCAACTCCAATACCACCTTCTCCTTGCCTGGAGGTGGCACCATCTCTGGCTACCTAGATAGCCTTGCAGGCCAAGTAACTGATGCAGCGGTGGACTTGGTACTAGACTTTTTGGGACTGAAGGTAAGGATATTGACCTTTGGTTCGACCGTTGCAGACAAGTTGTCACCGTCACCACAAAGTGACACTAACATCGAAAAATCGATATTTTGCGATTTGGATTTTTTTCATAAGTTCATAAACATGGATGGATATGGATACGCATAGGTTACCTGTAACTGTCTGCGTACTTTTGTCATTTGTTTCTAGGCATTTCTGTCCAGAGACAGGTGTAACCTCCCTCAAGCACTCCACGGTGGTAGCGACGGTACGTATTGACATATTCTTCTTGCGGCACACGTCACGACAAACTTTCTTTCTGACAACCAAACCAAAATACTGTTGTCACGTAAAGTAAAATGAGGAAAAATTGCTTATTAGAGGAGGGTTTCAAATGGGACATTAAGCCCAGCCATGCTATGTATGAACTTCCCACTAGAAATATGAACTTGAAATATGAAAAATATTACAATTTAACCATACATTTTGCTTTTGTTTATCACCAATAAAATGATTAAGGTGTTTCACCGTGATTTATATCCTAATTCAGATTGTCCAGTTCAATTTCAAGACGCCCTTTCTTGCCGTATCGGCAGCCGTTGCACAAGTTTCCACTGCTGTCTGAATCTAGACTTGAAGGTGACTCAGATCAGCTCCAAGGCCTGGTTTATCATCGACCCCTGTGACTACACGCTGTCAGTCGGGCTGGAGAGGTGGTTCTTCAACGTCTCGCTGTTTTCTTATGAGTGGGGAACTGAAAACCGTTTCAAGATTGGAAACACCATCAGTGTCAGGTAAGTTCAGCAGTGTATACAGTTTTTGTTGTCAGGGGGGAGGGGCAACCGCACATCCGAGCCGAAATGTACACATTTGTTTCTCCGGACACTTGGCCTTCGTAAAATCAAAAAGCGAGGGGGGGGAGGGGTGGGGACTGGTACCCATCTTCCAAATGGGGGCACTTTTTGAAACTGACCATTATTATGCATATCTTTCATTGTAATGGCTGTTGATCGGGTTTTCTTTGGTGGGATTAATGTCAGAAAAAATGGTTGGTATGCATCCGTGATGTCTGACATTTTGTGTGTTTCCTGATGCCACGCCATTGTTGTCTGTCGGCAGCCAGTTCATATACCACTGGTAAAGGTTGCCCCGAAAAAGGCTTGTTCCTATCGATCCATCTGGCCTTCTGGGGCCTTCATTGAGTCCCTGCGTAACAACATTCTCTAAGCTGCCTGTTGACCTCTGACTACGTGGAAAGTGGGAGTCTGTAAATTAGTCAGTCCAAGCAAACCTTTCTTGGACCCAATCTCCTGAAGCACATTAATATTATATCTTTTCTGCGCCAGTACCACGCCTCGAAGGCATTGATATTCTTGCATTCTGTCTCTGACATTGTCCAAGACTCGCAAGCATAATTGCAATAGGCAAGATGAGAGCATTCACCAGCTGGATGTAGGTTGTTTATGTTAATTTTTTTTCTGCAAAATTCGTGGACAAATCTTGGAGAAATCATCTCCTTCATCTCCAACTACCATCAACTGGCATGGTTTGGCTACATGCTGACTATATTATCAAGTTTCACCCTCACCCAAGTATATGAGAGAGAGCTCAGTGTGATTAGAAGCCAGTAAAATGGCGTTGTCTATATAATTATCTTAACCAATAAGTCATCAAGCGCATGTCTCATGATGTACTCAGCATATAAGTTGAACAAGGTTGGCGATAGAATGCACGATCTGGCGATAGGATGCATACTCTGGCCTGGGTAAAATTAGTCACCGTCACTCTGTTGTCTGTGGACGCACGCCAGTTTGCCATCATAAAGGCTTCAAACAAGTTGTATAAAATGGCCTGGAACACCCAAGGCCTCCAAAAGCATTCCAGTTTAAAAAAGTGGCTAACTGTTTATTCAAGATCGGAGTAATTATGTAGGATTTTGTAAAAGTACAATTTGCGGGAAGACTGCTTTGAAAGTTCAGTCTCACAAAAAAACAACACTTTTAACAACTCATAAGGATTAATATCACACCAAAATGATACGTATTTTATGGTAAAATAAGGGTAAGGTAATAAGAAGTAGGCCAAGTCATCTTTTAGAAAATGTGTCCTTTACTTTTTAGGTCTCTTTGGCCTGATTTCTTCAGACCCACTTCCATTTGAGCGCTGGTCGGGGATGGTCATAATTTTGTTCATTGTGTCCAGGTTTTCTATTGACAAGCTTGACCCCGCCAAGGCGTATGAAGTGGATCTGGTCTTCTCCCTCCTCATCGATGGCATTACTACAAACTTCACCATCATGGCTGACCAGAGAATCCCAATACCTCTCTGTAATGCTAACTTCTCCCTGGCCTTGCCTGGCGATGGCTCGGTCAGAGGATTCATGATGGAGCTAGGAGACAATGTGGGACAGGCAGCCATCCAGCGCGTCTTAAGAAGACTCAACCTACAGGTGAGACGGACAAGCCATGTTGGCAAACGAAGTGTAATATTTTGGTTGTATATGAACAGTGGTTTCATGGAAACTGTCGCGGAATGAAATAGAGCACAAAATTCGGGTGTTTTGGATCTGAGGTTACAAGAAATATAATATACACATAACGGAATATATACTTAGCTGAAAAGGCGTGAGCACAAAATCTGTTTGGCTATTGTTGGATTGGTTACTAATAAGAAATTATCTAACAAAAAACTTTCAATTTAAATTTCTCTCTTTCGGCCGAGGTTTATACCGTCACACTGTCTTCAAAACTAATAAAAACTGCAGACAGAACGTTTGCAATGTTCAAGCCACAGTGTTTTTAATCAGTGTTCTGTATGTACACAAGTTTGTGTTATTGTAATCTTTTGTTTAGGATGTTGTCACTGGAAGAACATGCCTGTTGCCGTCAGATCAAGTGACAAACATTCGTAAGTCTGTTCGATCGGACATTTTCTAAGTATCGAAGCAATTCTTTATCTTTGAAAGATGATTTATCAGATACATTGTGGTATGTCTTCAGTAAGGGTACTAAATTAACACTGGGTGTGTACGATTAACATTTATAACAAAACGAAGTGAAGTTCTTACAGGACAATTCTATTCCTTCATATACTTTATGCTTTCACTGCCTTTTAGACAATCAATGCATAGTACTTAATATATTCCCCATTATTTTACTAGTTAAGATTTTATGACAAATCTTGACCAACAAAGACGTATCTCAGTGTCTGTTGCCCGATAGCTGAAATCTGGACAACGTGAAATAAAAACTACCACGTATTTATTTTAAGAACCAAAACATTTTTTTTGATAATTGTATTTATCTTTCTCTTAATAAGACTGCCCGATGATCTCCCTCCCTTTCCTGGAGAATGTTGTCCAATGCGCCATCGATGATCGCTGCCTCGGCATCCAATGCTGCATCCACCTTGACTTTGTCATCACTGAATTCATGCTGAGCGCAAAGATTCAAGTCGACCCTTGCAACTTCCGGCTGTACGTGGCCTTTGAGAACTGGGAACTGAACATTACCCTCTTCAGCTACATCTGGGGGAAGGTGGAGACTGTTAACATTGGAAACGCAGTAATGTTGAGGTTTGTTTCGTTTCTCAGTTTCTTCTAATTGTCGGCCTTTTGGAATGACAAAAACAGGCAGTACTAAAACTTGGTTATGATTTTCATTTTTAATACAAGTTAGAACAAAAAAAGCGTTTATATTTTCTTGAATCTGTAAAAATAGGCCAATATATTAAAGAAATGGAAGGACCTGATTCGATGATATTATGTTGTTCAACTCAGTGGTTGGTGTTCTAATTGGAAAAAAAGCCGTCACCATTTATTCGTTTTCAACACCGTACAAAAGATACGGCAAACTACCCGCATTACTCAAGCATTACACCTAATCTTATGTTTGTCCACAGACACCAGTTAACGTTTGATCCGTGAGCATTTAAGACATATCAAATACATATTGTTTAACTCGTGCCTTGCAGTCATTTATTTAATGACATACATTCATCTCTTTCCGAAAAAAGTATATTTTTCTTGCAATTTATTACCATCCCTTAAGTTTTTATTAAAATTTCTGAGTACTTTATAGGTGATCCATTGCACTTCGAAGACAGGCCCTCATGTTACAAAACTGAAGAATTTTTCACAACATCTGCTTAGATTTTTTTTTTGTCAAGATATAAGTTGATTTGTAGCTTATTTTCGTACTTTCGTACACGAATTTAATGCAAATAGAAGTAGTTTTATCGGCAAAATGAATGTATCACAATGATCATAGCGTGCATTAAATCAAAACAACGGATTCAATACAGTTTTTTCTGTGAGATTACGAATCACATGATATTGTAAATATTGAAGAAGTGTTGGGGTATATTTTTTGTCTTCGCTTTACAGTTATTCCATTGAAAAGCCAACAGACAGAACAGTCTTCTCTGTGACCCTGAACCTGATGTTATGCATTGATGACACCTGCACTATGACCTCAGTACTAGACCATGTCTGGGTTCCTATACCCCTGTGCATCATCAATGCCACATCATTCCCCTTGCCTGGTGATGGCACAGTGGAGGGATTCATAAGGGAGCTGGGCGGTCGCATCGGGAACTCGGCCATTGATCTGGTGCTGGAGAAATTTGGCCTGACTGTGAGTGAAAATGTCCTGCTTCCTTTTATGTTGTATGTTTTTGATGGGAGAGATAATATCTAAGCAGAGATAAACCTTGTGTAAGCGGCTGTCCTAAGCTTAACAGAATAACCTTTTACTTTCACATGATCAATATGAATTTTTTCAGCGTCTAGCTGTTATCATATTTGTCTTCATGCATGTACACGTAAAGTGAATATGATCTCTTCTCTAATCTTGACCGATTACAGCAATATCTACAGAGTCCATCTTGTGACATCGGAGTGCCAGGGTCTTTGAGAAGTAGTAAGTTGGCGTAATTACATTTAAACTACAAAGAACTTGAATACATGAACAGATGACTACATCCCGTCAGGATAAACCGTCCTGCTGTCTACTTTTTTTGGCCGGTTGGCAAGGGGGAGGGGGGACACTAAAGGATGCTATCTAGTGAAGATACACATTGGGTTCGATCATAGTTTCAAGAAATAGACCGACAAAGCTATTTCTGTTTTATAAGGGAGCCGGGCATTGTTTAGTTCACCAAGAAATGGATTTTTGTCTTTTGCAATTTTTTTTAGCGTTATCACTTTTTCCAATCAACGCATTGTCCCTTTCACTATCAATATTTGCTATTACCATAACTTTGTTTCTTATCAGCGTGCCCATCCGTTGATGTCGCCCATCTCCCAGACTTCCTTTCCTGCACTGTCAGCGACTGTCTGGGCATCAGATGCTGTCTGGAGATGGACTTGAAGATAACGACTCGCAGCGTCAGTGCCTGGGTCATCCTTGATCCCTGCAACTTCACCCTGTCTGTGGGCTTTGAGAAGTGGGAACGCAGTGTCACCTTGTTCCACTACCCACTCGGAGATGTCATGGAGGAAGTTGTCAATGGTTTCCTGAGAGTAAGGTACAGTAACTGCGACAAACGTTTGCCTTTATATTTCATGGTTTCGCAAACGAGCGATTTTATGTTTAAGATTCACGATTTAACTGTATTACTATTGGATCATACAGAAGTTACGTACGTTTCCATGATTCCGAGATTGCTGAGGATTCTACAAAGGCTAATAGAATGTTAATGAAACCATTTTAATGGTTATTATGTAACAATCACATCTAATGGGTGCAATTAACTTGACTTAACTGATTTCCCTAATGTAGATGGCGAGTGGATAAGATCACGAAAGACAAGCAGTTTGAGATAGACTTGTCCCTAGTCCTCTGCTTCGATGAGGTATGCGACACATGGACAGTATTTGCAGGCAGTCGTCTGCCAATACCGCTGTGTAACACCGAAGATACATTCACTCTGCCTGGTATGTTTAGGATTAATTGACAAGATTAGCTTGTGAAAATATCTGTCTTATAGTAAAAGATCACCAATTATTATATAATGTGGAAAGTACACAAATATCGCATAGGAGCACAAATACATCGCAGGAAATTAGTCACCACGATGAGAAGAGATATTACCCTGCTAAGGTTTGTTTCAGTAGAGGAGATGATTTCTAGTAATAAGTCTCATGGAATTTTCAAGCAGACTAAATAAACATGGCTTGTATGTAAAGAAAATTTTTGTACATTCCCTGATTTCTGATTTCTTTGTATTCCTTAGGTGACGGCACTGTATCAGGCTTTTTGAATTACCTTGGTGGTAATATTGGTCAGTTTGCTGTAGACGCAGCTCTACGACATCTAAACCTCACCAGCTTCCTGACAGGAAAGGCATGCACCTATCACAGGCAGGGTATGCATGTAATTTATGTAATTGAATGTATGTTGGAAATTATTATATATATCTGAAAATATATTGAATATAATTTCAATATATTATTGATATTTGAAAATGATCTTCAGAATTGCAATCTAGACATTTTAAAAATGCATTGCTGCATTGATCTGAATTTTGCAACTAGTGTAATGTCATATCCAAAGGTCATATCTAGGCTTTAATGTTAGAAACCAAGGAGTATCAATGCCGTGTCACAACGAGCCTAACGAGGAGTCTTTTCATAACGCCAGGGATAACCCAATATTTCAGTATTGAAATTCACTAATTAAATTAATTCAGGATTGCAATGAGGACCATTGTATAATAAAAAAAAATATGAGCAAGTCTGTTTTTTAAAAGTCATTTAACAAGCTCTGGGAACAACCAAATGCAGTGTCCGAACAGTGTGTCACTTATTTCGCGAGACTACTTATTTTGATCCGTAAATTTCGGTCTACTCGAATGTCTACCATTTCCTTTGTTTACATCAGATATATGTCAATTCAAACCTTCGCATTAGTAATGCAAAACATGAAGGCCTGCTTATTAAGATTGCCGCTCTTTTCCATAAGATGCCTGTGCGAGGTCTACAGGTCTACTCGGCAACTGTACTCTAATTGGAGATTCCTGCACGGAGCTGCGATGCTGCCTGGACCTGGACCTGAAGATAGCTGATGTCTCGGCCACAGCGTGGTTTAAGTTTGATCCCTGTGACTTTACCTTCTCTTTGGGTCTGGAGAAGTGGTCCTTCCATGGGTCCATCTTCAGCTATCAGTGGGGTAATAAGAGCTTCCCGTCTTTCATAAAGTTATCAAAATGGTTGGTGGAACGGTTATCTGCACTTGCACATTTTCTGGTCAAAAACAGTAGTTTTGGAATAACTAGTACTACTTTTCCATTCAAATCTTATCATATTTAAAACAACGGTTTGGGGGACATTATCCATCAATATACCAGATTTTGGTATTCATATTCAAAGTTAGAGGGAGCTTTTGCCACTTTATGGGAAATCAAATTTAATCCAAGTGGCCCTTATGTAAAAATTATGGTCATATAATTAATCCTTTGCATTTTACATGCACGATCTGTCCAAAAAAACAACCTAAATCTTGCAGAAAATTGAAGATGGAAAAGTGACTTTTCGTGCCAATGACGACCATACTTGATTCCCGGCATGCGTTCTAGTTGGTCACGAGACCATGAACGTTGGTCTAAAGTGAATAACTTTATAGGTTGAAGCGAAACAAATAGCTTTGACTCTTACAATACGTATGATAAAGTAGTTAAAAGTCACAAAAAGTCATGCCGATTGAACAATGCGCTCCAGAGTTATTACACAACGTTTCATGCCCCAGTCCTGATATGGTTAAGTTTGATCAATAAAGTGTTCCAAATTCTGCCCCTAGGCCTACAACGATCCTGGTTTAGAAAACAACCTTAACGAGAAGTTGAAAGTACTAAAAATACTAGCTTGTGCTTGCAATTGTTTCTTCATTTGTAGGAAAAGAGATTACAGTTTCTGTTGCTTCAGGAATGAATCTGAGGTAAGTTGTCCAGAGTAATGAAAAGTCGATTTTCATTTGTGGCTGCTTTAAATTACTTAATTGTTTGTTTGCGTCTTTTAAACAAAGCTTATGTGGTATATATGCGACTGATTTCAATTTTGATAAAATGGATATGTGTTAACATTGTGTGTGGTACATTTCGTGGCTCTTTCCTTTGTATCCATAAAAGCACAACATTTGTGTTCGTCATTTGCGAGTTTATGTTGATGTCAGGCGCGGTTCTAGAACCAATATTTTGGGGGGCTAGCAGGGTGGATCCAGAATTTTTTTCAGGGAGGCGTGCTGAAATGTAGACCGGTTATTTTCTCCAGACACTTAGGCCTCCGAAAATCAATAGGTGGGAGGGGGGAGGCCTCATGCCATATTTTCAATGGGGAGCGCCAATAAAATCCTAAAATAATTCACACTATATTAACTACAAATGCACCCTTGTCACGACTATTTCTTTAGAGAGAGACCGTTCGCATGTACATTACAATCCTTCTTTTTGCTATAATGTAAGTTATTTTTACGGAATTTATTTTTTTTTGGGGGGGGCTAGACCAAATTTTGGGGGCTAAAGCCCCCCCCCCCCAGGGCCCCCCCCCTAGAACCGCGCCTGGTTGAACTTTTGCGAAAAATGAGCACATTGTAATTACCTTTCCAAAACTGTCTCCATAATAGATATTCAATCAATAAGCGGAACGACACTAATATGTTTGAGGTGAGCATGACGCTAGAATACTGCATTGATGAACTATGTACCGAAATTGATGTACAGCATGTTATTCCGGTCCCTGTGTGCAACCCAGGCTTCAGCAATTACAGTCTGTCAGGTGAGAGTGATATAATTTTGGGTTTTACATTGATAATTAATGTCTGTTTACCAAATGGACTAACCATGTATCGCTAAAAGATTTAACTAAGGTTAAAACAGAGTCAAAAGTGTCAGTCACTTTTGCCACCTATCCGATTTTCACAACACACTTGTAAAAGTTTAATTCTGTCCTAAATCTCAACACATATGATAACTTTTTTATTTTTACTCCAGTGGATGGTTTCATAGAGACGGTATCAGGGCAAGTCATCCAGGGAGCATCGTTGGCCCTTCTGTCACGGCTCGGAATTGGCCCAGACTTTTTCAACAGTCGACAGTGTGTCAACCCTAACGGGCCTCAGTCTTATGGCAGTAAGTTTCTTCTTATTACCCAATAGACTTGATTTGGCATACAGTGCTGCCTGGATGTGAACCGTGCACCGTACAATCAATTGTTACAGTGTTACCTCATTTCTTTCCAGATTGACCGAGCATGCAGCTTCCTAGGATCCTGACCCCCTTGCTCACTGTGGCATCCTAGACAAATGCTTTGGTATACAGTGCTGCCTGGATGTGAACCTTGGACCTTACAATCAAATGTTACAGTGTAACCTCATTTCATTCCAGATTGTCCCAATATGCAGCTTCCCAGTAACCTAACCTCCCTGGCTCACTGTGGCATCCTGAACACTTGCTTTGGCGTACAGTGCTGCCTGGATGTGAACCTTGGACCGCTGCATCACCCATTCAGTGCTTCTATGGTGATAGATCCATGCCTTGGCCAGCTGACCCTTCAGTTTGACAACTGGCAGTACAGTAAATCCCTCTCACACCTGGACTTTAATAACAGTCACGAGATCACCATTGGAAACTTTGTTATGCTGAGGTGAACATATTTATGCTTGTTCTATTCGACATATCAAAATAAAGGCTCATTAGACATTTGAAAATGATAATAAAGTTATGTTATGACCCACGTGATGATCTGTCACCATAGGCGGATGTGCCACCACGGTCCACATGACGAGAAATAATATTAGCAATTTGTATTTTGGTTTACATTGCCTGTAAAGTGCGCTGCAGTTCCTCTTTGGACGTGGCAGAAAATTGTATTAATCGCCACGATGCCACATGATTTCATTATATGAAACATTTGTCGTTAACTGATATTTTGAGGAACTTACTTTTATCTATTGGTTTGACAATACAGGTACACACTGGAGCTAACTGATGGTAACATTGCAACCAGTCTGTCCATAAATGCATGCATTGATGATCGTTGCACAGGAAATATCATAGTCTTGGATGGTGCAGGCTCCCCTCTTCCTCTGTGCTACCCCAACGGGACTATCTCTTGGAACAGTATACCAGGTACGATTCTCTTTCAAAAATACGCTAATCTAGTTTGTATGTATCTACACAAAATGAGCATACTGTTAAGTGATAACATGGCACGTTTTCGTTTGATAACTGTTAGGAATAACGTACACCTCTCAACTGGGAAGTGCGGATGCTGGAGTTGAGGCTGTGGCTCAGGCTCTTGGGTTGCCGTCTCGTCTTGTCTCGGCCTCATCTTGCCCTTCTGTGATCCAGCCTAGTCAGACCAGAGGTAAGTCGTACAAAGAGTAATATCAGTTGCCACTTTCACAAATATGGCTTAAATAACATTTCATCCTAGAATATTATCTTCTACTAATTGTTCGAAGAAGCAAATGTTTTGAAGAGGTCAAAGTTGTACGTCTCAAAATGAACATTAATATTTTCTGTTCAAGTCTTTTTTTCTAAACTGCGAGTTAAAATGGGTGTAACTTGCTTTAATTTTCATTTATACTGTACTGGCAAGTTATGAGAAATGTTTGTGTTCTGTGACTACCATTCCAATCATATAGTTTCAAAAGTTACATCATGCAGTGAATACTACTCATGTTTTTGCTTTTCCTAGACTGTCCACACCTTCCCCCTCAGCCCATCTTTCTATCAGGGGGTGTATGTCACTATTCAGATACCTGTCTGGGGGTGGAGTGTTGTCTAGCAGTAGACCTCGGCATCATCAGTCGCACCCTGAGGGCCTGGCTGATTGTAGACCCCTGTGATTTCAAACTGAGAGTTGGATTCGAGAACTGGAGTTACAATGTCACTTTTATCAGGTATGTGAGAACGTTTTTTATGTGAGAGAAAGTTTAATTCATGTTTTGTCAATTAATATTTGTGATGATTGCTTAAACATAACATGTGAGGACACAGTGCCAGGAGACCGTCAATGGAGGTTATTTTTATTTTTTCAAAATTTACTTTAATACAGAAACTCTGAATTTTTGAAGTTATAGGTGGGGCATGGCAACCAGTGAAAGACTGAGTGATGCGGTCTTGCTCTCCTTCACTGTCGACAAGACCGCAGACAACCGGAACTTCCTCCTCTCCCTCTCCCTGCAACTCTGCATTGATGGAGTCTGTGCTCCTGACATTGTCATCCTTCAGGACTTCACAGCACCTATACCGTTCTGTCATCCCAACGGTACTTTGGAGTGGGCTCAAGAATTGGGTAAGCCCTGTTTTTTAACAAATAAAGGAATGAGATGGAACATTATTTTTTGGTGAGTTTATTCAGCTTATTTGGGACAATAATGTGTTAAGGTTATCAAGTTGTATTTTTCTCAGATGGTGATATTGGGGATTACGCAAGTGGCCTCGTGGTAAACCGTCTCGGTGTCAGCGTTGATGTTCTCCTACCTCAACCGTGCAGAGGGCCACCAGAGCAAATCACACCATCAACCACCGGCAAGTTGTCATAACTTTGTGCCAAACCTGTGTTCACTAGTTATGTGTTCACTCTTAACCCTTTAGAAAAAACTAATTACATGTAAATGGATAGTTTCATTACAGTCGGAAGGTCTGTTTTTACAAAGCAGAACTAAACTACAGTTGTGGTTTTTTATTAATTATTTGCGTCATGATATGACATAGAAAGTGGAAATCCAATCCAATTTTTGGTTATAACAGGCTGCAGCTCTCTTGCTTTGCCATCATCCGTCGGACCGTACTGCTCCCTGGACCAGTCATGTCTCGGGGTGGGTTGCTGCTTGAACCTTGACCTGGGCATAGTTCAGAGGTCCTTTTCTGTGTGGATGAAGCTGGACCCCTGCGCTCGCACTTTCTCGTTTGGCTTTGAGAAATGGACTCATGTGGAGATGCTAAGCATACAACTAATGCAAAGTAAGGAGGGCCTAGTATGCTTTTCATGACGATTTATAACGATTGGAACTAAATATTGACATCAAAGGGATCGATATGTAAAAGTAATCTATAGGGTGATTATTTCCGTAGTGATTATGGATAGACCTTACCAAAAGAAATACTGGCGATAATTTATGGGGTCACAGTCTAAATAAGGGAGTGTGTGTATTGATTTAGATTATTTTGAAAATCTGTCTGGTGACAGTTTTATGTAGAAGTACTGAACACGATCAATCCACGTGCATGACCGGTGAGAACGGCATGTTTCACTTGAAGTGGCGGAGCGAGATATTTTCTTAAAATTTTTCCCCCGAAATTTCAATTTGTGGGATATCTGTGAAACAGAGAGGAAGCCGGGGTTGGAGAAACGTCTTTTAAATGACTGATGGGTTTAGAGACGTCCGCATACAGCGCGCAGAAAAAAAAAACACTCAGCACACTAAAAAGGGAGGGTAGCCGATTTGTGGCTTCCCCTCCCTTTTCCCCACCCCTTTTTTTGTCATAGGGGTTCTTACCTGGAAGAAGCCCCGCCCCCCCCCCTCCCCCGTCGCTTTTTGCCACTGTTCATTTGTGTTTGAAACCGTTTGAAGTAATGTTTTATTAATATTTCTATAGTAATTATTTCTATTATTAATACTTGATCTCCTCAGCTCATTCCTTCGAGAAAAATCTGGGGGTTTTGAAAATAAGGTAAGTCATACATAATTATAATCTTGATTGGTACTGAAGTGCCAAGAGGCAAGCTGTCAGCTTTGAACACCAGATGCCGTTCACAAAATTTTTTTAGAAAGTAATTAGCATCTGGGATAATACAACTTGGAACGTCCGAGATAAAGCTGCTATTTAGTAGCAATCTTTGAATCGTTTTACATTTGTTATTTTCATTCATTAAAAATTAATGCACAACATGTCTGTAAAAGAGCTACCTCGACGATGACTGCCATATAAAGGGTGTCTTACACGAGTGGGCAAGGGTAACATAACAACACATTTTAAATTCAGCTTTACTGATTACTGATTGATAATAAGAAATAAAAGAGTCCCACAACTCGGTCAAAATTTCCCTCGTGGTAAATCCTGGCTTCCATCACCGGCCGTTGGAAACCGGGCGTCCGGTAGATCGGCTGCCAAGTTTAATCCTTTTTGGGACTCTGGCAGAGGCAAGCACCCACTTTGGCGATCCTTTGTGTTCATGTTTGATTATAGCAGGTCCCAAATCTGGGACCCAACAATGAGTTGTGTTTAACCTGCTTAATTCTCCACTGGTCAACAAAGGGCCTACAGTGCTTGTCTTCAAATAACTTGTCAGGATGCTAGAATTGCTTGTTCACGCCATGTTTACACCATATACACTAATCTGCTTAGAGCCCTTTGTTGAACTATGGAGGCTTGCAGCCCGCATACCAGTTCGCTTGAGTTACTTTGAAGTTCCGACGTTCCGACGTTCTGAAGTTCCGAGATGGGCAAAAATACCGGCCGAGAATCATACTGGCCTCAATTGAAGGGCCGGCCTGGGCTGACCGGTAAAGCAACTGGCCGGTGATGGAAGCCGAGCCTAAAAAAATGTCGCCATGACGAGGTACTTGTCAATGAACACACAAAGTGAGAAGACCGCTCAGTACCTGAGGTCAAATAATTGTAATTTAATGATAACTGAATATAAGAAACATCACGTTACAGTTTAGCTATACCTGTATAGGTACCTCCTGGAACATCCCCACAATACTATCTATGACGTGGATCTAGATATCAGCTTATGCTGGCAGGGTGTGTGTGATGAACCCATCGTCATTCTCAGAGATGCAATGTTCTCAGGATCACATTGTGCTGATCAGCAAGTTGGAGGCAGCAGCACAAGGAGGAAGAGAAGAAGTGTGGGGGACCTGTGAGTGGAAACAAATATAATTCTTGTTATAATACCTATTTTATATATCTACTTATATGCTTTACATCAGCAAAACTGGCTAAATATTCTTACTGCTTATATGAAACTGATGAACATTTTTGATTTTAATATTTTTTGGTATTTGTTATATCTGATTATGGGAGGGGTGGGTGCAACTGGAGTGCTGGGGCGGCGCTTCATCAGCGGCCTAGGGCTTCCATATACGTTTCCCTACTTCCACTTGATATACAATATTCACTGGCTCATTGTACAAGTCAACTTCCCAATTTCAAGTGCATATAAATGTCATTCTAACTGCGGATGTCTTTTTGAAAGTGCTAATGAATCTGCCGAGGGAATGGACAGCATGAATGATGTGACAGCTAACACTATAGACAAGGCCAGGGCCTACTTTAAGACCATTCTTAGTGGAAACTCCACCTCGTATTCAGCAGAGGATAACGCCATCACAAAGCTGCAGCCGGAGAAGGTGGTCAAGCCCAGTGAGTTACAGTCTGGTGTGTTTTTTTTTTTTGGGGGGGGGGGGTTTGAAGCGAATTTTGAATGAACCCACACAAGTTTATTTGTATAAAAACATACATGATTCTGTTCCGGTGCCCCTGCTCCCACGATTTGATCCTTAGCGTACAGCAACCTATACAATTGTCAATTTCCCTTTGCTCGATAAAGGAGGCTATTAGATAAGCACATTTACAAATGGTAAATCACACAGTTCGTCATACTGGTTATTTCATGCATTTAATAAGGAAATGGAAGTACAAGCAGTTTATAGAAATGGATTAAGTATTTTGTATTTCTTATCATAGGGTTAGCTGAATCAGGCACAGCAAGCCGTCGCTCCATGGGTCTACTCTTCTTCGGTAATGAAGATGGCACTCCATTTACTATGAGGAGAAGGAGAACGGACATGTCACTCTCGGCGAAAATAGGTAATGCTAAACAAATTAGGAAATCAGTGAGAAATGAGCAGGACCGAGAGTTTTCATATTACCTACACTCTGAAAACTACCGGGTCAGAGTGTCCTGACTCTTTTCCGGGTCAAAATGACACTTTTGGGGGCAAAATTACACTTTTCCGGGTCTAAATGACATTTTCCCTGTCAAAATGACACTTTCCCCTGTCAAAATGACACTTTTCCAGGTCAAACTTTTTTCTGGTCTAAATGACACTTTTCCGGTCTAAATGACACCTTTTCGTGTCAAAATGACACTTTTTTTCTGGGTCAACAAATGTCAATGCTCTGACTCCTTCCCAGGTCATTTTGACCTGTTAAAGTATTGGCCAAAATAAAACCCATTTCCGGCTCAAAGCTGACCCGGGAATGTTGGTGTGTACTTGAAAGGTTACGGGCGCAAATTTAACAGATGAGCCTTAGTTAAACATTCTGAATTTACATCCTTGTGTTGTTTTAAGGGAAAGACAGTTTGTTTGGACTCAGACTTACACCAGGCGCGGATTCGGGCACATGGCAGGGAGATTCCATCATTGGAGGAGGACTAACACGTATGTACTGATATGTAAATGTTTAGGAGATATAAAAAAAAAGTCAACTGAAGAATGTCTGAGCTGTCCACTCCAAGTTAATTTTCATTTTGCTTTAATAAAATGTTTATTTAAAAATGTTTAATAAATGTTGTCTTTCGTACTTGCATAACAATCTTTGGAGTAAAGCCTATAAATAGTGCAATGTCCAACGGATATAGAAAAAAGTAAACGTTTCTTGGTACAAATTAGTTGGCAAATCGGCCATAAAAGCACATGTTCATCGTTCTCATTATCTGGGGCCAGTATTATTTAAGGACCGGTAAATAAACTCCATTGTTTAATTTTGAGAAGCATCGTACATGTTCTATTGGGTTTTTAAAATAAAATGTGATTTTATAATCCAAAGTAATGTATAATGTTGGAATTACCAGACTTCTTAACAGTACTCGTTGGTATCAATTTTAGCAACAGAGTGTTAATGTTGTTGCACCATTGACTCACATTAGAGAAAGGTCTTGATGCTCTTGGAGGACGTATCGCCAATATGACCATCGGTGAGTTAGAAGCAATGCTGGATCTTCAGAATATCGACCCGTTCACCGTGGGTCAGTTGAGTAAGGACCTACGGGCTGTGTTCAGGACTTTCGTGAGTCAACTTTTATGTTTTTGTCGTCTTTACAGCGCGTCCTAAAGTACCCGCATCATTTTTTTTGGCGAGGCCCTAATGTCGCCGCTGGAACACCTACCGCCGCCGCAGAAACACTTACCGTTATTTGTATATCATTCTAAAGCTTGGAATCGTAGCTTTATCCCTGGTAAGAATTGGTCTGATTTTCAAAATTGTTTTTTTGAAATGATTCGTATTCAATTAAAGGTATGTCAGAAACAAAGTCAACCGATTTCAAGGAAATCAATCATGCGCATATTTTCTAATGTTGATGAAATGGTTCATCATGTTCATGACATGACGATGTCTTTGCCTTTTACTTTCTGTGTTTGCTATTCTTTTTGATCCACGTAGACTACACCTTAAATGATTTCACAATATTGTTCTTCGTTTTATTTTCAATTTTGATATGCACGTGCAAGTATGTACCTACTCAAGATGCGCTCTAAAAGTGTGACTCAGTTTGCACCTGATGTACCGTATCATCACTTTTTACTTGAAATCGGTTGAGTATGTTTTCGACATGCATTTATTTGAACTTGAATAATTTTGAAACTTCTTTAAATATCAAACCAATACTCGCCAGGAATAAAGTTCAGATTTCGCCAGTTTAGATTCCAAGCTGTAAAATGGCATGAAAATAATGGCGGTACGTGTTTCCGCGCCGACGCTAGAGCCTCGGGAAAAAAAGAAAAGTGGCAGGTATTTTGGGACGCACTGTATAGCATCACAGTTCGATAAGGAAGATAATTAACTCAACGAATTGCTTGCACATAAATGTCACTTACTCAGACTTCAGTTGTTAACCACTTTTTAAACTTTGAATCTTCATATAACATTTACTTTTTCTTTGAAGATTGACGAGTTCATCGACGTCATCATCAGTGGCAAGGGTGGGGACATCTTCAAGCAGTTTGACATTGTCTTAAGTGGAAAGATCCCTTTCCCAAGGAGACATGCTCCGTTTTTGTCTGCAGGGTGGGGAATGTCAGTTGGTGGATTCATCTCTCTTGGGTTCAGTAAGTAGTGACAAACCTTTCCTGTCAGTGTTCCAAGACAATGAGCTTTTTGTTCACAGTGTGTTCTCTAATTGCTCCCTTACGGGTCCCGTGGTTGTGTTGTAGTGACGTAGCCGAGAGGGCATTGATGCCCCCACCTTCCACACATACACTCACCCAGGCAGTTGTGTTTTACTATACTCACGAGGACCTGTCGCTTTCCTTCTTTTGTTCCCTTTTGTTTGTACTCGGTAACTTTTTTCTTTGACAGCTCCCGTAAGGTTTTTACACGAAATTCTCCTGAGGACTAGTGTCCAGGGCCTCAGGGCCCATTGTTATCGCACACACCCCATTGTCCAAAGTCCTCAGTTGTACAGGATTACCTGTACATATTTGTAAACACCGGCAATCGTGGACCCTTATTGTCCCTAATCATCATTTTTTTTTTTTGTACTTTAAATTTCTACCATAAACTGTCATTGGTTTTGTACCCCAAGTTCATTAGTGGACTATCGGTCAATCGTAGACGTATTGTTTGTGCCCTTACCCTTGTGTCCTAGGTCGACAATTGCCGGTGTTTACATACTCACACAACTTCCCAGTTTCCCCAAGTGTCCTGTCCCACACCAAAATACCAACATTTTCCCCCGCCCAGTAGAATGTAGATTACTTAATTTAAACTCGTTTCAATTCCCTTCACGGAATTAAACAGCTTCTCAAGCTAACGAGTTCCCCAATCGCTACATAACATCATCCGCTTGTTGAATTCGTAGCAACCGGCTTTGCATTCACCTTTGGTGCTCCCAATTAAATGTTGTGTCCCTGCCCTCGGCGACAAACACAAATCATCCCATTGGTCATCATGGGCCACGAGAAGTGCTAAAGATTCTCTATCCAGAACCGATTATTCTACAAATGTGAAATAAGGCCAGAGTGAAGTATTTTTAAAGTAAATATCTAAAGTGTTTGCTAGGTTTTGCACACGGGCAAGTACCTTTTTTCTTGTTAAAGTTTTCTTAACTGTTTCCAGATATTGGAGCTGGGGGTTTCGGTTACCTGGAGATACCAGTACATGTTGGCATCGTTTCCATGAAAACCACGGTACGATTAATATACATGTACCTAATATTTCCTGTCAGGGTTTATTCAACTCTGTTTGGCCTGACCGCTAAAAAGCAACGCAGAGCTACCGAGGTAAATACCTCAAACCAGTTGAATAAACCAGAACCAGTTATAAACTGCAAATTAATGTAGTGTGTCTATGTTCATGGTACTTTCGTTTAGTATTTGGACTAGACAATTAGTAAATTCCTAAGCTCTACATAATAATAATAATAAACACTAATAAAGATTGAAAAAGCTTCAACCAGTTCAATCAGTTGAAACCAGATTTACAAGTTCTTTACGCTTAAAATATTTTATGCCATTTTAAAACCAGTTATAGCAGTTCAAATCCAGGTTTACGAGTTAAAAACCAGTTCTGAAACTTAAAATCAGTTATATTATGTCAACACCAGCCACCAATTTCCATTACAAACAGGTATCAGTTGAAATTAATTGAAACCAGTTGAACTGGTCTAAGCTGAATTTTTAACCATGGTGATACTAAGTAATTCACTTGAGGAGTTTGAATTTGTTGTAGGGAGGTATAACACCAACTGTTGGCGCGTATGCAAGTGCCGGTGTTTCTATTGGATTCATCTTGTATGGTGAGCTCGAGCTGATCGCCGATGTGCTCCGCACTCGCTTTCCAATTGTAGCTGAGATCACGTTCTCCAAGTTCCCACTTGATGTTGGGTAAGTAAACTGGATTGGGCGCAAAGAAATAGACCATTCAAGATCAACCAAGATATACCAAAATAAAGTGATTGTTTTTAATATTCCTGTTGGTCTCCACATACCGAGGTTTTGTGTTAGTATAGGCATACACATTTACTTTAAATACTAACGTGATGACTTTGTCAAATTGAAACTATCTAAAGAAGTAACCTTCTCCTCTCTTCTGTCATTCACAGAAACTCCCGAATTTAAGATGACACTTACTACAGACTAAAATTAGCATCGTAGTACAGGCATTATGTGACATGACCTTGAACAAATTGCAACAGATATGCTTTCACTTGTTTTGATTCCACGAAGGTATATCCTCGATGGCATATCAGGGGAAGTCCTGAAAACGGGGGAATCAATTTCCTCATGTTTCAGACCCTTTTATGACCGGGTTTGATATGGACCAAGATGGGGAACATTGTATCCAATGTCCTAATTCCCATAACTGTAGACAGATTTTCCTACAATTTTGCAGAAACGTTGGTTGGCTAAATTGCTATAACATGATATCTTTTTGTTGCGCTGCAGTACCACAAGAGGGCGCTTTGCAAGATATTTTTCTATGTTTTAGTCAAAACAGTATTTTAATATAATTTCAAATTTTTACTTTGAACGCTTTCATATTTGGTTCAAATTTATTTTCCGCACAGTGGCGGAAAAGTCATAGTATGGCAAAGTATAGAATAATCAAGGATCTTCATTTAATCTCATGCATGCCAAATAACGTGACCATTCTTTCCGGTCCAAACAGGAAGTGCCTAATAATTTGAAAATGGAAAGAGATGTGAACTTGCTTTCAACGATGTTAGTCTTTGGCTACATTATACTTCACAAAGAAAGTACCGGTAATGTCATAAAATGTTAGAGCGCCCTCTAGCGGCAGGTTCAAGTATTTGAAAATGAATAATAAGTTGACGTGTGTGGCGAAGTTTGCGGTAATCGCTTCAAAATTAATATATATGATGAAATTTATACAGACAAGACCTGTGCACGATAAACAAAAATGATAAAAATACCCTTTTTCCAATGAAAATTAATGGAGAATCAAATCTGAGAGATATTACCTTGATTTGTGCTTTAAATTTTAATTAAATGGTAGGTCCTAAACTTCCGTGTGTTTCTTGGCAAGAGCGAACTTGGACATGCCCTGCGGCTCCCTTGAAATTTCACAATACGCTTGAAATCGTTCATTGCACAGCACCGAAGCAGATTGTATTGTGCGTGTAAGGTCAAGAGGAATTGCCAAGCACTGACATACTGTGGTACATATTGCTTTATCAGGAGTAGAATCCTTATAGACATGGTACACGTCTTTCCGGCCTTCACTTTTGGAATTCATCTTTGTCATACGTCATTCAAAGCTAACATAGGCAAGGTCCTTATAGCTTAGATGTGTCCCGAAGACTGCCGTCATGATGATGTCATCATGTGTCACGTGATGTCACGTTAAAGATAATAGATTTCATCTTAAAAATCAATATAAAATCCACCATGAGAGACCTTAACTTGAGTTTTTTGCGGGAATTGCCAAATTACGTGACCCTTCCTTCTGATCCCAAGCCAGAAGTGCCTTATAATTTGATAGTGGAAAAACGTGTGAACTTGCTTTGAACGATTTTAGTCTCTGGCTAGGTTATACTTCACAAGCAAATCACCGGTGACGTCATAAAATGTGAGATCGCCCTCTAGCGGCAGGTTGAAAAATGTCAAAAATGAATTTTCAGTGGGGTAACTGTATGTCATTGAAACAGTCATATTACTCATACTTGTTCAAATGAGTAAGTGCTCCGATGATAAGTCTCATTTATAGGCTAACCGTTTAACATTGCATTCAAGTCATGGAACTATGTTGGTGCATCTCACCAAAACACAAATTCATAAAAACATAAGCTTATACAAAACCATCATACGGAAAGGTCCTGTGTCCTGTTTATGGAACAGACATAGCTCTATTTTGTTTTTGTTTTTGTTTTGTTTTTTTGCAAGCATAATTTGTCTCATGATTTTGTCCCTTTTTCAACAAGAAAGGACGCTGGAAAAGTACCCTGAAAAATGACACCAAATGAAACAATTTTAATGTGGCTCTAAGCATCACTTTGGCAGCCATACTGCATGCTTTTATTGCACTATGGGTAATAACCGAAACCTGTCTTATCTATCATTGTCTATGACAGGTAACTGTCACGGTAGCGGTTTATTCTCATGTGCAATATATACACCCCAAATCAGGGTGACTCAGTGTGTACATTGAAAGTCCTCCTTTCCTAGGCCTATCCTGCTTGTCCAGTCCTAGAGATGAACATCAGCGTAACATAATGCATAAGACCAAAAAGGTCAACGTGGTCAAAATACAAAAGGGCTACTTTTCAGGTCCAAGACCCCTACCCTCAACCTGTGGGGCACTTTGGACAATTTTTATTTGCAATCAGTCAACACCGTCAAAATCAGGTTTGAAATTGTGTGTGTAGTGCAAACTTATGACTCTTTGAAATTGTTATTTCAAAGAGTCCTATGGGTGCACATCGGTGTATCGGAGTGGGGGTGCAGGCCCCTGTGGTTGAAATCCCGGATATGGCGCTAATGGTGCATATAACCTCTCACATTTTGTTACATATAAAGCTAATTCCTCAGCCCTTTTAAAACCAAAAAACTCAAAATAAAACGTAGTCAAAGCAAGCCGCCAATGTGAATGCCGATTGCGTAAAAGTGCCCTTTAAGAAACCGTTGTTTCGAACACAGGTCCAGGTCGCATTCGAAGCAATGACTACTTTGTGAATGTAATGGTAAAGGTTAAAAAATAAATCGCTGCACATCGCAATCGACTTCTTATTCCTGCAATTATTCGTGTCTGCCAATTTACAATTATGAGCTATTTTACATATTAAAATGAAGAAAGCTGAAATGCTCAAAAAAACCTTTATGCTTAGGTGATACCTGTTGAATTTCAAGAACTCCCCCGCCCCCGGAGAATCCTCCACTGAGTTTATTTTGTTGCAGTTTGTTTAAGGATGGCCCCCTAATTTATTGTAAAATGCCTGTAGTGTAGTCGCTATGCATTCACGGAAGTCCCTGATCGAAGCGTATGAAAAATTGTTGTTAGTAGTAGGTGTAGCGTAAATTAGGCCTTGTGTAGGAGGGAATTTGTATTTGTTTAATGCTGAGGGGAAAGAGGAGAAGTGTAAGAGAGGGACGGGGTCCCAAATGTTGTACGCTGGAGGTAGTTGTTAATTTGGAATAAGTAATTTGAAAACGTATTTATGAATATGACGTCACACAATATCACATACGCAAAACAGTTTAATTGTTTCGGAGTTTTTAGAGGAAAGATGACGTCACACTGACTTCCAAGTTACGTCACGAGGTTATTAATTTCGGACGGAACTGTGTATGGGCATATGGTTCAGCATTAAACCAATACAAACTCCCCCTCCACACAATACAAGCCCTCATTTACGCCACAGCACTCTATAACTGACGTGGAGCAGTAGTATATTAAGACAGTTGGATTTTAAAAATACTTTACTGTTTTTCACATTTTCAGATTAAAGATGGATGTGGAAATGATCCCCCTGATAATCCGTCTACGAGCTTTGGTGACATTGAAAATACCTCTTCTGGGAAAATTTACACTATTCAAACATGACATATGGCGCTATCAGGTTCCAACCATACGATCAAACATATTTGATATCCACAACACGGACCCTGACAAGTCACCTCCGGAGATTGAAAATTACTCAACACCAGTGGTAAACCATTACATTTATCGCATTTTAATGTTATCAAAGGACATCTTAAGTTGTTCAACGTTTCCTTTCAAAAAATATGCTATAGGTTCATATCAACTGATGCCAGCGGCTGATATAAATCTTGTGCTACATCTGAGCCTAATGAGACTTAAACTAACGCTCAAACCTAACGCTCAAGCCTATATAAGCTGAAAATAAGACAATTTCTTTTCTTAAATAAGACGGTCTTCTTTGCACTGCAGCTGTTACTACAAACCTTTCAAATACAGACACCGTAACCGTCATTTACCGTTGTTTTTAAAATGGTAGAAAAGACAGACAAACCAATGTCTATTTGCCTTGAATTCAGTGCACAATATAATTGCATGGTGGTGTTAAAGCGCCCCATTTTCTCTGTAAGCAGATATTAAGGTGTTTGGGATTACCTTTTGTTCCATATAAGTTATACTCCATTCCAGCCCTATATCATGCCAGCAGTGGTAATATTCTGTAACGCACCGACTTGGGGGGCTGATGCATGTACACACATGGGCGTCGCGAGGGGGGGGGGGGGGCAAGGGGGGGCACTTGCCCCCCCCCCCCCCCTTCCAAAAAAATGCCCCCCCCCCCCTTGAAAAGCAAAAAAAAAAAAAAAAAAAAATAGCGAAAAAAAAGGGAAAAAAAGAAAAGAAAAAGAGGCGCGAAGACAAAGTGGTGTAAATTTAATGAGTTATGTCCCTGCCCCCTCTAAAACTGATAAATCGAAAATGTGTTGAAAAATACTAGCATTTTCGGTCAAATTTTGTTTTGCCCCCCTCTAGAAAAAATCCTGGCGACGCCCATGTCTACACATGAGCCTCTTGCTCTTGTTTGTGTCTTTAAACAACAACAATTATTAATGTCAACATATACATGCTCAGGTCAGCTCTTTTTTGTTGCAATGTGCGGCGAATTTTGGCAAAACTCGTATTTCGATATTCTTGTCATATCACTTATTTAGTGATTCAAAAATGTTAGGTTCACCTACAGGAAAATAAATGTTTTCCTATTTCCTATTTTGTAAGTTCGCCAATGATGATGCCATGTGTAACATATAAATGCTAATAGAGATTTTGAAATGTCTTCGTTTTGTTGGTTTCATGAAGATTGGGCACGCTAAGCGTAGCGTAACAGGCAGAAGTGTGTGTGGTGTGGAGCAGGTCCCCGGATTAGACTACACAGAGCCAGCCTTCCAGCTTGAGATTGCAGCGGCCGATGACAAGAGCTTGGTGACGTTCTTCTATCAGGTCGGAACAGCTCCTGGAGGAAGCGACGTATTCTCTAAGACAGAGTTTGGAGGACCCTCGGTCATTATTCCTCAAGTACGAAAATAACGCAGTTTTGTGCTCATTCTTTCACGGGTCTCAAATTGTGATTATTTGGCCAGATTAATGATGAATAAATATCAGAAGGAGTTTTGATGTCATGTAACAGTCCTTTGGTATTAAGTAATGTCCATTGTCTGGATACTGAAAGTGCAAGGGTAAGTTTCGCCAGGGCAAGTATTTTCTGGGGAAGTTTGCAAAAGTTCAACATTCCAACTGAAGCAAAATAATGCTATATTCGTTTTATGACTCGAATAAACAAAATAAAATGCCTATGTTTAAATGGAAAATTCCTTATTGGGCATGACAAACCCCACAGTCTCAGGTTAATTAATTAAACTGAAATCAACCCAATAAGGTTGTTCAAGTTCTGTTCATCATGATGAAAAAAAAATACGACAGAGGAAAACAGGACAACATTTGCAAAGTGAAAAAGATGCAACTTTTTACAATTTCATCAGGTTTACAGTTTCCCTTGTTCCCTTTCTGATCTGAAAACAAGAGGTAATACATCAATGGTCCAAAAGGAGCTTTTGTGTTGTTTGTGCTTTGCTGTTTAGTGAATGCCAACGTATTTTAAACTGAGATTTTTCCAAATAGGTCTACCATAACCAAGGTTACACATTTCCGAGGTATACCATCAACCTAAAACGAACTTGTAACTTTTTATAGATGCTCCTCGGAGGGCATCCTCTGTACTTCACTGTGTACGCCATGAATAATGGAGGAGGCACTGCCACAGCTACCTGCAGCCTACCAACCTTTGACGTCACCCTGCCGACGGGTCGCATCACGCCAGACTTCACCTCAACCAGTCACCCGTACATACTCCGCGCCGCGGCCGTGGTGTACGACGATTCCGTCATCTTGATGCAGAAGGAAGGCGTCGGGTTCGGCCCCGAAACCTGGGGCGATCAGATTGTACCGTGGAATACCATTGATATCACAGAGAGACAGCACCTTGGACTTTCAAGTAAGTGGGATGTCGTAGTTTAGCTTTGGTTCCCAATTCCATGCTCAACAACCCCTCGGCCCGGGCAACATTGGCTTTCCGCTTTGTTGAGATTTAGGGAGAAATAAGATGTTATTTGGATACTAATGTTATGTAATTTTAATTTTAATATAATATAACAAATAGAAAACAGGTGGTCAATTGGTCGAGGATCACCCAAGGTGCGTATTCCTATTCGCATTCAATGCATACCCATTTCTGTATATAGGTCGTCTTAGCACATCCAATTACTTAGACTCACGCACCACTCTAATATCCCTCTCAGACAATGACTTTGACTACTTCACCGCCGCCAAGAAAGGTCGCCTCGTCTCCAAACCAAAGTCAACCATCACTCGTCGCAACCCCAACTTCTGTGCACGGGACTGCCTGGCCCTCCCAGAAACCAAATGTCTGAGTATTAACTACAACTACGCAGATTTCACCTGTGAACTACTGGAGGAGATTGAGGGTCATGGGGTTGAAGTTCACGAGGTAGCATGACATGTTAGATAGACCAGATACAGTAACAACGCCAAACAGTCCAATTGAACATAAGATACACCTACAAAATATTCAATTGCTGATTCAAATCACAGTGTGTCTACTTGTTGATTCCCTTTCATTTCTTGCAAGCGATCCCAATGTGTAAACAGTTATGGATGGATCCTGTATTGTAACTGTGACAAAACTGTGCTACTATAATCATTATTAAAAATGTTAATGGATGTCAATTTAATAAATTTGCTGTGTTTCAGTACGGACTCTTCACCCATTATGAGCGCCTCGGTGTGGGCCACGCTGTAGAGTTCAACCACGAATCACTCCAACTCGTCCACAACAACCTCTACTACTTTAACATTGAGCTCCTGAACTACGTAGGATATGAAAACATCATTTCATCCGTCGGCATCTTAGCAGACTTTACTCCACCAGAACCGGGGCTGATCGTGAATGGGACCAGGGATGAGGTGGTGCATGAAGCTTGCGTGGAGTTCACACCAGAGGAGTGGGAGAGACGATGCATTGAAGACACTCCATTGAATAACCATCGGTAAATATCAATACTTAAAATGCCTCTAATCAATTAGCATAATGGAAGAAATATGTTTAGTAATAAAACAACTACGTGTTTAATTTATAACGGACCAACATCTATTTGTGATTCTGTTCCAAAATGTGACTTTTTGTAGCCAAAATAGGCCAAAATTGAGCCCTGATGGTAAGATTTTCGATTATTTTTTATAAGATAAACGTGCAGAAACGGTGGCAAATTAAACCCTTGATGAAGACGACACTAAAATCTAAAATGTGAAAAAAAGTTTTTTCTAAATTGAACATGAAATTGTCATTTTTGTGGTACTTTCAACATAATGTTTTGTTATTCTGTACCAAATATAACAAACAACTACACATTCTTTAATAGCAGAGCTTGTCAAAGAATGGACAAAAATAATATTAAATTCTCAAATAGCCTATATTATGATTACACAAATTATAATGTCTAAAAAACACATTTTGCATTTTGGATGTACCATTTGAGCAATGTAGTAAGTCATTAGCTTACTAAAAGTCTGATTTGCAATTACTCTGTTAAACGAAAAACTGTTCAAAATTTTACAAAATATGTTGTACATATTGCGAAGAAGAGGAAGTTTAATTAATTAACCTTCCAAATTATGTTGCCTGGATTTTCCGCATAGCTCTTTGTCTTTGTAATATAAATATACAACCGCACCTGGTTTGTGTCTTACGACGTTTAATCAGATTTCTGCTGTGCAATTATTTAACCTCAGGTATATTACTGATGGTCCTGGTTCTATGACTGTATTTAACGGCTATCAGGAACTAACTGATTTGCATTATACAAGAAGCAATACTTTCATAGCGGGTAAGTGCATACACGTTTCGTTGACAATATAATGAACGTATCTTTGTTTGACCCAATGTACTTATTTTGAAAATCATCCGAAACATGTGGACAAGCTGTTTAAATATAAGCTGTGTGTTAATCTGAGGTAATGTTCGGGGGGGATTAGGCTTGTGCGTTGTTGTTTTTTGTGAAATTTTTGTTTAACCTGATGTATAAGGCTTTTACTTTTACTGCTACTTTAATGTACAGGCTGTAAACATTCCTCAATGGCGGTTAAAAACATGATGCGTTGTTATATTAAAAATTATTCCCAAATTCTCACACTGGCTGTATATCATTGAATCACAGTGCTTGTTACTTCGGCGATGGTCAAAAGAACTCGAATGTTCAGACTGACGTCCGGGACGCGATGTTCTTTCCGTACCAAATATTCGCTACGGGCGCAGAGCGAATTCGAACGCTATTGTTGTGACTAGGTGCAAATTTAATGTGAACCAGAAGACGAAGATATTACTTTAACAGTTTATATATATTCGAACAACAGGTTTTAAATTGGGCTACTTATCATGGCCAAGGCCTACCTGATTGTACCCTTAAGCTTAATAGTGCCAAGACTGTCATCATTGTGCTGAATTCACCACGACATCGCTGTCCTCACATCATAGAGAGCATCCCCATTGACAGTCAAGCCATACCAGTCAGTAATACAGAAAGACTACCCAAGATGCAATGCGCGCGTGAGCAAGCTGGTCGGGGGTACCAGAATTTCGTCGCGTGACTTATTAATTTTAGGCTCTAAACCAGATAATGTAATGTCACAATGATATTGTTGTGCATGTGCTGTGTGTTTACATCACTGAAACATGTTGATACCTGTGTCTCCAAGCAGCATCTGAAAAGATTAGTGATATGTCTTTCTAATTTTCTTTTCAGCAAACTGGGAAGGTTTTCATGACAACGAGACAGGAATCCATGGCTACACCTGGTCCATTGGTCACGATGTCTGTGATGATGATGTCAGCATGCATGTTGACCCCCACGCTCATCTGTTTGATGAGTCAGAGTGGACTCACCAAGGACTTGTTGTCAGTGTGAAGCTACCAGGTATTTTGTCCATTGTCAAATGTTGAAACAATCGGAGAACGTAAGAGAACTTACCTGCAGCATGTAGGAAGGAATTATCCATAATTACAGCTGTTCTGGGAGGTTTTGTTGTTGAATAGACAATTACATTTAAAAAGTTGTACTAGTAATTTCAAAGTTTTAAAACGTAGTATGGTTTGAAATTATTGCGTTATTGGTCTCTTTAACCAAATTCCTATTATATTCACAGACAAATCAAACGCAGGCTTATTTCATCTTTTCCAATCCAGGAAACAAATCATTCAATAAAACATTGCTGTAATATATTCATTTCCACAATTAGAAAAGATACCATGCTGATATCTTTCCCAACAGACGGTGCATATTACATGACTGTGCGTGCTCTCAACAAGGTAGAGTTTGGCGGCCCTATGGCACTCACAGTGTGTCACAGCACACCTCTGATTATCGACAATACTCCGCCCATCATTTACAGCATCCTTGACATCACCTACGACTCGTCCATGGGTAGAATTGGAATGAAAGTCAACGCTACGTGAGTATCTGAATACGGGCGATTCACAATAGTGCGCCTCCAAGAGTTTGCAACGCGTTGGCAAGTCATAATGCGCGGAATCAGTCGATCTTTTCCAAACGCGCATTGGGTCGACAGATTTTGCGCATTGTGATTGGCCAGCGCGTTGCAAACTCTTGGAGGCACACTATTGCGAATCGCCCGTATAGTAAGACATTTTAATTGCACACAAAATGACGCTGGTGCATGATACACTTCGGCAGGTGAAATTCTCAAGAAATTCCCAAGAATGTATGAAATCTATATTCCGCATTATTATCTTCCTAAGATTTGCATCTGGAAACAAACCTTCGTATATTGAGACCCTCTCTGAGTGTCGTCATTTGGCTGAGTACCCCCAAAGCATGCACTGCCTGTTTAAAGAGGTTGTGGAATACTGAAAGTCGTTTTGTTTTTATTTATTTTTTTACTGTAGAGTAGACCCATATATCATAATGACAAAGTCCCATTCTTTTGTAATGTGCGTTTATATGTTTATAAAACTGAAATTCATCGAGTAATTTGTTGGTCGGCGAGCGCATAATTGAAATCAACAGTCGTCGGGTTCTTCGTAAAATGTGAAAAATCGTGACGTAATAAGCAGGTCTTGTTTATACTACGCTGCATCGCGAGTCCTTTTTATTACGTCACGATTTACTATGTTTTGTTTGCTGCCCCAAACGACGACTTTCACACAAAGTGCACGTTCGGGTCCAAACAGGACCTGAAAAACAGCTCTCAAAAGTACCTTTTGTACTCATTTCATGACAGATACAATAGTCGTTTTTATTTCATCACACCTTAGGCTACATATACCCGAAAAATGACAGAAATGTCTTCGAGCATTCCACAACCTCTTTAACACGAGTTAGCTTTTTCATAGGTAATTGAGTCCAGTTTTGAGAATGCTCATCTTGCGCACAAACTGATCATCCAAAAGGTGTTATGTGAGGCAAAATGATAAACGGCTACAACAGCTGTTGCGGGCGCATCTTACATGTATAACTCCGGCCCAATCATATTTGTCTGCTTAGAAATGCTGAAATATCCTTCTTATCTCTTTCTGTGACATTAAACACAGTGATCCCGACTCCCATCTGTTTGAGTATCATCTTGCAGCAGGCAGGACACCCAGGGATATATCACTGCGTGATTGGGAGGCTCACGGTTTGGCTGAACAGCTCTTCATGGACTTCAAGATACCCAACGGCATACCCTGCTTGGTCAAAGTCAGAGCAGTCAACAGAGGTAAATATGTACTGATTGTGATTTGAAATATGCCCTGCCGAGAGGCCTAATCCACTGCAATTAGTTGATTACTTCTAGGTTTCAATGACTGAAGGCATTGAAGGCACGTGTGGTCTAGCGATGAGGCACAGGATTCATGATCGTGAGGTTGTCAGTTCGAGCCCCGCCGTGGCCGTGTATGTAGTGCCCTTTAGTAAGGCGCTTTAGCTCAATTACTCCTCTCAACCCAGGTGCATGTTAAATGGATACTGGCATTATTTAATGCAAGCAAGGTAACAGACTCGCTGTGGAGGAGGTGTCGCGATCCCCCACAGCAACATATGAATCTGGCCCAATCGCTAATGAAAGCGAAATGGGCACTCTGTTCCCTGTTGACACAGGTTCGGCCTCTTTACCTTTTGTTTTCAATGACTTTACCGCACTCTCAGTTTATTGCTCGGGAAACATAGTTAACGTAGATAACATTTTGTTTGGGCCTTCTGCAGTGGACCTGCGCACCACAGAGCATGCTGACCAGCCAATTCTTGTAGACGATACTTCACCAATCGCTGGAGACTTGTATGATGGACCCTACGCACATCAGGATCTGGAATTTACCAAAAATAGAAATAAGGTAACACAAGTGGTCGCCATCAGTCAATAGGCCTACAGTGTGAACAATTGGTTGGGAAGCGTTATACTTCCCGTTTTGCAAAATTTCTTAAGAATCTCCTCAAAATGGCTTTTGTTGGTAATTCATATCTCTGTTAACGGAATAGATTTGTGCCAATTGGTACAACTGGCGTGACCCTGAGTCTGGGATCTTCTCCCACCTTTGGGCGGTTGGGACCCAGCCTGGACTGAGTAACGTAGTAGACTTCACCAAAGTGTCTGGTCGAGAACACAGCGCCTGCTCTGGCTATGTGACCCTACAGCACGGGGAGACGTATTACTCAACTCTCACAGCCTTCCACGGCGGATATGATAAACTCAACGTTTCGGCTTCGTCTAATGGAGGTAATTTTAACTTGTGAACACGAATGAGTGTGGAGCTCACCCATACCACACTTTGTTTTTTGTATAAGTGGTGTTAGTATTACTTTTTTACTTTTTTGGAGGGGAGGGGTCCTGGACAATAATTCATTGTGAGTAACAACAAATGAACTTTAAAATTGGTATTAACATTAACTCTGATACAGATATGTAGATAAAAGTGTGATGTCATAATGATGTCATCATGTACCAAATTAGAAGAGACTTGTATTCAAAAAGGGACCGTTATGTTTTAGTCATCACTCGTGAGCAAGAGAACAATCACGTAAACAGTTTTTGATTTGATAGACCATGCCCTGATAAAAAAAAATATGTCGTGTAGCTGAAGTCGCTTGACTGTTACTATCGGGTTTATATGAAAGTCAGTGTTAGGTGAATTCAAAATACCGACAGAAGCATCGATATTAAAACGGGCGTAATTTCCTCCAAAAAGTGCAAGGGATGAATATAAAAACTTGAATTGTTAAACTATTAATTTTTTTTTAAATTGCCTAGAAACATTCTTTGCACATGAAAAATAAATCAGACAGGGAGTTATTTTAGCGAAAATTTGGAGAAAAAAAACTTTTATAGAAAAAAATCTAGCCTTTTGTACCAAGTTGGACCATTGTTTCAAAACGTCAGATGTCAGCTACCTGACGATGAGTACCTTAAAAATCTGACGACATCAAAGCGAAAGTGACGTTACGTTATTTTGATATTTCTAACAGTTCTTTCACTTTATGTTGCATATGTGACCAGTCTAAACTAAATCAGTATTCACCATGCACATTTTTAATAGTACCGTGTAAATAAAGCATGTCATGAAATCAATCGATCCCTTAAGGACGCGTTTGTTCAAATTAATTAATGGTTAAACCTAAAAGGTTTGATTTTTTTTTCATGATTTACAACTTAACTAGACAACGCCGTAAATGTCTCGTCTCCTCCTTTCGTTCTCTTTGTTTCTACAGAAATCTTATATCCAATAGCGTTGTCCACATAGCATGGGAAAGATACATTTCTAAAGGGTGTTTTGTGGAGTCCATAGTCCCATTTGTTTCTTGTGTACTTGTTGCCCAGTAAGGAACCAATGTGTGTGCACATACACATAGGCACCATGTTTGTTTATGGTGTTAATCTATTTCCTATTCTTCCTCTTTTGTTCATACTTTTTGCAACAGCTCCCATTGGTTTTGTACACGTTTCCAATCGAGGACGTCCTTGATTGGACTCCCGTCGTCGATTTGAAAAAGAATGTTTCATCATTTAACATTAACACTCAAGTGTGCACACCTTCAATTGTGGACCCACTTTTGTCCCTCTTTTATTTATACTTTTTAGGAAGATATCCCTTTTTCATGTTACACACACACATCAAAATGGACCTTCGGTCAATCGTGGACCCTACTTTCCTCTATTGTTCAAGGTCCACGATTTGAATGTGTATACATGTACTCACACGTTCAGCGGTGATCCAATCGTCATGATCGTAAGCACTATCATCATGATCATCATCGGCAGAAAAATATTTTCATCATGTTATATAGTGATACCTCAACTTTAACCTGTTATCGTCAGTGCCGATTAGTCTTCCCTCAACAATACACTGAAGTGCATGTGACACGTGATTTTATATTACTTATCTTCAAATTCGGTAAGCATAATTCATGTTAGTAACATTTCAAAAATAAAACTCTCCAGTAACTGTAGATCTGACTCCACCAATGCAAGGCGATGTGTATGATGGCCTACGGCCGGGACATAATGATCTAGCCTTCTCATCAAGGCCAGCGACTGTGGAGGCTCAGTGGGAAGGATTCTCTGATCCTGACTCTGGTATCGACGACTACCAGGTTACAGTCTATCGCAAGCATGCTGAAAGGTGCAGACGGGTTTAGTTGAATTTGATTTCTTTAAAAAGTTGAGAAGGAAAGTAAATCTGGGCTTCTTCTTATACATTTGCATTTTGTCTTTGCTTGGAATGTAAAATTGATAGTGGTGCAAAATTTTATAATTTATATTCTGTTTTTATTGAACTACAGTTTCACAAACAGTTTTGAGGTTATCCATAAGGCAGATTCAGTAGGCAGCGAGACATCCTCCATTGAATGGCATCACTTCCATCTCCATCACAAGGACCAGGTCTATGTCAACCTGCGCACCATCAACCGGGCTTTCAATCACATTGATACACCGACGAATGGGTTCTTGGTCGACTTGACTCCTCCAGTGCTGCGAACTCTGGGAGATGGGCTGGATGTGGGTCAAGATGCTGACTTCCAGGTGAGTTGACATCATGCTGTCGTTTATGACTCAACAATCGCCTCTAGTTACAAATCTAAACCTTTTATTAAGGCTAGTACTCAGAAAGAAAAGTAAATTGTAAAAAAAACATAAAAATTAACCGTTCCAACTTAAAGTAAAAACAATTCAACGTTGTGTTTCTTTGTTTTTCAAAAGGTTAAAATTATTAAAGATGTTCAATAAATTACCTTTTATTTGGAAGTCGAATTTTGATAGCCTTGCTGTACACTGGGACTACTTTGATGAGGAGTCCGGCATCGAAGCCTTTGAGTTGGCGATCTACGAGTTGCGACATGGAAATAAACACAAGATCTTTCCTATGGGTAAGATATAGTTTCTCAGTGTAGTCTAGAGAAATGTTCATTCATCATGAAGACGAAAACAACACAAAAACCAAATAAAAACGAACAACCAAAAACAAAAACAAATTGCACACCTTCCTCTGCGTTTGTTTTAAGTATACTTTTATGTTTATATTTTGTTTTATTGTTTTAGGCCAACACTCGACTGGCTTTAAATTGATTTCTGATACCACGGCTCGGTCCCACGTTCAAGGTGGTCTGACACTGCGTCCAGGGGCTCGTTATGTGACACGAGTGAAGGCCAGGAACCATGCCAAACTAGATGTTTCTCATGAAACCAGTGGCATCAAGGTCGATCCTAGTCCTCCAATGGTGAGTATCCATCCAGGCAGCGTCAAGCGACACAAAGGCGGTCAATTGCAAATGATCTTTTTAAGTATAAGCTGCCCGTGTACACACCTCTCACCCTTTGAACTTTATAGCAAAACTGCATTTGCCGGCTGGCGACTTTACGTTGCTTTGAAAACCTCGAAACTTGATATTCAATCTACAAATGTGCTGTTATCTTAATTAATTCACAGATGAGATATGTGCGTGGAGGCAATTTTGATGGGGGAGTTGAAGAACTCTTCAAAGGGTACTTGTACCAGAACAGTCGTACAACAATCCAGGCATCCTGGCTGGCTGTAGATGGACAGAGTGGTATCAAGACCTACTGGGTGGCAGTCGGAACGGCTCAAAGTGAATATAACTTAAGATTACCTTACAAGATAACGTTAGAATGTCCAACGTAATTGTTATTGTTTGTCCTGACTGGAATTGCCCAAGATTGATGGTACAAATGTTTGCATTGGAACTATTTGCCAGCACCGTGACTTTAGGCGTTATTACTTGCCAAATTATAATAATGTGTAGCGCGCCCCAAAATACCCGCAACATTTTATTTGCGAGGCTCTAGCGTCGCGCGGAAACACGTACCGCCATTATTTGTATATCATTTAATATCTTGGAATCTTAAATTTTTCCCTGGTAAGCATTGGTTTGATTTTCAAAAGGGTTTTGAAATGAATCGCGTTCATGCGCATTTTTCTAATGTGGAAATGGTGTATCATGTTCATGATGTGACGATGTCGTTGCCTCTTACTTAACGTGTTTTCTATTCTTTTCGATCCACGTAGACAACACTTTAAATGCATTTACAATATTTGTTCTTCGTTTCAAGTTCGATTTTGCGATCCACGTGCAAGTATATGTATCTATTCAAACAGCGCGCTAAACGTGTGTCTCAAGTTTGCATTTGATATACCGCATCGTCGATTTTCCTTGAAATCGGTTGAGTTGTTTTTTTGACATGCCTTATTGAACGCGTCAAACAATTTTAAACTCTCTTCAATATCAAACCAATACTCGCAAGGGATAAACTTCAGATTTCAAGCTTTAAAGTGGTATAAAACTAACGGCGGTACGTGTTTCCGCGCCAACGCTAGAGTCTCCTAAAAAAAGGATTGCGGGTATTTTGGGACAAGCTGTATAGGCCTATACTTTTCATAATTTTCCCGAACGACAAATCGACAAATATTGTATAAGTCAAAAGAGCAAATGTTTTAAATATTAAACTGATGGGTATTTATGTAAGAAATAATTAATAAGAAAAAAATATGTAAGAAAAAATTAATACTTGAATTTGACTCTTTGTTTTGTTTGTGGCATACACTTCTTTCTAGACTTTGAACTCATCAAACCATTCACTCCAATGGGCCCTAAGAGCAGTGGTGTCCTCTTAGACCTTCATCTTCAACTTACCGACCCATCAACATGCAGTGATGAGACAGTCACTGAAGGTTGCCAACCAGTCTACTACTTGTGTGTCAAGAGTGAAAATGGCGCAGGGGCTTTCAGTGACGTCATCTGCTCCTCACCAATCAGAGTTGTTGATGAAGATCAGACGGGTTAGTTATCAGTTCTATGCAGTACTTGAAAGCAATCTGCTTATTTGACTATGTTAATTGTAAGACGTTGGATACCATCTACTAAGAACTACATAAAACACTTATCAATTTCTATCTTTTTCTGTGCGGTTAAAGTTTTTATTTTCACATCAGGAGACACAGTGAATTTCATTCCCCCCCAAGACTCTTCACTCTAGACATCGTGTCATTTGAGATTGGTGGACAATCTCTCTGATAGTTTATGGTGACAAATGGCCCACAGAAGTGCCCAATTGTCTCAGATATCACAATTAGGTTTTACTGCAATCAAAATCTGTCACAATCTAACATCTGGGTTGTGCCTGATTCAGATATTTTGATGACTGCATTGCTGCAGGGCTTTGAGAACATTATTGGTTTTATAACAAGAGGCCTGACATCCTAATCTTGTTCCGTGCGTTTACTGCAATGTTGCACTTTAGGAGATCTGAGAAAGTAACGAAGCATCTTGTCAATAATTATTTTTTGTTGTCAACAAAATTTACTTCCTTTATAGTACATGCAATATAAGGTTTGACCTCAAACAAATTGCAACAGAATTTTTTTCACCACAGTGCATTTCTATAAGGTCCCTAAAATGACATACTAAAAGTCTTAAAAAATCGAGGTGGTGGAAATATGCCTAATTTGCATAAATCCAAAATGGCCGCATATGTTAGGACTTTCGCATTGATTTGGTCATATTTCTCATACAAGGTCGATTTTAGAGGTACTTTAAACAACAGTTTTAGTCCTTTACATTGATTTACTCATTATTCAAGTCCTAGGTAAATTCCAAGATCCCTATGTTTCCGAAATTTTCCAAATGCCGTATAATTTGCATAAATGCTGCATATCAATTTGCCTAATTAAAGTTAAAATAATGGATACCATGTGTGGACATGTACCAATTGAGTGTTCCCTGATAATCCAAGTCAAATTTCACACCACAGTGCATTGCTATAAGGTCCCTAAAAAAGTTGTTAAAAATCCAAGTGGTGGAAATATGCCTAATTTGCATAAATTCAAAAGGCCGCTAATTACATGATTTTCATATGATTTGGCGCGGCCATGATAATAGTATATAGGCCGTTATGTGCGTTTGCTTTTTTTTGTTTAAGAAGTAATTTTTGCCATATTTGGAAAGAGTTTACCTCCCTAAGCCGGAAATGCATTGGAGACATTTTTCCCAGCTACCGTGTGGCGGCCATCTTGGATTTCAAAATGGCCGCCATTTCGAGCCTAATTTGTATCATAACTTCGGACTTGATTGTCACATGAAGTTTATTTTGATGGCAAACCCCATGTTTTTGATACCAAGGAACCTGAGTATATTATTGTTTATGGTGTACTCCAAATGGATGGCAGCCATCTTGGATATTTCAAAGATATGGCCGCCATTTTCGGCTTATTTGCATAATAAATTTGGACTCGAATGGCGTACGAAGTCAATTTCGGTGGCAAACCCCATACGTTTGATACCAAGTAATCTTAATGACCCATTGCTGATGATCTATCCCAGATGGATGGCAGCCATCTTGGATTTTTTTTCAAAATAGCCGCCATCTTGGATCTTATTTATAATAACATTGCACCTGAATGTCCTATGAAGTCCATTTTTTGAATGAACTCAAGTAAATCACTGTGGACGGGGTACTTACAGTTGATTGCAGCCATCTTTGATATTTCATAATTGCCGCCATTCTGAACTATTTGCATAATAAATTTGGACTTCAATGTCGTATGAAGTCACTATTGGTGGTGGCAAAGCCCATAAATTTGATACCAAGGAATCCAATTAGCACATTTAGGCATCCCAAATGGATGGCAGCCATATTGGATATTCAAAAATAGCGGCCATCTTTGATTTCATTTAAATAATAAGGTGGCACCTGAATGTCGTATGAAGTCCATTTTGGTGGCAAACTGCATATGTTCTTGATACCAAGGAACCCAAGTTAATCATTGTTGATGGGGGTACTCCACTGGGAGTATACCCCATCAACAATGATTTTCGTGGGTTCCTTGGTATAAAAAAAACATGGGGTTTGCCACCAAACTGAACTTCATATGACAATCAGGTCCGAAGTTAGATACAAATTAGGCCCGAAACTGCGGCCATTTTGAATTCCATTTTGACCGCCACATGGTAGATAGAAAAAAAATGTTACCAATGGATTTCCAGCTTAGGAAGGTAAAGTCTATCCAAATAATTATGAGAAAAATTCCTTCTTTAGCAAAGAAAAATGCAGTGGCCAAAAATACGACATAATATGCTATCTAGTAATAACTCTCGTCCTAAGTTGCTTTTCGGGGTACTTTAAACAACATTTGTCATTTGACATTGGGGCCATTCAGTGTCAAATCACCCCCCAAAACTTTAAAATTTGAATCCCCAACCTCTTCAAATTGGATCATATTTAGTTTATAGGGTAATTTCGGCTGAAAAGCCGAAATTTTAAGTTTTAGCACCATCGGACAAACAGTTTTCGCGCTACCGCCCAGGCAATTTTGGTCAAAATGGACATTGCTGCCATTTTTAAATGACCATATTTCTATAATCTGTGAGCCAAATGTGTTAATCTTAATTTCCTTTGAAAGGTTACATCATGAGAAATCCAAATTTACCATTGTTTTTTTTCATGTCGGGGTTATTTGAAGTATAATGACATTTTGACCTTTAATTTGACCTTGAATTTGACCTAGTGGATCACCCGACATTGAGACAAACTTGGATGAAAATTAAACCCGGTTTTTGGCTCATCTCAAAGTTGGCATACGCGTTGCAAAATGTGATATCCCTATGCACTGTACTAGTGGATTTAAAGTAGGGATTTTTTTGTCCCTGAAATGTGTTTATGTACAGGGTGTCCAAGACTGTTAAAATTATTCCTTTTATTTTCTGAGTTGATTTATCAATCACTAAATTTTACGGCCGTAAAGTGTTATGTAACTTCGGAGGTGGGCATGCTAGGTGAATTATGCAAATCGTAATTCCTTTTTCCTTTGTTGCATACCAATTCCGGGATTGCACCCATGCAGGAGGGGTATAAAACCCTCACCCTTTGTGATTTGTAACTCCTGTGTTGAATCCTCTGTTCTCCTGAGTTAGTCTTTGATTGTTGGTCCGAGTAGAGCGGCGCAAGGGTTCGCTCTGCGACACAGGGATATCACATTTTCCAACACTTATACCAACTTTGACAAGAGCTAGAATCCTTAACAAAAATTGTATACCCCATAGGAAACATAGGATCTCATAAGGTACCTCGGACTGGAATGATGATGAAATCAATGTCAAAGGACAAATTGTTGTTCAAAGTACTCCAAAAAGCAATGCAGGACAAGAGTTATGGCCAAATCAAAAATCATTTAATTAGTGGCCATTTTGAATTTATGTAAATTAGACATATTTCCACCACTTGGATTTCTTTCCTTTTTTAAGGAACCTTATAGCAATGCACCATGGTGTGAAATTAATTTATGTACATGACTGGACTTGGATTATCAGGGAAAATTTTATTGTGACATGTCCACACATGACAGCCATAATTTTAACTTTAATCTATGCAAATTAATAAATGGCATTTATGCAAATTATTATCGGCATATCGCAAATTTGGGAAACATAGGGATATTGAAACTTACCAAGGTCTAGAATAATGAGTAAATTCGCCTGATGATCGCCACGCAGTGTGCGTGTGCGTGAAACCAATGGTAGCAGAATAGACTGAACCTATATGTTATATATAGATTCATATATATATCATATTGCAGATAGTATATATATATTACAGCATAATAAATGAATATAAATCATCTACAGATCTTTTCTGAAGTCAATGGGCATCTCAATAATAAATTAAGATCAACTCTCTGTGTTTAGTATTAAATATATTGTTGCAGCATCACTAAATATTCTATTATAAAGTAGCAAAAAAAGTGGTACTGGGTGTGGTTAAGAAACACATTAGAAAACTACTTTCCACCACTCGGATTTCTTAAGACTTTTAATATGTTATAGAGGAGATTTTTCTGAGTAATAACATTTTTAAATGGTTTCTGTTGCAATTTGTTTGAGGTTACCCCTTAATTTTTTACATAATGCCTGTACTATTAACAATCTCATTGCACAGGGTACGTTACAGATGGTCCGAGCATGCAACAGGATCAAGATGCTCAGCAAGAGAGAACCACTGTTACGATCTTCTTCAATGGCTTTGAGGTAAAACCGTTTTGTAGGGGAATCATAGTATTTTTACATCATTCATTTCGGTTCTTTTAAAATCGACAGCCATTTGAAATAACCTTTACTCACGCTTTTCTCCGTGTTGCAGTCGTCCAGTATTATAGTTTAGGTAGATTTTTTCCGCTCAAATTTGCATTCTCCGTTTTGTTTATGCATAAATGCACTGTAAACATACTCTCAGCCAAGATTCTTCAAAGATCCTTCAAGAACTTCTTTTAGCCAGTATTGACCTCAATTAACTGATTGTATTTCTGATTTAGAAAAGTATGCAGCATACTTTGCTTTAAATCAAGCTGAAGAATTCAGTGGAAATGAACGTTGCTTTGTTAATACAGAGCATTTTTTTAAATCCCATGCAAAGTTTGTAAATTTGTTGTTGATCGAAGGTTGTCTAACTTTGAAGTTTAAAAACAAAACTAAATTGAAATGAAATGATTTTTATTATTAAATACTTTCAGAGCCAAGTGCATGGCATTTCTCAATATGAATGGGCGGTGGGCACAACCCCTGGGGGCGAGGATATACAACCTTTGACCTCAGATGGCATAGTACCAGGAAGTAATGCAAATGTCCCAGGTAAGATTGCCAAAACAAGTGCCGTTGTAGCTGTATATTAGATGTGTGTAGGAGGATTTTGTACTATGTGTCCCAAAAAGGAAGTGTCCGTCTAAATAATAATAATAATTTCTAAATTACAACAAAACAACAAAGTAAATTTTGAAAGTTTTGAGTGTTATGTAAGTTTCCTCATACCTCACTGCACAATGGGCAATTTATCACAACAAACTCTGTGGACATTGTGACAAAGTTGCTTGCCTTATTACTCAATGTTAGCGCTTTAACTGTTATGTAGACCGAAGCTGTGTTAAATCCTTCATGATGTGATAAAACATTTGCCTGGCTATTAGTTATCATGGCAAGACCTCAGTTTAATGGTCAAGGGCAACTAATTCGATAATCAGGCCGACATCGTTTTAACTTCAAGGTTACAGACTTGTAACGAGTCACTGGATTTTGTGACTCGAGTTAAGTCGAGTCATTTTAAGGAAGTGACTCGGGTCGAGTCATCAGGCCAATAAGGTCGAGTCGAGTCGAGTCGAGTCAAATTATGCTCGAGTTAATTGAAGTCACTGATATTTGAACAAAATCTAGTGATTTATAGAATGGAAGAAGGGGCACAAGGCACCAGTTTATTATGAAAATCCAGAGACTTACATTTTGCAGCATGGTACCCAATAGAGCGCTTCTGCTTGAAATGTATACCAAAGAGATATTAGTTGGCTGTTGAGAAACATACATTATTCATACACGATATTTTGCATATCCTGTCCCCCCCCCCCCCCACGAGCGCTTGATAGCGTGTGATGGCCTATTTGATTTAAGGTATCCGTTAAGTAAGACTAATGACTACATCTTTCCGAATTTGTTACAAACTTTGGTTTTTCTTTGGTTTGGCTTTTGGTCTGGAGTACTTTTGACGTCAATGTCAAAACTAAATTGCAACTTATAAAACTGTTTCTGATTAATTAGAAATATGTCTCATTGTTTTGTTTTAGCAGGACTTAGCAGGAGTTCCATCAAGGGCTTTAGAAATCGCCCAAAACCGATCATAAAACCCAGTGGGAAATGCGTTTAAAGTCTGGTGCCTGGATAGTAGTTTGAGCGGTACCTCAAAACACATGCGAGGTGCGAGTCCATGATATGGCGTACATTTTGATAAGCGGCCAAAATTGATTGAAGCAAAAATAACTGAATGCGAACGCGAAGTCTCGGCAAATGTAATTATGTTCGCACAGTCTTGGGACTCTCGAGTAGAGTCGAGTATTCTGACGAGGGATTCGAGTCGAGTCGAGTCGAGTCATTCGTTCCCAATTCATTGAGTCGAGTCGACTCAGTTACCAGTTGGGACTCGACTCGACTCTCGTCGCCTAAACGTTTAACTCAGGTCGGACTCGGGTCGAGTCATGGACTCCAGTCATTACAACTCTGTAAGGTTTATATGACACAAAATGCATTTTAACTAATTTCCGTTAAGGTAGTCATGTGACAAGCCCAAACAGCTTTCCACAATGAGATTTATTTGCTAATAATCGAATCTTCTTGGTTAAGGATTGGCAGGGATAGGCAAGGCCCAGTCGCCTCTGCCTCTGCAGCATGGAGTGACTTACTACAGCACACTACGAGCCATCACCAATGCAGACAAAGTCTTAGAATCCACATCCAATGGATTCACAGTGGACATCACTCCACCTGACATCATGATGACTGACCTGGGCCTGCATGACGCAATCGTGGACCTGGTGTGTAAATGTATTCGCCTTTTTTGTAGAGGTGTTTAATGTTCCCAACGTCATAAGGAGTACATATGCAGTATTAAGGCATTCTTATTCTTCCCTAAATATGCGACCCACACTTAGCAATTCAGTTTCATTTTAAAGTCATATGTACCTATTCACCCCTTACTACATAGGCCTTCTTCATTTTGAGGTTCCTTGAAAGTGGGAATGCCATCAGACAACCTTCGCACACCTTCAGCTATTGCATCGGTTTGGTTTTGCACCATGCAGGGATCATACACAGATCGAAGTGAAACAACAGCCTGCAGTAAAATAGTCAAAGAATAGCGACCGACCTTGATTCAATAATGCAAACAATCACAATGGAGAATATGTCTTGGAACGAGAAGGGAATTTGTACCTGCATTCAATGATTGCTGCCAGTGCCATTAAGTGCTCTATACATGTTGAAATTGCAAATGTTTCCGAAGTTTAAGTAATTCGGGCATTTTGCTTCCGTTTGTTTTATGCGCAGAGCTATGACGGTGGAGTGAACTTGTACCAATCTAACTCTGACTCCATTGATGCTATCTGGGATGTGACTGAAGAGGAGAGTGACATTATGGCTTCGTACTTTTACATGGGGCAGTACCCTGGAAGCGGCGATATCTTCCCCGTTACTTCGACAAAAAAATTCTACATTCCATCAGCCTTGATAAGTCCTGCCGAAATAGGTACGGTTCGACAGGTCACTTAAAATACCTGCTTCCTTACTTGTTTCCAAGCCGTAAACCAGGCTTCTTGGCTAGCATATTGAAGTCCCTATAGCTTTTAAAGTTAGGTACTTGCTAACTAAATTATCCTGCTTCCTGGCTGCTTCCAGCATTGATTCGCCTGGTAGTTAGCTTCCGTAATCTGACCTCCTTTCAATCAAGGCAGGTTGTGTGGTTAGCCTTTACTGTTCTTGTGTTGTCCTGCTTTGATTATTTACAAGTTGAGTTTCAGTCTGGTTTGGCTTCCATCGATTAATTTTAGTTGCTGTTTGACCGTTATTTGTTACGTGTTTTAACATTTTGCAAGCCCATTCCAAGCTAGTAATATTTAAGCGTACGGGCATTAATATGACTATTTTGTAATGGACATTCTTTTTTCCCCTTTCTAACGCTTCCACGATGAAAACCATCTTTGCTTGGCACAGGATCGCCCAACATTTTGAGTGTTGAAGCAGTCAACAGTGTCGGGCTAAGGAGGATTATTCATGCCACAAGCGTGACCGTAGATAACTCTCCACCTAGTGTTGGTCAGGTATGTATTTACTTCAAAAGTCGGAGACATTCTGATAGATAACAAGCCATCCGAAGCCAATAACAAGTCACTAACTCAAAAATTAGATGAATGAATTGTAACAAAGCCATTCCGAGGTGTTTTTTTTTTTTATTGTTCATCCCCTGATACCTATACAGGGTGGATACAAAAAAAAAACGAAACCGACATATTATTGCTAATTGGAACAGAAGTAGGGCACATGTGAATCAAAGGAAGTTATCCTCTGTTAGGGTTGAACCTCCTCTTTAAAATGACACCCTGATCATGTTCTTACATTCACGGTTGACTGAGCAGTGACCAATTTTATGAAAGGTTCTATTTAGAGAATTGCGCCACTGTTCATGGTGAAATCTCTTTTTCCCCCCACCTGCCTTGATTGGCAACCATAGCCTTCCACTCTGTGACAAATGACACCACAAAAACCAAGAGGCGCAAATTCTCCAAATAGGCCCTTTCATAAAATTGGTCACTGCTCAGTCAACCGTGAATGTAATGACATGATCAGGGTGTCATTTTAAAGAGGAGATTCAACCCTAATAGTGGATATCTCCTTTTGATTCACATGTGCCCTACTTTTGTTCCAATTAGCAATAATATCTCGGTTTCGGTTTTTGTATCCACCCAGTATAGTATAGATGGGTATAGATTGCTTTGTTATTCTGGTAATGCGACTCAAGTTGTACTTGAGTTTTAAATGCAACACTGTTATTTAGTCAATTGTCTCATTTTGCAGAATATAACATTTTTTTCATACGAAATCTCCAAAAAGGCGTTCACAAAATCAACCATTAATTTGTCACCTACGTAACTGTAATCACGTCTGGGTATGAAAATCCAGACCCAACTGACCAAACTAATTTATTCTCATGTGATTGGTTTGGATTTGTTAAAGCCAAAGTACGACAGTAGTACACGTTTTCCGGTTATTTAGAAAAAAAATTCGTTGTAATTCACCAATTCCTATATTTGAATTCGTCCAAGAATAATTTCAGATGCGCTTGGAAAAATCGACTTGGTCATTTATCATTCAGTTACAAAGTTTGGTCACCCTAATAAAGCACAACATCAAGGATATTCGTCAATACAGATTGAATTCAGTTGTTACCAAATTATAGCATTCAGAGATCGAATTCGTCTCATATCAATCACATTAATATAAGATTTGAGGCTTTGCATGGTGGGGTATCGGTATCTTTTCGGTTTGCGGTAACACCATGTGGTAATAACTACTGCTTAGAAGAAATTAGTTCTGAAAAGAACTTGTCCTGCTTATTATCAACTTTGCTAAGTAGTTTTTTGTTCTGATAAGAACAGTCCCGCTGTAAGTTCTAAACGAACTTGTCTTTGGTCTCAACGTTTCGACTAGCCTGCTTTAGTCATCGTCAGGAGACATCGTCACATTAATATTTCTTTTAAGTAAATTAGTCTGGTCTCTGCTACAGGATTTTCCCGTGTGTCCTTGAGCCTTTGAGCACAATTTGGCACATTCGTTCGCATAATGATGTCATACCAAGCTGGTGCACTAAACTCAGAGAATAGTTTCCAAGAGAAAAAAATTAAAGAATACCAAAAATGTAAGAAAACCCATAAATACCTTAACATTTACAAACGAATGAAAATAAGTCAGAAAATAAGAATAAATTTAAAAAAAAAACGACAAAATACAAAACATCTTAGTTTTTTACTTTTTTCTTTTTTCTAAATGTGCCCATGTGCCAAAATAAAACCTTTTTTTCGGAGGGTTGCAGACACCCCAACCACAGGCCCCACAAAAAAACGAGAGGTTTGTTTCGTTGGAATAAATATATTGAATTTGAATTTGTTGAGGAGCACGGGGACGCAATGTTGATAAAATTAAAATCAAAAGAAACAATCTATCTATCTCTTTGTTACAATGAAGTATGACAAAATTGAACAAAATTATGAACAAATTGTGTGACAAAAGACAAATGTGTTTTTCTGAATACCCCGGTTCGGCTTACGCGAGATAAAATTGAATAGCCATACCTCTTGACAAGAATGTATTCTCGTGGTTTGAATCCGCATAAAGTAGAATTGAAATTGTATGGCTCAAAGTGTCTCACTACACGGACAAAATGACTCAATTATTACGACATTGAGTCAAATTACTTACTTAGTGTTTTCTGTGTACCTGTTACCATTCAGGTCCAGTGCCCTGCATTCATTCATGCAAACAGCGCCCTCTTGTGTAGATGGAGCGATTTCCTCGATGCTGAGTCTGGAATTGATCACGTCGGGTTTCTCGTCGGGACAGCGAAGGGTCAAAGCGATGTGTTCCAGTCTGGTGATTTGCCCGGCTACTTCACTCACTACAGTGTCAGAGGTTTGTGAGCAGCATTTTTGATGAAACAACTATAAGTGTTGATCAGGCCTTAAATTTTATCGAGTTAGAGATTACCCCTGAAATACTATATGGTTTATATGACAATATTTGCCTAAGAATCTATAATTAACCAAAAAAGTCACTTTATTACAATTTTAAAAATTTTTGGTCCTTATAGATCCGTATGGTTATCTTTCCAATATGGTTATATATCTGTACTACCCCGTCTGCTGAATTCCTTTAATCGTTTTGAATATTTACCATCGTAAGTTGGATACTGCATTCGGGTTTTTAAATTTGCGCCTTAGAATTATTGCCTCAGATAATAAATAATTTACCCTTGCCCTCCAACATTCACCTTGAGCTTTTGGAGGATTTTGCAGGAATATTAAGGAGGCACATACCGCCTCACATCTATTTTAAACTTTAAAAATCACCTGTTAAAATTAAATCAAATATATAGTGCAGGACACTGTTGTTTGGCCTAATGTTATTCTCAAATGAATAATACGTACTCATTGGATAACTTTCCACCTTATAGATCTGAATCTAATTCACAACAAGGTCTACTATGCGACTGTGAAGGCCTTCAATGCTGTCAACCAAAGCACAATGGCATTCTCTGGTCCTATTGAGATCGACGATACACCTCCATCATATGGCCTTGTAGTGGAGCTGTCTGGTGTGTACAGCTACAATTTCAGTGATCCTATCGACCTACCAGAATGGGACTGTACAAACGATGAGGAATGCTTGAGCTTGGACGGAGAGTGTGTGGAATCGATTACCCAGCTGCAGATCCTGTGGCAACCGTTCAGCGATGAAGACACCCTGATTACCAAGTATGAGGTTGCCCTGGGCACCACACCAGGAGGATCTCAGATCAAACCTTTCTATGAGGTGTCCAAGGACCAGACTTCAGAGCTCATTACCAATATCGATCTCAGCAGTGTCCGTAGAGTCTACTCCACAGTTAGAGGCTACAACGAAGCCGGTTTGACCAGCACCGCCGTGTCCAATGGCATCTACGTCAGCCGGTTGAGTGCCGGACTTCCAGCCCTCAGACCATTCCAAGTCAAAGATGGTGTCATCGACAACCAATCTGCCGACAAGGACTTCCAGACGAGGATGCGAGAAATGAGTGCGTCGTGGGATTTCAGTGGCGATCCATGTCCAATAAAACATTATGAATGGGCCATTTACAGAATTGATGACAAGGAGATTCAGCCAATGACAAATGTGCACGGTAAAGAAAAAAAAGTTTTGCTAAACAACCAAATATGGTTAACGCGTTCTTGAGGCACATTTCAAGTCACTCGTCCTACGCATAACCTTTCTGGAATGTTTAACATTTGGTTTGTGTTCGTGAACATTTGGTGATAAAAGTACACTTAACTTTTGTCTAATAACAGTGCCTCACTAATCGCGTATTCAAACTGCCAAATAAGTTAAGTTAAGCATCACTCAGTCCCCGCTCATTTTCACAAAGTTTGTTGGACAGAGGTTTCACAGCAAATGTTATATGCTTAATACACATCTTGTAGCAAAAAAAGTATCATAAGACTAACAAAACTTGAAAGATTACAGTATAGACCATCCTCGTGATTTTTGTTGTTGACGACAACGTAAGGTAAAAGATGGTTTCACAATTCAATCTGTTATTGTTTATGAAAACAGAACGGACCTCAGACACCAACACAGATATCGAGATGACAGATGGTGAGACGTACTACACCCTGGTGCGAGCTACCAACGCTCTGGGCCTGGCTGTCACGGTCCGATCTGATGGAATCACAGTCAAGCTGGACCCCTTGATACCTGGCCAGGTCTATGATGGCCTCCTAGTGGGCTTTGATCTGACTTACCAGAAGGAGACTGATACTATTTCGGCAAGCTGGAAGGGTTTTGGAGGGGGGAGACAACACCTGCATGTTGAGCATACAGGTATGTGTTGACACAACCGGATAGCATTCTGGAGCAATACTTTTACTCACAGGTAAATATTCAAAAGAGCTCTACAGCATCGTTGTTAATACAAAAACTAATTCTGTTAACCCTAAAGGGGCCGGGGGCGGAATCCGCCCCCACCCCTCAACATTTTCCGTGATAGCTTCTAAAAAATTTTTTTCGCGACCCGAGCTGTTATGACTTTTTAGCCTTGAGCTTTGCGCATCTTTTGATACCAAAAACATAAAAATCGGACCACGGGTTGCCGCGTAGCGAAAAATTTTCCGGCGCTACGCGCCGTGAAAACTGAATTTTTGCATATACGTCGTGTACACAGAGCAGATTTGCCATTTGTACATATAAATAATTAATAAGCCATAATTCCAAAACCCTTTGACCTATAGTCATGAAATTTCTTGGGTATGTTTAGGAAGAGCTGCTCTATGCATGTGCCGAGTTTCAAATTTTTTCGTCAATCGATGGCCGAGATCTTAGGGGGGGGGGGCGGAATCCGCCCCCCCCCCCCGGCTGAGAGATGGTCAAAATAACCCGGCCCCTCTAGGGTTAATACTGAATATTAAGAGTAATTAGCTATAAGAATCCTGAAATTCTCAAGTACCCTTTACAAGTCAGACGTTGGATTGAAACGGGCTCAGTACGATGGACTGACATTCCATCCAAGAAGTAGTGACGTGGCTCAGGCCAATTAATGCTTGTTTTATGTAGTGAATATATGTATCCACCTTTAATCTCTGCGCTGAATTTTCATTTAGGAAATGCTGAAGTCATCAAAGACCAACTCACAGAACAGACTGTGGATTACTACGAGGCGGCGGTCGGAACTGACCGCCGTTACCCTAAGACCAGGGACAACGTAGTGCCCTTCACCTACGTCGGTCAGAACACCACCGTCACTTTCACTAACCTCAACCTTTTGGCATTGGACTCGATATATTATGTGACGGTAAGAGCACACAGTGCTAGCTTTTCCACAGCTGAGGTGACATCAACAGGGATCAATGTTGGTATGGACAGCACAGTACATGGTAGGTTTCTTCATTATTTCGTCGGCTATTATTTTTCTTTCCGATATCTTTCAAAGTGTGAGGCGAAGAGCCTTTTCAACAAATGTCAGCAAGTTACACGCATTATATCTTAAGTCAGTGTAATAGATACTTCAGTGCAGGTTCCATAAGCAATTATTTTCTTTCTCTTCGAAGAAAACACTCAGACTAAATGAAACAAAAATTCATCAGTACCTTGTTAAAGAAAGAGAACCCATAACAAGTTGATAAGTTGTTGCCATTCTTTTAAATATCGCAAATAAGTTCAATTTGTTTGTTTTTTTCTAAAAACGCAACCGAGGACTTTGTAAAATAAAAAAATGTGTAAAGGGCCATTGGTTTGAGAAATCTTCGTCGGATGATAATTGAACTTGTATTTTAAAACTTTGTTATAGTTGTCAATTGATATCATTTACATTAAGATTTTGTATTTTATTCTCATCGTAAATATGTTTTAAGATTCACCTCTGCAATTTCCAAAGTGAAAAAGTTGAATGGCACTCAACTAAATGGAGTGAACGTATGTGTTTGACTTTACTCTGTTCATGTTGAAATGAATGTAAATACTAATACATTTATTTGATATGTAATTCTTTATTGCACTGACAAGGATCCGAAGTAGGAGTGCCCAAGTTCTTGAACTCTGTGTCCGAGGTGCAACTCGTGTGGGATGAATTTCAATCCACTCTGCCCATCCTGCTGTATTACGTTGGTGTGGGTGAATCTTCACCTTCCTCCGTCCAACCCGAAGATATCGATTGCCGGGATATCTTGTTGGGGACGAGGCAGGCATTGGCGACATTCAGCGAAAGAGCAATGAGTTTTGTTGGCAAGGACACGTATGCGGACGTCAAGGGACTGAATCTCACGCATGAGGGATCCTACTTTGTGACTGTTGTCGGTGAGTGATATTTATTAATTGTGCGTAAAAATACAAGTTATGCCTTCAGTTCAGTAGATAGTGTTAACGTCTTTTTCCTGTGTGTCTTATAGGAATGAACGAAGGAGGACAGTGTAACTCCTCAACGAGTTACTTCTCTGTTGACATCACTCCACCCGTAAAGGGTAGGCTGCGTGTTGGACCTTTCTATGACATGGTAAATGTAGTTATTAGTAGTTTAGTGTAACTAATCTACCAGTAAAGTCGATGTTGACATCAGTGTATAATGTATGGTGCTTATTCACTAGTTACATTTTCTGATAATATCGCTCCACCCATTCAGACAAGGATGTGTATAGGCCCTGCCTATGACGCGGCAAGCTGTCAGAACAGTGAAACTTCTAAAACAACTTAATTCGTTGCCAAAAATTACACCTGTCACGGAGGTTTGGCTGTACACGTTATGTAATAATAACAGAACAGTGAAACTCCTCTGTCAGCTATTTTTCTCACTGCCGCTGATAACAGTATCTGACTGTGCTGCATCTTTTCTTTAATGGTTATCAGAGTCATTAAAGCAGTGCAAATCTACCAGTAAAGTCGATGTTGACATCAGTGTATAATGTATGGTGCTTATTCACTAGTTACATTTTCTGATAATATCGCTCCACCCATTCAGACAAGGATGTGTATAGGCCCTGCCTATGACGCGGCAAGCTGTCAGAACAGTGAAACTTCTAAAACAACTTAATTCGTTGCCAAAAACTACACCTGTCACGGAGGTTTGGCTGTACACGTTATGTAATAATAACAGAACAGTGAAACTCCTCTGTCAGCTATTTTTCTCACTGCCGCTGATAACAGTATCTGACTGTGCTGCATCTTTTCTTTAATGGTTATCAGAGTCATTAAAGCAGTGCAAATCATCATAACTTTGTAATCTGTATATTTTTAACTCATTTAATACACATCTAGCCTGTTGCATACACCGACAGTGCCGAGTCAGTCTCTGTGGTGTGGGAGGATTTCAGGGATGATGAGAGTGGGATCAAGTCGTTCAACTTACGCATCGTGCAAGCTGCATCGTGTCATGTACGAGATGACAACAATCTGAGAGTGGTACCAAACCAGGACTGGCTGGCACTCAGCCCTGATACGTGGGAATTCACATTCGTGGACTTAACCTTAGAGGTGTGTTATTAACACTCTTCATTTTAATGCTTGCAGTAACAATTAACATTTTGTTCATTTATGCTCTTACCAAAAGAGCTTTGGATGCATTTTTTAAACAAAATTAATTTGCTTATTGATCAGTTAATTTTGTCACGAGAGCTAGTTTGAATCGATCTTTGCAAGTCTAAACCTAACCACAAAGGGTGTGCTCCAAGAACTTATTTTCTAATGTTAAAATATTATCTTGTTTTCTCTCCTCAGAAAAACCATCCCTACTATGTCCAGCTTTTAGCGGTTAACCATGCAGGAGATAACCTCCAGGCCCTGGTGGGGCCCATCTTCGTCGATTCATCAGAGCCGACAGCAGGACTGGTGGTTGATGGCGTGGACTTCAAGATGGATGTTACAGACAGTGGAGACCGCAGCCAAGTACAAGGTAAATGAAGAATATTGCTCAGTTTGTGTACCGTTGTGGTAGCTAGATTCATAAGGAGGCAGTACCTACGTGTAATACCCACATCATCGAGGTTTTAGTACACAGCTTCATTTCATTTCTGCAGGCACAATCCTACACCTGCCTAACCCAGCGGGCCCACCTTGTCCAATGAGAGACATTCCCTTCACTGACCCAAAATGGTCAGCGATGGACTTCAAGGGACTCTGGAACATGAACAGGGAGCACTGGGACCTGGAGTACCAGTCACAGCAGGTAGGCTATCAAGCTTTGTGGTTTAGTGAAACGTTTTCGCCACACCAATCCTTAAATAATTTACATAGAAGAGTTTTTTTTTTTCAAAGTCATATTCTTATTTTCTTCTTTTGCTGTGAATCCCCAGGTGTTTGCATCCGATGAAAGTTTGACACTGAAGTTGGAGCGGGACACAAGGGGACCTCGTATGCTGTCTGGAGCCTGCGTCACCAATGCACAGATTGTCAGGGGCTCGGAATATGAGGTCAGTGTGGTGATCTGCTCGGAACTATTTTCTGTTGTGTCAATGGACAATGTTTTGTCTTATACATACATTAGAAAAGGCGTCCAGATTTGAGTATATTCAACTACAAATTGGTCACCACAAGTCATCCAAGTGCCTCCATTTAAATGCTCACTGATAAGTAAGCCGGGTTCCCGGCTATTTTAAAACGTTTACAATTCAAATTGACGAATGTTAGGGTTAAATTCGGTAAAGAAGAATTTCATGGGCATTTGGTAAAAACAGTTTGTCTTTAATCGTTCATTTTCAGGTTGTAATTGTTTAAGCACTTCAATTATTGCCAAGAAAGTTAGTTTAGTGAGAGGTTAAGCATTTTCCTTTGGCCGTCAAGCACGATTCGGTGTGTTTGTTCTGATGATATTGGACTAAGGTGTAGGCATATTGAAATCTGAGAAGGTAGGAGAGAAAAAGAAGAAACAATTCAAATTCATCCCTGTGAATCTTAAGAGGGCCATTGTAAGTAAGGATAAATGTTATTACTGGAGACATTAAAGAGACGGGTTTGTTTTCAATACAGAATTAATTTTGGCCACGCTTACTTGAATACTCCTTAACGAATTTGTGTGCTCATGGTTTTAATTTATCGAAATCAAATTGAACTTAGTCAATCAAGGGCGTAAGTAGATACTTATGTTTGTGTGTAGTAAATATATTAACCGGATGAATATCAACATAATTGAACCGTGAACGTTTTTGCATAGCAGAGATTACGTACAGTACCACGGGAATGTTCAGCGTCCTCAACAGTTCATGCTTTGATTCAATTAACTGGTTATACTATGTAATCATATATAAATTCTTCGACCTATAAATTATATACTATAATTATTACAGTTTTACATTTTGTGTTTTATATTACTTCAATACTTAATTAGAGTATGTCATGTGCACGATTTAGTCATATACACAACGGATATAGTGTAGCTGCCTAACACACCTTACTGTTTTTACCATTGTAGTTTGACTTGATAGCTGCACAATCTGACCTGCACAGCGTGACCAGCATCCTATTCTGGGATGGTCCAGATGGCACGATTGGGGAGTTCAACTTTGATGGACGGGAGAACTGGCAAGAAGGGATCTGTCAGTGCTGTTATCAACAACCCTTTAATCAAGTAAGTCAAGAAGCTGTGTATTCGATATCCTCCTTGTTTGTATTTAGTTATTTTATTTATTTTTTATTTTATTTCTTTCTGGTAACAAAACAAAGGATTCCTCAAAAGTGCCCTAGGCACTGTAGCTGGAAAGCCTGACGAAACCTATAGAGAGGAGACAATGAGAAGAAATTACAGTTTTAGAGATGGGAGGAAAAGCCCAGAATAATATTCTGGGGAAAACCCACGGAATCAGGTAGGGACTGAAAACCCAATCCACATATTGGCCCAGACGGGATTCGATCCCGGGTCACATGCGGTGGAAGGCGGGGAAAGTGCCGCTACGCCAACCTGAATGCTGGTGTGGTCCTGTGATGACAATTTTTTGCAAGATATTTTGTAACAAGCGATGAAAATTCAGTGGTTGATCTGACATGTCCAAACACATGTCCTTTGGAAATTAAAATCTTATTTATGTTAACCGGACAATTGTATAAATGTTTTATAAATCAGTTAAACGGAGCATACTTACTTTCTGTTCTATTTGTGTGTAAGGGTTTATGAGACATCGGGATTGCACCATTTCGGGCAAAACACTCAAACACGCTAGCAGTTTTATTTGCAAACAAGAATCATTGGATGCTTTATGTCAATCTCAGCTGATCAGTACGTTAGAACTATATATGTCTGCCAGGTGATACCCACTGCATGCTAATCTGTGCGTAGCCCCAGATGTAACCTTCTTTTACAAGGGAGGACTAGAACCATGCGATGCGCAATACGAATCAAAGATTCCTCCAAGCACTTTACAACAGTAAAATGAAAATCAGCTTAATGCGCTTAATCTCGTCTGTGTTGCCAGCTGTAGCTGTATATTTGTTCATAAATGCGTGGACAACATTACATTCACTGTGTGGACTTCCAAACAAAAGATGTCCACATAAACCAGTTTTCAGATACGTTGTGTAGCCTTGCCTACGCCCACCCTCGCATACTCATGTTTACGTTACATACCTAGTGTGGACATTCCTTTGTTTTCGTGTAGTAAAGAAAAACCTGTACAAAAAAAAATCATTTTTCTTAAACTCTGAAAACTCTTTCAACCCAATTTTTTTCTATGATTCCCTTTTTCTTCATTTTGCGATAAATAAACCTAACCCAAAATGCCGCTAAACCTGTTTTCCAGATAGGGGGAAACCTTGCGTGTGTATGTGTGTGTTTTACTTGTTTAATGCATTTTATGAAATCAATTGGAGAAACAAATCTCGAGTATTTTTTTTTTTATTTTGAATTTTCAATTTCATATCTGTTATAATTCTGGTGAGTATTCGTGTAAATATGCCAATGGAATTTCCTCTTTGCTGGGATAATATAGTGTTCGTTCTGTTGTATTGTATTTTAATGTATTGTAAGTGCACAGCAGCTTAGGACTTCAGGCATTTTTGTAATGCAGTGTGAGAAAAACTTTCAATGTCAGATTGCAACAGAGTATTTTAATTGTGGCTTGTTCGTGACCAGGACACTAATATTAATAAGTAAATATTACCGATATTTGCTGCTTTTTTACTGTAATAGAAACTGTCTACAAGAAACTCCTGCTGACACTTCAATTTTTATGACATTAAATCCAAAAACCTGATTTGTCTTACAGTCCATGTGCCCTCAGTGTGACTGTCTGAACTTCCTGGGGATATCTGATTCAGTTGACAACTCAACATCTGGGAACACAACCTCTATGCGACCTTTAACCACATCCGGTGAGTTCATCATGGCCACCGACAATATTAGAGAGGCTGAAGTATCCGACGAAAATGGCACTTCCGTGATGACTACGTCTTCCAGTCCTTGGACTATCAGGAAGGTTGATGAAAACGGGGACAGTGTTCCCGATGATGAGAGTGGGAGATGGACATCTCAAAGAGCTTGCGGCTTCCAACTCTATCCAAGTAAGACAGTCTTCTCAACAAGCATTTTAACAAGTATGCTTTACTGGTAGAGATGGTTTGATACAACTCTGTTTCTGTAACCACCAAACCATGTCACTTTATTGTCATTTAAAAATCCCCCCTTAATATAGGAGAGGATGAGAGTATTCAGGTTAATCATACTATGGAGTTCATCTTTGAGCATCGAATGACTGCATCACGACAGGGGTTATCATTTAATATCGGAGAAAGTTATTCTCCCAGCTACCTGGTCTCATTACCCTATACAATTTCTGATTATTTCAGAGTAGTTCTATTTTTCTGCTCTTTTTTCCCTTATTCCGAGCTTGTTGGTGCACGCTCTCTGTATCTCTGGGGGGACCACATTAGGTACTGCCTCACTTGGGAGAAGAAGTGTCTCCTTCGTGGACATGCTGAAACGGGACATACTGTTGGAGTGTCATGGCCGAGCGGTTAAGAACACCGGACTCAAGCTCTGCTGGTGTTTCTGATCAGCAGAGTGTGGGTTCGAGTACCGGTCTCGACGGCTAGGCCACCGCTGAGGACCTTCACTCATGCATGCTGGACTAGGTCATCTGGACCAACATCATTGGGCGGGCTCGAGCTGCCATATGTTCTCGACTTGATTGATTGACTGATTGATTGATTGATTATGTATCAGTTCTTTGGCCTTTTTAAAACCTTAAAAACATCTAGTGATTGGTATCTTTTTTGTTGGGCACAACTTTTATAATAGTGTATGATGTGTTCAGAACGCCAAGATGATTTGAACGTGTTGTCTTTTCTAGATGGCGGAGCGTCTCAAGCTGTTTTGTGGTGTCGCTACCTTGATGATGCTTGGCCTGTGACGTCACAACCTGTCGATCTAGATTTTGATCCATCAGTAGAGGAGCGACATTACTCCATCCACTTCAAAGTCATGCCATTTGATGCAGATGAGGTATACTTTTTATCGTTGTTGGTTGTATTCAGGAAAATTCTACGAGGGTTATCTTTTATTTATGTTGCTGATATTCATAATACTGCAGTTTCCATTGTTTACATCTGATTCCGCTGCTGATGTCACCACCGTTGTTGTCAATGCTTTTGGTTTTGTCTAAATCTGGTCAGTGACTAAATTCCATCGTAAGGTTTAGAATCAGAGAGATGTTAAAGTTCAAGTTTGCATCAAGTTTCTAAGGCCTCAGTTGCCCATTGGTTACAGGTTCCTATTTAATGTGGTCTATGCCTTGAAATTGTGTGAACAAAGTCGAGTTTTCCATCACACTCTTTGAAATTGTTGTGTTGTACTAGGATGAATGGTCCTTTGAAGTTTACGTTGACGGTAAGCTACTCTCCTCGCTTACTGGCATACCAGTCCTGTCCTCATCCACGAAGCTTATCCTCCACGTCTTTAATCGAGACAGCTATGTCGCCGAGCTACAAGACCCCTTCAATCCTCCGTCTGTCACCGCAACACTCACAAATTTGAGGTTCGTGAAACTAAACTCCTTGGTCTGAAATTGCTGTACTATAGCATGTTAAGTTTTGAACCGGTTGACCACATCTTGCGTCTTTTTGGTTTAATTCAATAGTTGTATTTTAGCATGCGTTACTGTATCATTCATTTGTAAGCCCTATCACTCTGTTCTGATATAGGATGCCACCTGATCAAGGTAATTTGTGTCGTTACGGGGCACCATTTAGAGCAGGAACCAGTCCTGTCTCGCGCTACTTTGCCGGAATTGGATCAGTAGCAGGAGCAACCGATGTTGTGGCATTCAAGGAGGTAAGCTGAATCTTATCATCAAATATAGATTCCGTGTTTCTGAAAACTTGTATACGCTGTATAGACTTGCTAATTGTCTTTTTCTTCCTTAAATCAGCTATGTTAAACACTTAGATTACAAATATTACATGACTAATATTATAAGCGAACCAGATTACGTTAAAACCTCGAGGTTGTCCTGTCATCGTAATGAGCATGCAGTATCTTAATGCTCAGTGTGCTTGTCCTTTCTGTCAGAAATTCGTTTTTGGAATCACAAATGGAAAAAAAAGGGAGATACTTTTTAGCAACATCAAACTGACACTCCAGCTACTTCCCCCATATGGTACATCGACGTCTCCAGTGACTATAAGTGGGTTATGCTAGGGCTATAGGATTGCACAAACATAAATATTTCATTTTCTTACCAACATGAAATTTTGAACAGGTAAGGGACCGTTCTCATGAGAAACCCATCGGTCTGTTTGGTCTTGGTGACATTTTTTTTCTCGATTTTAATACAAATTTTTTTCCAACAAAATTTGTATGATAAAGAGCGCCCCCTAACGTCCAAAAAGGTCCAGCCCAAGCTCCCCCCCCCCCCGTGATTAAGCAGCACCAGGCCGGCCATTGGGCGACCTAAAAATTTGCGGAGAACTATTTTTGTGTGGGTCCGCCCTTAGTGGAATTCTTTCATTGGAAATGTTTCAACAAAAGAAAACCAGAAAATATTTCAGGCCAAGCGTTATGAATCCTGCAATCTATAATCAATTCTTTGAGCATTGTACCCCTCCCCACCCTCTCTTTTCTTCCTCTGTCTCCCTCATCAACAGGTTGCCCGGCCTTGCGTCCCATGCATCAATCTCTGCGATCAGTACCAGTGCGATCCTTCGTGTACTCTTGACGCTGTTCCCATCACGTTCACAATCACCAACCTGACTCTGCAAAGACTCGAGCTCTTAAATGTAATGCTTGACAATGACACTAATGCAACAACACCATCCTCTCAAGAAGATAAGGGATCGCTTCCATTCTTCTTGACAGGTGAGATATTAGTTTGATTACAACACTGGATATCAACTTGGATTTAACTATGAAGAATTTCCCTTGCAACATTTGTTTTGGATTAAACCTACTAAACAAGCAGTGTCTAATCACATTGGCAAAGTTGCCATTTCAACGTTTGTGTAATATCTGGGATTCAGGCCTCGCATGCTATCACAAAATTGATACCTGAGCAATTGTAAATTGAGTTGGTATACACGCACGGATTCGAGGAGTAGTGTGAGCGGAATATAACGAAACCCAAGTTGATTTTCAAAGACCTGTTGTAGTTGACACGCTCCTATTTGAAATACCGCATTTTGTTTAGCAGCAGCACATTTTGTACAAACATTGTCAACGAATACCTTATTATGTGGAGATGGCCACAATGAAAGATTTTTGCCGGATATAGTTTCTAGTGAAAACAAAAAAAATACCTTTCAAGCCTTTTCCCGACTACATCTCCCATCTCCTATGATAACCTGTTTAGCTTCAGTCGCACAAGAACAACTATTGACTCAAAGCTTGACCATCTAATAGTAGAAATTTCCTAAAGGACCAATCAAAGGATATAAGGCTGTGTATAAATCTCCGAACACTAATGGAATAACAAAAAAACTCATAATTATAACCAGCCAGAAGTACCTTTTACAACCGGAAATTTACGACAATTTTGCATTATTTGTAAAAAAAAAAATGTTGCCACTTTCGTCATTAAAACAGCGCATTGTCGCTGATTTCTCCATTATTCCTTGAGCTAAAAGTTCGCATTACATTTAATTTGTGTTTGGTGCATTTGCGTCACAGTGAAATCTTTCTTAGGAAACGGGAAAACGGTAGTAGCATCCTCAAATGGGTTCTACGTTGACGACACTCCGGCGCAGCTAGATTTGTTCTTCCACGTAGACCTCAATGTTAACCAATACCAGCCGACATCATTTCAGTCATCAAACTCTACCATCAGTGTATTGTGGCGCTTCAGTGATATGGAAAGCTTGGTCAAGGTAGCAGCGTTATTAAAATTGTATTGATCCATACTTGGCGTTTGATTGAAAGTCCTACTAAAGGTTTATGTTTTTAGGATTTTCCTTTTTAATATATCAATTAAAATTGATTTATGCAAACCATATTCATACAGAGATCCTAGTCAAAGGTTTGACATATCGAGAAGTAATACTTTGAATATGTATCCATTCTAAATGTGTGATGCAACTAATTGTGTGAAAAGAACATAGCTGCTGGCCAGACTTATATATTTATAGCACACTCGGAAGGGTAGAGTGAGAGCACCTTGTTTTTGTATGCGCATCAGTTCAAAAAACTTCCATTGCTGTTTCTCACAGACTTGAGCATGTCCTTGCCAAAGTCAAACCTTTTGCATCGAGAACACAGCAACAATAATTATCTGAAATCTTACTCCCTAGGAGCATTACTGGGCAATAGGAACCTCTAAAGGGGCAACAGACCTGCAAGACTTTGTCAACGTTGGGTTGAATCAGACAGCCACCAACAGCGATCTGGTAGGATTACTCCACCACAACACTACATACTATGTGACTCTGAAAGCTATCAATGGAGCAGGCTTGGAAACCATGGTAGAATGTGATGGTAGGTAGAGAAAGACTGATATATAGACAGACAAACAGACAACCTGACAGTGATCTGACAGGATTACTGCATCACAACAATACATACTGTGTGACTCTGATTGCTATCAGTGGAGCAGGCTTGGAAGCCGTAGTAGAATGGGATGGTAGCTACAGATAGACTGACATACAGACAAACAGACAAGATATTCAGTGATCTGACAGGATTACTGCCTCACAACACTACCTACTATGTGACTCTGAAAGCTATTAATGGAGCAGGCTTGGAAACCATAGTACAATGTGATGTTAAGTAAAGCCAGATAGACATTCAGACAGGCAGCAACGTGTCACTGCACAACCCGTAGACATATAATGCTGTGTTGCCTCTGAACGCTATCAGTGAAGCGGGAAATTGTAGATGGGGGAGGCCTATGGAACCAACACTGACTTTCCAGAAGAACAGGCTTTATTTATGCAGATACCTTAGGACCAAACGGGTTTTTTTGAAGATGCCATCACAAAGCTACGATGTTAACTTTATAAAACGGAGTTCCCTTTTTACATTTTTTAGGTGTAACTGTGCTTCTTGAGGAGCCCGCGGCAGATGACGCCAACGCCACTTCCCTGTTTAGCAAGAAGTTTCAGGAGGAAGTTTACCCTCCTGGGGTGGAGAAAAGTGAAGACGCAACAAAGACTGGTACCTCCTGGTCAAAACCAAAGGATGAATCAATTGTCCGTTATGGTATGACAACTTGAAGTGCCTGTTCTGGTTCATTTTGCTGAGTCCCTGCATCAAGCTAATTATCCATTCGAATATACTTCTGAACAGTTTTTAACTGACAGCAAATGGTTTAATTTTTGCCAAAACTTTTTATTGTCAGCGTCTCACTGACTGACCACATGTGCTCAACACAGAACACCTTGCCTGCAGTTCTGACAGCTAAAATATTTCATTATCTGACCATTCACATGTAAACCTCCATCCTTTCACTTTGTGTCAGTGAGACGTCTCATTGTTGGGTATCTGATCTTGCCTAATTCAGACCACATTGTCCATTTATGCGAAGAGTTTCCTTGTTAAGTTTTGGTTAAACCATAAGTATCTAATACGATGTATCTCGCTTCTTCGTAGAGTATTGTGTGAGTAGCTCAGCCGAGCTCTCAGATGACATTGTTCCATGCATGGTGGTTGGAGGTAACTCCTCTGGCTCAGTGGCCATAGAGAATGGAATGATCAACGTCCGGGCCGGTGAACGGGAAGAAAGGTTCAATATCACGGACTTTCAAGCGCCAAATAACGCCAATCAAGTGGACGTGACTAAAAAGGCTGCCAAGTTCAATATGGAACCTGGAAAGTAAGTGTGTATATGTATTTACCCCAATCAGTATTACAGGCCGGGTTATATTGCATGCAAGGGAAGACTGCCATATGTATGCTATACTCTGGACCTTTACTGAGCGAAGCTGACAGTGTTACAGCCAACAGTGTTACAGTGTTACAGCCAACATCAACGGCCTGCATCAACGGCCTGCATAATATTACATCCCTGAGATTATGCAGTATTCCACCAGAACCAGAACCTAACATCACGCCAACTGTTAATCTTGACATTCTAAGTATTAATTGGTTTATAAGTTACTTATATCCAACTGAGCAACTTAAGACATTGAATCAGATTGAAACATTTTGACTTAAGACTGATTAACTGTAAAATTTGACGACATTTTTATTACCACTTAGGCTTCTTCATACCCGGATGAAGATGTGTAACGCAGCTACGCTGTGTGTGACAGTATCAGCAGGAACCTCAACCGTGCTAGGTCAGTATTAAAAACCACAAAACATGAACAAATCGCGTGCATTTTGAAGACAGACATTAACTAGGGCTCTTTGTTTTGCGGTTTCTAAATCTTGTTACCACCATGTTTTGTATAAGGGCCAAGTCATACTAAAATGTGGACGGCAATAGGGAAGAAAAAACAACATATTAGTATCGTGCCATTCTTTTTAAGGGTTAGCATTGATGCTTAAACTGTTTTCATCTCAAACAATAAAATTCTCGCTTGTCAACTAATAACTACCTAGTTTCACTAAATTTTCAACAGGAGACAGTGATATGGTGACGACATCAACCAATGGTACAGACCTTGTTCTGACATCACCGACAAGAAAGAGGAGGAGAAAGAGATCGATAGATAACCACTTTGATTTCACTGTGGCTACAAAGGGAGGTGGGTGATACTAATCATAATAATCTTATATAGAGTCTTATATAGTGCACGTATCTACCAACAATTAGGTACTCAAGGCGCTGGTACTCTCTAAATTTTAAAGAGTGAAAAATCTCTCCATTCGAGTGAAGACTCAATCCCGCAGTCGGAGACTAGGGTCTAGACGTTTTAGAGTAGAATTTCCTTAATCGTTAAGATCGAAATTTCACTCGAGCTTTGACTGAAGTGATTCATTTTTCATTTTTTGTCAATCGAAAATGAAAGTGATTTTCACTCTAAAACAAGTAAACTCTAATTTCACTCTTTGGAATTTAGAGAGTAATTATGTCTATTTTTAAAGACAGGCAAATAAAGTTTATGAGAAATATGAGACCCATTATGTAGCACCTTCTTAAATGGTATACAAGGTGCAGCCACTGCTTCAAAATCATGTTGTACCCATCAGAACAGGTAAATCGAAATCATGTTATACCCATCAGAAGATAAATGCCGTGAATGATTATGTTCTCATTAAAATTCGTACAATTCAAACCTTATCCCAGTTTCAGCAGAGAAGCCAAAAGAGATGCTTCTTGTAGTAATATGTTGATTTCTTTTTTTTCTTAAATGTCTTTATTTACCCGGATAAGCGTTTCGTGTCCATTTACCTGTAAATCTTACGTGTTTAATGCTTTAATTCGATTCAATTTGATCTGGTTTTCTTAGTGAGTGCAGTATTTTTACTCAAGAGTTTACACATTATTGACCGAATGAACTCTGAGTGAATTTCTGACTTGTGTATTGCAGGTTTACACCAGGGCGGTTCACTCATCCTAGGCCTGCTGGATGTCAACAGAACCAACCAGGAATTCACATCGGCTGCTGCCCTGGATTATAAACCCTACATCACCAATCCCCTGTACACCATCCAGTACACATCAAGAGTTCTCAGAAATAGGTTGGTGTGGCTATTCAATGCATATTTCAAGAAAAACGCTGTATGGATTGACGAAAGTGAGACATTCCCAAGACGTGGTGTTGAAAAGGCTATTATCCCTAATAATTTGCGAAGAAGCATATTTTGGATAAAAGGAGTACAGCGGTTGGCTGTATAGAGTGGTCCTTCGTGGCTGTGGTTGAACAGTTCATTTAAGTCTGTACAGAAAAATGGAAATGAATAATGAACTGGAAAAAAACATATGCATATGGTCGTTGCAAGTGTGGTCCATTCAGCATCAGGACCCTTGAAGCACGCTGGCGACTCTTCGCCCATGTCCTGCGGCTAAAGAGAGATGTACCTGCTTAGAAATTCATTGACGAGTACTTCGGCACAGAAGCAGGCAGAAATCAGACCGATTTCAAAATCAGACCTATTTCAAAACAGTCGATATTTAGTTGGGTGCAATCGTCACATTCTTTTAGAAGTTTTCTGATGTAGAATTAAAAGTGTTCAAGCAGGGCTCTGCGTTTATAATGACAAAGGCAGGGAAGGAAACACAAAATACTTCGTTTCAAATACAAGTTCTTGTTTATTCCCCATAGAATTCGTTTTGTGTATGAGCCAACATTCTATATCACGAGTCTTGGGCAGACTGAGCTCCGTGGACCACTAATGATCAACGTAACACTCAGTACACCTCGGAACTGGACAGAGGCAAAACCTAGACTCATTTACTGGGACAGAGGTGAATAGATACACTGAAATTACCATTATTTTCTTTGCTCTGAATAAATTATGAATGTGTTAAGTTTCATTTTGTAATAGTTTACTCAGGCACTTGTGCAGTGTATGTTTTTGTGAATTTAATCCAAATTATAACTGTGAATTGATTAGGCCAGAGTCCTTAGCTGACAACATTTTAAAGGGGAGCGGATGTTTATGATGTTATGTACCAACCAACCCTTAGTGAAGCTGCAACAAAAAATCATTATGTGTGGTTATCCGCATGATAACCACACTTTTACCGTCGTAAATCGTACCTTTGTGTAGATAACTCTGAATGGCGAGATGCAGCCAAGACGTGCAGTGATGTAGATCGGATAACTTACCTGGACGATGGGAACAAGGTCAATGTGGAGGTTGGTTATTCTCCTGACAGGCCTACTTTATAGGCCAACATTTAAGAAGACACAGTGAAAACACAGTTATATTCCACAATTTAAAACAATAGCAAAATCGTTTCAATCTGAACAATCTAAACTAAAGCAGGGTTTGAAGTTGGAATGACTTGCAGTTTACTATGTGCCTCTGTACAATTGGCACGTTAATTCTTCAAATAATCCGAGCACACTGATTTAAATGTTGAGTGTTTACCCATGCATCAGTTCCTCTAAGAACACCTTTTCACTGTCTTCACGGCGCTGCTATGAACCTCCAATTTTCCATCTCAACAAAGTAAGACTCTTAACTCTTAATTATTTCAGCCAAAGTAGATTTTGTTTCATTACTTATCGTCCGGCTAAAATAGGAATACGTGCTTCTTTTACTTTCGCGTGGTAGGTTTGTTCTACATGGGCTCCTGCCTCGTCATCCTCAGAGCCAGGTCGCAAGCGACGTTCTGTGCGAGAGGAGTCTTTCCCATCTGACACGGCTTACTTCAGCCATGAGACTCAGTTTGCATTGGCTGAGGTTCTTGATGCCATCCCGAATACCCCGCCTGCAATCATAAACCTGGTAGAGACTATGTTCATGAATGAAGATGCAGGTACGTATATCCGTGGCGGAAGAATGCATCTGGAAAAATAGCCCGTATGCTAAAATTCGAATATGAAAGAAAATATGAAAGTTGTGGGGCATTGTTTGATTTTTTAAGAAGTTTAGTTAACGATTCAAACACATTTCTTAGAAATCCAAATGTTAACACTAGAATTTTTCTACTTTGTTTGACCACGGATTCTACACACAAGGATAAACGACTGTTCTGAGCGTTAGTACATAATGCACCGAGCGGACTTGTCTTAATTGGTTGGACGCGTGACAACGGATACCAGTTGGTTTGTAATCGCGTATTTTCCAGGTGTACCACTGTGTCGTGGTTTTTTTTTTGGCATGACATCTAAAACGGAAATATGCATGAAACTGTTAGCAAAACTACTCCTTATATAAGATATAATTGTTCCATAATTGCTTTAAAAAATAAATACTTCAGGATATTACAGACAGTATTGTGCAGTTTTTGTCGTCATAGATGAAGTATTTACCCGGGAAATAAACCAATTTCGAGGAAAACACCTTTTACCCCAATGTTGTGTTTAATTAGGCTTTCATTAAGAAGTTTTGGAGAGATTTGGTCCCGAACCGTTGAAACAAAAGTATCATTACATAGCTCATTTAAAGCCAAAGATACTGTGGTCGGCGTTATCATGGCTGTGTAGTTATCACTTATCAGATTCTTATCACTTATCAGAATAATAAAGACAAACATAGACTCATTAATATTCACAAATATAACTAGGTGGCTTGATTGGTTTCGACACCAGATCGGGCGCAGTGCCCTGCAAGTCTGAAAGCCGCCGCGCGCAGGGGTCTTTGTTCGCAAGTATTCGTGGTATTTGCCACCTGTGCGGTCTGTTATCACTCATCTAACCAGGAGTTTGGCCGAGTCGTTAATCCTTGTGTGTAGAATCCTTGGTTTGCCAAGTATCCATCAATATTAGCTACTTGTTCCCAAAATGTAACAGTATATATATATTGTTACATTTTGGGAACAAGTAGCTAATATGTTAAATTGGTTGCTGAAGTTTGCTTTTATTTTTCTTTTATTATTTTCTGCACACTTGCCTTATTATTGCAGGAACTTTGGTGTACACATTCCAAGCTAGCGATGCTGAAGATGACATCTTAGTCTTTGAGCTTGGTAGTAACAAGGACGTTCAAGGGACAACAACGATCACGGAAAGTGGTGAATTCAGCTATACACCTTGTGCTGATTGCCATGGTACTGTCACTCTGCAAATCACAGGTAATATTTTGGTTTTTTTTTTTAAATCACAGGTTATATTTTGGAGACTTTTTGCCAGGCACGTTTGACATCATGTGCTTCTCAGTATAGCATTTTCTTATTATTAAGCACTTCAAAGTAGCCCTACTATGTAGTTGTTTGTTACAAGTCCAATTGTTATGTCTGTAATCTGAACGGTTCGGTTCGGTTCGGTTCGGTTTGGAGTTCTGTGGTACAATTACAAATCGGTTAGATTTTGGAAGTGCTCAGGATCTGGGTTACCGGTTAAATTAATCCTAGTTGCGACTCTGCAAAGCGAGTGCCAATTAACAAGCGTCTAGCAGCCAGTCCAGATGATGGTATTCAGGCCAGGCCGTGACACTTGGCCATACGGCTGGCAATAATTAACGCACAAGTCTATTATGGGAAGTGGCTGAGCAGTGGCTTCCAAAGGTGCGCGTGTTGTGTACATGTACATAACCGTAGCCAAGTGATAGAGACGCAGCCTGAACAGAATAAAACAACGAGTTAACAGTTTTCTTGTCACAAGAGGGCCACTTATGCATGGCTCGTTGTGTGTTTCATTTTTTTTCTGGGTACACGTCAACACCGTGACACGGATACTATCATGATTGCTTGCGCAGCTGGCACAGGACTTGTGCCAGTGTTAAGTCTCGATTTGCCTCGTGCCATTAACAATGATTAACTCGTTATTCTGGACATTCTTCTGTAACTGGAAATTCTTCTGTAACTGGATTTTCGTCACATGGAAAGCACGTACTGCACACACCCACTGTGCAAACGATATACGTGAAGAGTTTTAAAAGGTGTCGACCGGGGTAAAGTTTTGCGTATTAAAATTAGGCATACATATCTTTTTTTGATGCAAGTTAAGAAACATGGAGCTACACAGAGACGTGGGTTGACTAGCAACAGCTCTCAAAGTTTGGTCTCCCAAAAAGTGGTTCCAAAAAATTACGGCGTGGGGTTCGGGGCCCGCTTAAGGACCCGGAGGTGGTTTTTTTTTATTATTATTATTATTATTATTTTGATTCTAGATGCTCTGTGGTGCGATCTGAGGCATTTTCTGACCACTTTAACCAATTTGAACGCCCTTTTCGTAACCCTTTTGTCCTAGGTCCACGATTGCCGGTGTGGAAGGTAATTCTGTCCCCCGGTAAAACTGTCCGGGGGGACAGAATTACCTAGGTAAAAGTGCCCTCCCCGGCCCGTTAATTCTGCCCCCCCCCCAGGTAATTTTGTCGCCCAGGTTTTTTGTCCCCCTCTTTTGAAATCCGGAAGGCCAGTTCTCTTTATTGTTTTTATGAATTCACTCTACAAGGTATACATTTTGGACGTTTATTCTGCCCTTCATGAATATACAAATTTAATTCTGTCTATTAGATGATAATGTGAACACAATGTTTCTGTTTGGAGTACGGTGAAATCGCGATTCTACCGCGATTGGTCAATACGGCGGCGATGCCTGGCGATGGCCCTCGCCTCATTGATACAACGCTTATGCTTGGATTGGTCTTTGTTCCCATCATAGCGCGTAACGAAATTTCCAATTGGATGAATTTCCATTGTAGAGGGAGACGCATGTACACATGTGATAATCACTGCCACATATCTTGCAGCATGTACTGGCGCTCGCGACACGCTGCTGCTCTCAGTATATACTGCATGGGGACACATTTACCGGGGGACACTTTCACCGTTGGGCAGGGGGACATTTTTACCTGGAGGGGGACAAATCTACCTAGGTAAAAGCAAACATTTTTGTTTTGTTTTTATGTGACATCGCAATAAAGGCATGCAATGAGTACACCACCATCTTTTCCTCAAAAAAACATTAGTTAAAGTGGTCAGAAATTGCCTCAGATCGCACCACAGAGCATCTAGAATCCAAAACATTTTCGGGGCCCTTAAGCGGGCCCTGAACTCCACGCCGTAATTTTTTTGACCCACTTTTTGTGTTTTTTTCATGAATTGGTTGACTGAATGGTATTGGGGGAACAATTCTTCAATGCAAATTAATATTCATGAGCTTAAAGCAGGAAGAACAATTCGTTGAAAGTATTTTCAGCAAGGAGCTCTCATAATTCACCCTTGCACTAGAAATAGGCCTCCTGCCTCCGTGTTGTTGATGAATTGCTCTAGAAAACTAGTTGAGTATCACCCGTCTTCCACGGAGCCAAGTCTCCTGTCTAACGCCTGATATGCCTAGACATGCAGATATATGCAAGCCGTGCACCAGCCAATCGGAGTCGACTTTACTAAAATCGTGACTTCATTTCATTCCCAAATCAGGACTAAAACTGTGATTGGTCAATTCGAATGCAGTGTTTTTTAATACAACAGCCGCCGCGCGCGTGTTGCGTAACATAATACAGAGCGCGTGACTACGGCCTTTGTTGCTGTGTCTAGCGTTTTTTTCTATCCATGTCTTGACGCAACAATGGGCAAATGACCCATGACCCAACATAGAAAGCGCCCGCTGATTGGTCAAAATCTAGAGGTCGAGATGCGGCTGTCCAAGTTGCATAATTACTCAGCGAATCTGTTCAAAAATTATAGACCATGGCTTTCGCCACGGTATATTACATAGACTACTAGAAAACAAACCAGTCAACCAAATTAAAAGAAGAAGAGAAAAAGTGTGTAGTCGCCATTTACTCTATTTAACTTTGCTTCTGCCCTGGAAAAGGTAGCCCTGTAAACTGCACATAATGTCTAGACTCAACAATAGAATCAATATCGGTAGACGTCAATATGGAGTTTGACGGAGCCTCTAACGTCCTTGGAGTTTATGCGATATAATTTTTCTCATCTAAAAATAAATGTTTTATGGCTTTTTTGTCTCTCCATAGACACAATAAAATTCTGCTCTTAGCTAACGAAAGAATGGTTTGTGACTATTGTACACTGTATGAATAATATTTTCTGCATTAAGATAGAGGAAAATTGGAAAGGTACGATTGTAATTTAGAAAATGGACTTAAATATTATGATACTGAATGCTTCGAGTTCGATTGAGAAAATAAAATCGAACACATAACTTCATGGATCACAGTTTTACTGTTCTGGTCCCGTGTAAAAGCAGTCTATGTTGATAACGCCTCACCAACATTTTTGTTAGCTTATTTTCTAGAGATATGTCTGCTTAATTTAACAAAATCCAATTCAAGTATTATATTATTGGACCAAAGGCAATAAAAGGAAAATGTCTTCTTTGAAAATAAGAATTGCATGCATCAACGTTCATAAATTTCATTTATATTCCACGCATTTTCACCCTTCCCTCTCACATCATAAACTGAACTTCCGTTCAGTATTTTGTACACTTTAATTAATACAAACCACGCTAAAGTAGGCAGTTTTTATTTTGACACCTTTCCGAATACGTTGGGGCATGGTCGGGGATTGTCACTTAAATTTTGCCCGAGGGGTGGGGATTTTGTAACTTCAAAAGTGACAATCCCGACGTCTTGAGTGGGGCAGCCAAGGGGGCGGAGGGGTGGGGGAAACAATTGATAGGCGCATAAGTTTCATGAAATTACAATTGAATGCAGGCGAAGTTTGCACTATCAAGTTAAGCCAATACAGGTTTCCACGACGGTGGGCATCGGGGAGATGATAACCGGTACAGTTCAAATGATCTCGCGCATTCTCGCTCGTGCGTCATCACGCGATTTGTCAACGGTCGGATGCCGTTATGGCGGCAAGTTTATTTTCACAGCCTTGTATTACGCGTGCAAGACGTAAACACAGACAGCCCGGTATGTCAAGAACTTGGTCGGGAATGTTTGGCCCGTGGTCGAGGGACGGTGACTCCATCAGTAAAGTGTGATGTGATGACTTGACGTCGAGTATTACCTCCGCCAAGCTTCATCGGTTTTATTTGTTTGTTTGTTTGTTTGTTTGCTAGTTGCAGTATATTTTTGATAAATGCAAATTCATGTCGAAAATATCTTTGACGCTGTTTCCTTCTTCCTCTTCAGTGAAAGAGATAAAGACTTTAACTGAGCGAGAACCTCTGTCTACTAACGCCAGTTTTACAATTGAAGTGAGACCGATCAACGATATCCCTGTATTGTACAGTGCTCTGAATGGCCAGGTTGTCGGCAACGGCCGCATCGATTTGGTAAATTATGTTTTATTCTCTCGCACGAAATATCGATACCTTATATTTAGAAAAATTGTTTGATTCCTAGTGTTTTCCTTCTCCAAAATTGAAGGTATTTTCATTCCTGAAAGAAAGCCTCACTTGAAATCAATTTATGCAAACAATTCACAATCTTGTCCTCTTACGTCTTTTTCAATATGCATTTAAAAAAAAAGAGCAATTCACCAACAATAATTAGCTTTTATGTTGTTACCTTGTCAACCACAAATATAGGCCCTGGTGATTTTTGCAAGTGTCATAAGCCTTCACTGCGCCAAACCCTACTTTGCTGTAGCAGTTTGTGACAGTTGAATTTACTTTTTAAAAATTCTCCATATGTTTTCATGAAAAGTTAACAGTTGAGCAGAACACACTATCCAATGTGGCCTACAAGGACCTGAGGGCTGAGCTTGGAGCGTATGACGTTGACAGCGATGATAACCTGACCATTATAATCCAGCCCCCGACCTATGGCACTCTGACGCTGACAGAGGAAGTAAAGACTGTGCCGTCTACGCAGAAGTGCAGTGAGCCCTCTGGAGACAGGGAGGGGCCAGTCATCCCATGTGGGCTAAAGTTGCCTCATGAAAAGGTAACCTGCAGTGGTCATTTGTTAATAGTGTCTTGCTTACTAAGTGTTCTGTCATGCTGATTGAAGCTCGATTATTAAGTGTTCCTCTGCTTTAAAATGTAAGCGTGTGATTAATCACGCTTAATTCATAGAAATATTTATTTTCTGGTGCAGTTGAATCAACTTTGGTTTGATCCCAATCCTGGCACTCTGTTCCAGCACCTTAAAATGTTTGGATCAATTTTTAGAATCATAATTAAGTGTAAACTTTCTAATAATGGTACACCACCGATGTGAAATTACAGCCATTCCTGCACCATGGTGCTGTTTGCTTTCAGCAACCGGTGAAATTGTCCATACAACTTTACTATGTCACGTCTGTTCTCAGCATTTGTATGATGTCTATTTACATTTTAGCGGTCCATATTTTCTCATTTGCCCCATCAATGTCGGGTTATACACCCGTTTCATGCTGGCATTCTAAGAGTTGCGCCAACCCAACCTATTTCTTACATCTTAGCTGGAGGGATGTTCATGCCGAAAGCTCTTTTAATACGGAACGATTATTTCAGACGGCACTCTAGTCAATATTAAATAAATCCTAAACTGTCTGAAATTATAATATATTTTGGGGGATTTTCGTAGCTCAAAATCTCTTCGGTTCGGCGCGACTCTGAAACACTGAACAAACATTTTCTCCTACAGTGCACGATGAGCTCTTTTAAACTGCCTGAGGTTAATTGATATCACTTTAAGTTTACTTACATTTGAGTGTAAACTGTTGCTTTTAGGAGGACATGAGCTGGACAACATTAACATTCACCTACACTCCGAACCCCAACTATCACGGCAAGGATAGTTTCCTTGTGTTAGCCGACGACCGGTCAGGAGCCAAGTCTCAGCTACTCGAAGTACAGATTGCTGTGCTGGTCAACCCTTGCATCAATGATGGCGTCTGCAGAGGTGGGTTACTCTCTTGCAATTTCGCAATTTCATCAATTGATTCATGTGCTCGACTTATTGCACCATCCTCTGAACGTGTGTGGAATCCGTCAGTATGGTGGAAAAAGGAAAGAGGATAAATTTTCCCATGTCTCTGACAAAAAAAACGAGTCATCGATGTTACGCGAGGAGATGAGAATGGGTTTTGTAAAACTGTGTATGACATCCCGCCCGACTAATATAAAGGCCAGCAAGTCGGACTAATATCAAATGTAGGCGGTTTCAGACGGACAGACAGAGACAGACAGACATTTTACTTCAATTAATCGCGGCCCATTTGATTTTGTTCTATTTTTACTTTCACGTCAGTGGTTACAGATATGTCCATATCAGTATTGTACTCGATTCTGGTTCCGAGTTCCTGGCAGTTTCATCGGATTCAAGTCCCGGTTGTACATAATTAAGTGAAGATGTCGACACGGATCCCAAGTTGACAAAAAAACTTTCCTAGCCTTTAATGCAAATTTCAAGCCTATTAACAGCACATATCAACCTTTGTTTCGTTCTTCTTTTAAACAAAGGACCTGTGGAAGATCCTGATTGTTCCTCCCCTGCACGAAGCAGTGGGTTCGAATCCTACTCCTGCCACTGTGAGCCCGGCTGGGTTGGCGACGTCTGTGAGATTGATTATGATGAGTGCCAATCCACACCGTGTGAATATCCATACATCTGCTACGATCATCTGAATGGATTCGAATGTGCCTGTCCACTTTCGGATCCACTGTGTGATGGATTGAACTGGAGGTCAGTTCTATTTGCGTTAAGCAATTTTTTTTCTTCCTGCCTATTGTATGGTGATGGTATTGGTCCAATAACAAATTTGTATTGACATCGACTAGTGTCCAAAACTTGGCGAACACTCATTCCTTTATGTCAAAAAAAGTCAAATTTTGCGCGTTTTTAAACAACCTCAAATGACTTAGATGACCCTTGACCTCCGTTTTCACCCCTCCATCCAAGACAAATCAAAATCCATCAAATTTTGTAGACAAAAAAGTTTGAAGCATGAAGGAAGGCCTCTAATAAGCCTTACATGAAATTTGACCTTAACAGTCCGAGGAAAAGTTTCATCAGATTCCACCATGTATGTACAATGATATAATTCCCCCCCCCCCAAAAAAAATGACCTGACTTCTGTGAACTACATCATTATTAACCTCAGTTGACATTTGACCTAAGGGCTTTGCTTTTCGTAGTCTATGACTCTTGTGTCCAAGTGTTATGGAATTCATGTGAATATTTCTGAAATGAGAGTAATATTTAAAACACAGTTTAACTTACTTATGGGAATACGGTACACAGAATTTAGGACCGGTGTCACCCAGAATCCGTTGAGGCGACAAATCAACCAATTTAGTGTGGGTCACTTTAAGGAATGTACGAAAGCCCTGTAGTGCCATCAAGTATATATTTCGCCAAGTTCGTTTTTATGAGTTATATATTTCGCCAAGTTCGTTTTTATGAGTTATATATTTCGCCAAGTTCGTTTTTATGAGATACATTTTGTCGAAGTTCGTTTTTATGAGATACATTTTCTCGAAGTTCGTTTTTATGAGTTACATTTTCTCGAAGTTCGTTTTTATGAGTTACATTTTCTCGAAGTTCGTTTTTATGAGATACATTTTGTCGAAGTTCGTTTTTATGAGATATATTTTACGGAGTTATGGAGTTTTATGAAGTTACGGAGCCCCAGGCTAAAGGGACATCCAAAATTATTTTCTTATCTCGTGCGCACAACATACTATCTCGTGCGCACGACATATATCTCGTGCGCACGACATGCGCAAGCTCCGTTAATGCTTATAATTATCTCGTGCGCGTGGGGTGTAGGGGGCTCTGGATAGAGATAGTACCTTTGCTGTCTGTCAGCTGCACTCTCTTGGTAGAGTGGACAGGCATCACTGGTTCTCATCCATCTCCTAAATCTCTCACGTGCTGGCTCCAAGTGCCACACCCCGGTATACCGCTTCAGCTGGCGGGCGAAACCACGTGAGAGGGTGGTGTCTACACTGCACCACTGGGCGGATGAGCTACATCAGACAGCCAACGACCAGGGCGGAGGAGGTCAACGTCTGACCCAACGGCCACGTGTAAAGGAGTAAACCTTCCAAATCAGGAGAGGAGCCCCGAAGGCGGAATGGTGCCTTGCAAACACCGTTTCGGCAGCTCCTGCAGCCAAGCTGGTGCCAAACGTCATGCTCGCATTCCTTTGGAACACATCAGCAAGGCCGAGAGGGGGATTCTGACGCATGGGCAACCCAGGATCTCCGTACTTCATGCCCAGGCTTGCGCCCTGGAGAGGCCACTCCAGCCTCACCCTACAGTGAGGAAACAACACGGCAGCTGGCAGTTACGGGTTATAAGTCCCATCCAATTGGCGTAGGAAACGGGGTGCCACGGGTCAGCTGCGACGGTGGGAGGAACCATTGCGTTCCATTGGTCGGCTACCGCCCGCCTCAAGCCGGGCAGCCCCCGGCCAGTAAGGTGTCGACCCGCCAACGTCCGTCTGCCTCATTGGGTGCTTGGGGCTTAGTGTAAAGCACGACAAGCGGACGTTAACACCGCACCAGACAAAAAAGGAAAGAATAAAACGAAGATGCCAGCTCTTCGCATATCAAGCTGGAATGTTAGAACCATGCGCACAGGGCTCTCAGACAGCCTTGACCACATTGACGATTCTCGCAAGACCGCCATCATCGACCATGAGCTCGACCGACTCAATGTCGACATTGCTGCTCTCCAAGAGACACGGCTTGCTGACTGTGGTTCCCTTAAGGAGAAAAATTACACTTTCTTCTGGCATGGCAAGAGCGCAGAAGAGACCCGAGAACATGGCGTTGGCTTTGCAGTGAAAAACACCCTGATTGCCACAACTGTACCACCAACAGGAGGCTCCGAACGCATCCTTGCCATCCGTATATCCACCAGCAGTGGACCAGCCAATCTGTTGAGCGTTTACGCCCCAACCCTCTGCTCTCCCCCTGAGTCAAAAGACAAGTTCTACGAGGAGCTTGACACTGCCATCAGCACCATCCCAAAGAACGAGCACCTGTTCCTCCTGGGGGACTTCAATGCTAGGGTTGGCGCCGACCACGAATCCTGGCCAGACTGCCTTGGACACTTTGGAGTGGGGAGTATGAACGAGAATGGGCAGAGACTGCTAGAGTTGTGCTGCTATCATCAGCTCTGCATCACCAACACCTTTTTCCAGACTAAGCCATTGCACAGGGTCTCCTGGAGACACCCAAGATCCAAACGCTGGCACCAGCTCGACCTCATCATCACGAGACGAGAGACACTCAACTTTGTCCACTTCACCCGCACTTTTCATAGCGCGGACTGTGACACGGACCACTCCCTCGTCCTCAGTAAGGTCAAGCTACAGCGCAGGCAGGTCCACCATGCCAAGCAGAAGGCACGTCCCCGCATCAACGCCAGCCGCTCCATAAATCCAACTGTCACCCAGCTCTTCCTCACCTCACTTGATCAAGCACTCTCCTCCTCCAATCAGCAAAGTGCTGTGGACAAGTGGAACTGCCTGCGTGACACCATTTATGACCAAGCCCTCGCAGCATATGGCAAGAAAGTGAGGAAAAATGCAGACTGGTTTGAGGCCAGTGGAGCGGAGATGGAGCCAGTTATCGAGGTCAAGCGCACCGCCTTCCTCAAGTACAAAGATAATCCATCGACGAGGAACCTTGAGGCTCTTAGAAAAGCTAGGGGCAAGGCCCAGCAAACAGCACGACGCTGCGCAAACAACTACTGGCTCAAACTCTCCTCCCGCATACAAGCCGCTTCCGACGCAGGTGACATCAGGGGTATGTACGAGGGGATCAAGCAAGCCACAGGTCCCTCCATCAAAAAAACGGCGCCTCTGAAATCCAAGTCCGGTGAAGTCATCACCGACAGCAGCAAACAGATGGAAAGGTGGGCTGAGCACTACATGGAGTTATATGCCACAGAAAACACAGTGTCAGAGGAGGCTCTGAATGGCATCGCAAACATGCCTGTGATGGAGGAACTCGACAAGGACCCCACGCAAGAGGAGCTCAGCAAAGCTATTGACAGCCTCGCTTGCGGCAAGGCCCCAGGTGCTGATGGGATAACACCTGACATCATCCAACTTGGGAAACCAACCCTTTTGCCACATCTTCACGACCTCCTCTGCCTTTGCTGGAATGAAGGAGCCGTCCCCCAGGACATGCGTGACGCCAAAATCGTCACCCTGTACAAGAACAAGGGCGACCGCAGCGACTGTAACAACTACCGCGGCATCTCTCTGCTCAGCACTGTGGGGAAGGTCTTCGCACGCGTTGCCCTTATCAGGCTCCAGCTTCTGGCGGAGCGCGTCTACCCTGAGACACAGTGTGGCTTCAGGGCAGCAAGATCCACGGTGGACATGATCTTCACCCTTCGACAACTGCAGGAGAAATGCCGTGAACAGAGGAGACCTTTGTATCTCGCTTTCGTCGACCTCACAAAGGCCTTCGACCTTGTTAGCAGAGATGGTCTCTTCAAGCTGCTTGTAAAGATTGGTTGCCCTCCAAAACTTCTCAGCATCGTGACATCATTTCACAACAACATGCAGGGTTCAGTCTGTTGTGATGGAGAAACCTCAGAGGCCTTCCCAATCCGCAGCGGAGTGATTTTCTTCTCTCTCCTGCTGTCGTTTGCATTTGGCTCATCCCCTGAAGGCGTCTACCTACACTCAAGAGCTGATGGCAAACTCTTCAACCTTGCCCGCCTTAGGTCCAAGACGAAAGTGACCAGTGTACTCCTGAGGGAAATGCTATTTGCAGATGATGCAGCTCTAGCATCACACACAGAGACAGGGCTCCAGCAGTTGGTGGACAGGCTCTCTTATGCATGCAAGGAGTTCGCCCTCACCATCAGCATTAAGAAGACCCATGTCATGGGCCAAGAAGTCGAAACCCCATCCTCCATCTCTATTGACAACAAGACCCTAGACTGTGTGGGCACCTTCACTTACCTCGGATCAACAGTCGCCAGCAACCTGTCACTTGACGCAGAACTGAGCACCCGTCTTGCCAGGGCCGCCACAGTGATGGCCAGGCTGGCAAAGAGAGTGTGGTCTAACAAGAACCTAACTGTGCGCACAAAACTCCAGGTCTACCAAGCATGCGTCATCAGCACTCTGCTATACAGCAGTGAGGCCTGGACCACCTACACCAGACAAGAAAAACGGCTGAACAGCTTCCACCTGCGCTGCCTACGCCGCATCCTTGGCATCAAATGGCAGGACAAAGTCCCCAACACGGAAGTCTTGGAACGTGCCCACTCCACCAGCATGTTCGCCATGTTGAGCCAGCGCCGCCTCAGATGGCTCGGTCACGTCCACAGGATGGACTCCGGTCGTCTTCCAAGGGCCATCCTGTATGGCGAGCTTTCGTCAGGCTCCAGGCCAATTGGTCGTCCGAACCTACGATTCAAGGACGTCTGTAAACGCGACATGAGGCAGGCTGGCATAGACCCCAACAGCTGGGAGGAAGCCGCCCAGGATCGCAGTGCTTGGAGACAGACAGTTGCCGCAGGGATCCACCGCGCTGAGGAGAGGCGCACCACCTTGCTGCAGGAGAAGAGGCAGAGGAGGAAATTGCGAGTAGCAGCCCCCACCCCTGAGTCAGTCCCCTCTCCTTTCGTCTGCGCTAATTGCGGCAGAGACTGTCATGCAAGAATTGGACTGCTCAGCCACAGCCGCCGCTGCAACAAAGACGACAATCCCCCGGGCGCAGTCCATCGTCAGTATTGACGGACGGATGCCTACTACTATCTCGTGCGCACGAGATATATGTCGTGCGCACGAGATACATGTCGTGCGCACGAGATATATGTCGTGCGCACGAGATATATGTCGTGCGCACGAGATATTATGTCGTGCGCACGAGATATTATGTCGTGCGCACGTCATATTTTTTCTGCGCCTGTGATAATTATCTCGTGCGCACGAGATATTATGTCGTGCGCACGAGATAAAAAAATAATTTTGGATGTCCCTTTAGGGGCTCCGTAACTTTATAAAACTCCGTAATTCCGTAAAATATATCTCATAAAAACGAACTTGGACAATATATAACTCATAAAAACGAACCTTGCGAAATATATATCTCATAAAAACGAACCTTGCGAATAAATAACTCATAAAAACGAACTTGGCGAAATATATAACTCATAAAAACGAACCTTGCGAAATATATAACTCATAAAAACGAACCTTGCGAAATATATAACTCATAAAAACGAACTTGGCGAAATATATAACTCATAAAAACGAACTTGGCGAAATATATAACTCATAAAAACGAACTTGGCCAAATATATAACTCATAAAAACGAACTTGGCCAAATATATAACACATAAAAACGAACTTGGCCAAATATATAACTCATAAAAACGAACTTGGCCAAATATATAACTCATAAAAACGAACTTGGCCAAATATATAACTCATAAAAACGAACTTGGCCAAATATATAACTCATAAAAACGAACTTGGCCAAATATATAACTCATAAAAACGAACCTTGCGAAATATATAACTCATAAAAACGAACTTGACCAAATATATAACTCAAAAAAACGAACTTGGCGAAATATATAACTCATAAAAACGAACTTGGCCAAATATATAACTCATAAAAACGAACTTGGCGAAATATATAACTCATAAAAACGAACTTGGCCAAATATATACTTGATGGCACTACAGGGCTTTCGTAGGAATGGTTGAGACATATCCCATTTTTTATTTTAATTAGGGCCATTCACAAGGCAGTGCGTCACCAAGAGTTTGCCACAGAGAGTTCATTTTCCCCAGTGCATTATCGGAGGTGGTCGACAAATTTGCAGCACGGGACATTTGAAATTGTTCGTTTTTCCGGTCAGTAGTTTCATAAGCATCCAGGGAGTTCCAGGGCCCCCAGGGAGAACAGTTCATTGACAACTGATGGGGCTACCCTGGTGAAATAACACGAAATAAATAAATAAATAAATAAATAAATAAATAAATAAATAAGCATGTGATTCGAGTATATTTTTTCCCTTTTCTTTGTATCAATATGGTGATTTTAATAAGGCGGCAGAATGCTATGCCCAAATCCATAATAAATTACATATGTAGCTCAAATTGTTTACTGACACAAATGGGCCATGTTTTGTCGACCGTAAACTTGAAAAGTTGACTTTCCATGGCAAACTCGTGGTGGCGCACTGCATTGTGAATCGCCCAAATTTTAATCATGACACGTTTGAACTAATGACCAAAACTTGAGTGGCTCTGGTACGGTTTTAAAGTAAAACTCGTTTATATAGGGGAGGGCTAATTGGTATGTTAGGCTGTAGATCGTCCTTACAAATAATTCTGGTTACCATTGGTATTTGTTTCACTACTGGTATTATAATGGACTGAACCAATTGTTACTGTTGCAATGGTTTTACATTTAAATTTAACAGTGGTTGTAATAGACCATTATCATGTTGCGGCCATATTGTTTTTTTCCCATTCCAATTCAACGTAACCAGAGCGAGGCTGGAAGGAAAAATAGTCTGGTTCCTTTTTGCACACACAAAAATTATCATTCAGTACTGTTATTGGATTCAGGGAACATAACTAAAATGGTGGAAGCATGATAAAGGTCAATTAAACAACAATGTTACATTTGATTTACCATAATGACAGCAAGTCAGTAGGAAAACTTCAAGCACAGTTTTGTTTTAATGTCTTTAGGAAAAAACCCAATAACAGTGTTTTTGAATTCCAATGAACTTTTTTTTTCATTTTAAGATTGAAAGTTATAATCTGCGTGGTAAGCTGTCTGGTTGGTTTGTCCGTCATTTGTGCTGTGGTCTTCTACGTGTACAAGAAGAAACGCAGCAAGAAGTAAGTTTAAACTTCGTGTACAAATGATTGCAAAATAACCTGCGTTTTGATATAAGGTTAAGGGAAGTAAGCGGGCAAGTTTGCATCAGATGTACATTTGTATCATGCACAGCGCCCCTAGTCTCATGTGGTGTCACCCCCCCCCCCCAACATTTCGAATTGCCCACAGCCGAGCAATTGTAGAATTGTTATTCGACGCATCCCCTATCCCCCCCCCCAAAAAAAAAAAAATCGCCGACGCGGAATAACGCCATTGCCCCAAGGCGGGGAGAGTTCAACGATTCATCAAAATACCGAGATTGGTACATTTTTCCTGTCTAAAATTTCATTGTGAAAATAAAATAATTAATAAAATCAGAACTGGCTCGTACTTGAAATCCAACATACCAGTGTTACCATTTTGTTAAGTGTACACATGTTTATCAGTTTTTGAAAATTTTAGGACTGTCACGGTGAAAAGACTTATGTATTCCTTCTACTCTTCTACAACAGATATTATATTACGGACCCTAACGGTGGTGGGCAACTGGCGTCTTATGTTCCCCGCTATACTCAGCAAGCCTTTGATGCTGCCACATTTGACGATGGCAGTGTCGATCATACAGATGCCGATGAGGAAGATGAAAACCAGGACTCTCCATCAGGAAGCTTACTCTCCATAAGCAAAACAAAAGGTGCTGAAGCCTCCTCATTGGATTGTGGATCTACTCGTGATGAATCTTCCCCTGCTTGTCCTTTATTGAGCCCTGCTACTGAAGTTGAGAAGTTGGTACGTCCAACTATGCAGGTGGGGAGCTCTGTATGCCTCGATAAGGAGGTTGATGAACCAGCGGAGATGCTGCCGCTCCTAAATGGAAAGGGCAGCCAACAAACAATCGGAGGTAAGTGCCATGACCTGGGTTCAATCTCATTAAGCTTGATAGAGCAGTCGTAAAAAAAAGAAAGTTGCTAGAAAGAATTGCTTTCAGTCATTCATTAAAATTTACACGCATTTAGTATCTTCAAATCCTTATAATAGTAAATCTCTGCCAGAAAAAAGAAATCTGTCATCTTGGTTAAAAACTACGTGCGGGTAAAAACGTTTATGTTAAACATAATTAGAATTTGGGAAAATGATCTCATTTTTACAAACGAGTTTTTCTTGCTTAGATCTGACTAAAGTTACATACATGTAGACAGTTTCTTGATATTTTGTAGACAAATGTTACCTGATGGCCAATCATAAGGTGTGAACACGATACACGTGTAACATAATGGAAGATATCATGTTTCCTTGTAATGACTGTGTTCGGCTATTGTTTGGTGCTTGGTTACCGGCTTCATAAATATGCTTATAAATGGTGGGCATACAAAATTAATCCGAGACATATGATTTCCACCAACCATGATTAACGTCTTCAGCTCACCAAACAGATTGACATGTACAGTGTAGCCTACTCTAACCACATAATAAATTGAAGTTTTAATTTCTCTGTTCAACAGCCATCAGTGTACGTTATTTTTATGGTTTCTTTTTTTCTATATTTCTTCAGAATATCAAGAAGATGATTGCGAAACAAAGTTGTAGAGATGGACCCAACCATTTTGCGTCTGCTACAGGTCAAATAGCGTGATGTCAACGGTTATGTACATGTAGTTGTATTACATTTTAACGCATGTTTAATAGCACCTAAAGATAACAAATATAGATAAACGGTCATTTTAGACATTTTTGTTGTAAATCGTCGATGTACCAATTTTTTCAGTATGTCGAGGGTGGAGTCTCAAAGCACCTTTTGGTGTCCTGATTGGAGAGACGTTCTTTGGACATGACCAATCCACTACAATCTGCGCATCTTGATCATAAGGGAGATGTGCAAGTGCAGCCCATCTTACACGGATACTCATTGCTGATAGGCCAATAAATGTTGTAATATGAATCATATTTGCTTTATAGGAAGGAAGTTTGCTATGTTATTTTGGAGACTAATTTTAAATATGCAAACATTGTTACAGTAGAGCCATACAAATGAAGAGCATTTTCGACGTCCAAGACATAGGATACCAAAGTACATTGAAGTTTACTTCATCCCGTAATTGTCTTGGCGAAATGCTATATCTGGTGCATATAAATTACATTGATGAAACGAAACTTCCTAATATTTTTAGAATTAGCGACAGATTTGGAAACTATTGCTAACAATTGTAATATTACTGCTTTTACTCTATTTACGGTCATCTGTGCATATATTTTATACAGGTGGATTGCCTTAAAAAACGGCTGTGGAAGAAAGTTGTTCAGTTATTTTATTGTAAACGCATTGTTACCCAGATTCTTTTTTTACAAATGACTCCTATATAATCTCTGATTATTTTAAAATCTAAGTAGTTGCTTCATTTGTGATGATGTTGCTCATGAGCTCTGACATGTTTTGCTGAGATTTGAGGCAGAGAGTAAGTAGATGCTTTAAGCCTAAATTAAACCATGCGCCATCGAATGGAGTCATTTCAGCCTGCGTTTAACATTTAATAATTGGTATTTACATTTAAGAATTAATATTTTACCATTTACTAATAAGTTTCCGTGCACCTTTCTATCAATAATAAATTTACAAACTTTCAAAATTGTCTGTGAAATTGTGAAAATGCCCCTAGCCTCTTTTTCACATATCTGCACTGATTTTGCCATACCTTCTGTATCAGTCTTTTGAGAGTTTAGAAGGAAGAAGTCTGTTAAACAAAGAAAGGTAAAGATAAGTCGGACAACATACCGTCTGGGTTTTTTTTTTTCATTTTGGCACTCTGGTATTTTCATGTTCTCAACTCAAGGAACTGAAATGACATGATATGTATATGAGTATTATACATAGGGTCTATAGAACACCGAACTTGTACCAAATGAAATGCAAGAATCTTCAACTTATTCGTCGCCACGATGTTTGTGCAATTTCAATATTGCTTTAAAAGACACTTCTATACAACCGATATGTTTGAAGGTGCTGATCTCCATCTTTCAGAATATGTAGTACATTGCAATGTTTATGTAAATGTATCCAGCTCCAATACTATGATATTAATTTGAAATGAATAGAATGGTAGACTTTTTTAAAAACCATATACTCCGATTGATGTCAGAATTATACTCAAACCTCAATAAAAGTACACAGACACCCAAGGTGTGTGTGTATATGTGCCACAGCTTCAAGTTTAATTTAAGAAAATTCACCGGAATACCAAAACATAGGGCAAACAGGAAGCATTAGGTAGTACCCATGTCCACCGTTAATCATCAGTGATTATTAATATCGATATCTACCACTACATGTACATGTATTACGAGAATACCGCAATACAAAAAAAAACAGGTAGGGCAAACCGGAAACATAAGTTACGCCCAAACTCAAAAAGGATTCACTGATAACAATGACCACGATAGGGATAGTGATACCCAAGACCATTTTCCACACAAACCATCCACAAAGAACGCAGCAATGACGCAACAATGACTCAGTGATAACGATAACCACAATATAGATAGTGATACCCATGACCACTGTCCACACAAACCATCAAAAAGGAACGCAACAGTGTGAATGTTCTCTACTCAATTGGAATCGCTCCAGGAAAACTATAGACCATAAAAGGTCAACAAATTAGTTATTCCAGAAAACTTTCTTAGAATAGTAAATTACAATCAATTGTTCCAACCGCTGGAACATGCGGCCGGTATAATCCGTGTGGGATGTCACGGGCTATTTGTTACACATTTGTGTTTACAATGAGGATAAACTCCCAGGTATGGTAGGGAATGGGCCGTGTAGCACATCACGGCGCTATATTGTTACATTACAAAATTACATCTAGCACATGAGACTTTAGAGGTACATGTGCAAGCGAAATGTCCCATCCCATTGAAGTTAGCTAATCCCACGTCCAAATAAGATTGGGTGTTCGACTTCTTATTTGGCACGAAAAAAACCCGCCAAACTCGAGAAGCGCGACCCACAAAAACAGAAACGAACACACCAAAGGTACTTCCGAGTGTGGTTGTTCAAACACCTTGGCCCAGCGCCTTCATTATGAGAAGCCATGCGGTTTGCCTCATTATAACGCGCACTCTTCCACGACTCAATACGAAAACTGCATCAACTTCAATTTGAATATATGAATGTACAACCTACTGAAGATGTGCAAAAATATAATGACGTCACCATGACGTCAACATGTATCAAATGTCAAGCAATGAAAGAATTCTAGATTTAATCTTTGGAAGTCAATATAAAATAAACCGTGAGCGACCTGAACTTGAATTTTGTGGGAATAGATGGAATAATTCAGGATCTTCAATTTATCTGGTGTCTACAATATCAAGTGACCCTTCCTTCTGGTCTAAACCGGAAGTGCCTCATGATTTGAAAGTCGAAAAAGTTGTGAACTTATCTTCAACGATGTTAGTCTTCAACGATGCTGACGTCGTCAAATGTTAGAGCGCCCTCTAGCAGCAGGACTTAAAAATGTCACAAAATAATGTTCATTTGATGGGTGTGGCGAAGTTTGCGGGAATCGCTTCAAAATTAATGTATATGATGACCTTTATGCGGAAAAAATGATGACGTCATTAGACCAGAAGTTACAATGAAAAGATCTTAAAACCTTATAAAATTGCTAAACAATTTGTTTTTCAAGATAGACCAAAAGTGGATCAGAATTAGACCCAAGTCCAAGCACTTTCTCCTGAAGAGATTCGTAAGTAATTAAATCTTAAGTAAAAAGTATTGTTTATTGAGAGTCTGTATAATTAAATAACTTATGTAAGATGCTATTCAAGTTTTCTTTATGAAAGTTTAGAACAAGTTATTTATTCATAGTTTTGAATTTGATGGCTTAAGAGTCACTTCACAAATTTGAAGGGCTCACCTGTTTAATTTGAAGGATTGAAGAGTCGATGGTTCGTTGTAGAAGTGTAATTGAGGACTTACCACATTTATTGCTATAATTTAAAAAGAAAAGAGGATCCAGACACTTGTAAGGTTTTTGGTATGTTTTTAATACCTACCTTTAATTTCCTACTGTTGATGTTCATAAGCATCTGAGAAAGTCTGTCCATCCATCCTACACACAAGGATGAACGACTCATCCAAACTCCTGGTTAGACGCGTGATAACGGCCTGTACTGGTGTCAAATACCATGAATACTTTTCAGCAAAGACCACTGCGTGCGGCAGCTTTCAGACTTGCAAGGCTCTTGCCTCGAAGTCTGCCAAGCCAGCGAATTATATTTTCGAGTATACATGAGTATACGTTTTTGGTCTTTATTATTGAATTCTGATAAGTGATAACTACATAACCATGGTAATGCCGAGCACAATATCTTTAGCTTTAAGATGAACGATGAAATGTCGTTTTTGTTTCATCGGTTCGGCATCCTATCTCTCTAAAACTTTTAATAAAACCCTAATTAACAACGAAAATTGGGTAAACGGTGTTCTCGAATTTGACGTTTATTTCCTGGGTAAATACTTTTTCTATATGACGACAAAAACTGCACAACACCATCTGTTATATCCTGAAGTATTCATTTTTAAAATAATTTGGAACAATTCTATCTTAAATAAGAAGTAGTTTTACTAATACAGTTTTATGAATATTTCCGTTTTAGATGTCGTGCAAAAACCCAACACGATGGCTCATCTGGAAAATTCGCCATTACGCGCCAACGGCTATTAATGCCCGTTATCACGCGTCTAACCAATTAAGGCAAGTCCACTGAGTGCATTTTGTACTAGAGCTCAGAACAGTCGTTTATCCTGGTGTCTAGGATTCGTGGTCCATCCTAAAACATGCAACCAAGCTGGGGACATTTTTAAGTGGGGACATTTTTAAGTGACCAAATCAAGCATATTGGGAGCCCGACCAACCAATGTCACCCACGAAACGAACCAGTCAGGAACAACGTCTAGAGATATTCGTATCGGTTGTGTAATGCGCGCACCTGTGTGGCCTAATATATGCAGCGCGCATTCAAACCATGTAATTGTAATTCCCAACTAAAGTCTTAATTCTTTCAGTAGTATAAAAAAAAATGCAGCAAGAGTTTTGTGCAATTTCGCTGGTCAGCTCTTTTGTGGTGTGTAGTGCCAGGGACTGAAAACGGACCATAATTGCCTGCAGAAGTTGCGCATGCGCACTTGTTTCTCCCATTTTTTTTTTTTGGGGGGGAGATATTTTGTGAATTTCTCTAGACGTTGTTACAGACGGGTTCGTGGGTAATATTGGTTGGTCGTGATACGCCCTCTCGCAGTGGGGTTATCGCGGCCACGGGTTTGTGCGTATTCAACCTTAAAGCCAGAGTCCATCATTTGCAGCTCACCAAAAAGTAACTGACGTAATTAGTGATGGAAAACATACTTGGTTGAAAGATAGGGGACTAAACTCCCTGTGAAATTATTCTTTATGGCAAGCTGTCATTTTGAAGAAATCATCAACCAAAAAAGCCTTTCAAACGGTGCGTCTTAAGAAGCATCGTTGGAAATTTTCATTGGTAGTTCATTTTTTATTCGGCGAAGCGCGCGCAAGCGTTGACACGACGCAAACGCGCGCGCAGTTGCTATAGCTACGCGACTTATATCATAGCTGCAATCGGCTCAGTGAGAACGTGTCTCGGACGCTGAATTCAGGCCCAATTCAAAACATAATTAAGCAACTTTTGATTTTAAATTGGGATCCTAAAATGTTGTTTTTTTCACGGAAGATACAGCATTCACTGAGCTAAAACTTCATCAGGTTAGTTGTTCAGCACCTTTCTTTAGATTTTGAGCACTTTTGTTGCTTCAAAAGAACAAAATGCACAAATTACAAATGATGGACTATACCTTTAACAACGTCTAGCCCTATTGAAGATTTTAGACTACTCTCCATATCAAAGCGTTGTTTGAAACCGCCTGCCCTGCCAAACAGAGCTTTTTTGTAAGAACATGATTATGTATTCATTTTTGATGAAATGTAAACATTTTCGTCATAATGTGCGAGGGGGGAACATTGGAACCTTTAAATGCAATTTTCTTGAAAATGATTTTGGCGTCAGAACGCTCATATGCCCTACTGCCGGGCACCCGACGAATTTTTTTGTGATGTCTGATTGCATAAAGGAAATCAGCCTATAAGCGATATCAGGTCGTCAATATTACTGAGATCCCTTAGGAGTTATCCTTATCTAATGTATTATGCTACCAAGTAAGAAGGTCGTCAATCTACGTCCATATGCTGTCGGAACAGCGCCCACTATCAAACTCAAGGTATACATAACTGTGTGATGTCTGACCGATAAACCTGGGAAGGAGTCAGCCTTTCCTGGCGGTGGACGTTGAAGAATTAGCTGATAAACCTCTTCGAATTTTGCCGGTAAACAAAACAATCATTCACAGTGACTAAGACAGCTGGGAGACTTGCAAAGTATTCGCACGAAGGTCTTCAATTAGACGCACCCACAACTGTTTGCGTTTCATACGTTTCTGTTTTGGGGTCGCGAGTAAATTTTATTATGCCTTGACATTTTACGAAGGTGCTTCCCTGCGCCTCACGGCAGCAGAGCTTGTTGATGAAGCTAAGGAACTGTTGGTATTTTATAATGGTACCCATTCATTATTTTATATAAATATATTATGAAATATATTAAGACATTTTAATATCAAATATAAACGATTTTGTCGACAGGATAACCATTTCGCCAGTGTTTTCGCAAAGAGACGAATTGGGCCGCGGGGTGTTCAAATGTGGTTTTGAGAAAAACGAGTTTTAAGTTGGTCACTTTTTGAAATAAACATTTGGCCTATTTT